TCACCTCGGGCTTATGAGACGGCCAATATAATGATGTTGTCATAGCCTATCCTAAGTCTGTCTTATGTATAGGAACGGTTAATTGGAAAAAAAAACACTCAATTTGTTTGACAGTCTTAAGCGTCAGCTGCTAAAATGTAACACATCAAGGACATTTAGCTTGAAGCAGCATTGCTGGTAATGGTATGAAATATGCCATTATAGAATTGTTATGATTTTTGGTATAATACCATTAGCTTGTTGTTGTATTTCACTAGACCAAGATGTTACAATTCCCATTTCAGTACATTAATTTTAGAATGACTGCAGGCTAAAAACTAATATAAAAAAGATAAACACTGCGAGTTTAATTTCTTGTCACTTGAAGATGTAAGAGTAAACTTTCAAACAAAAAACATGGATTTATAGTGGGATTAACCTTTAGCCAGTGCCGGAACCAAAAGTGATAAGTCTTTGCTACCAGTATAGAACCAAGCCAGCCTGCACACATGTGCATTCTCACCTGGCTATATACTATTGTTCGTATCTTTATTTTTTGAGCCCCTTTCATTGTTTGGACTGTTCAAGTGTTGTGCAAGTTTAATCACTTGGAACTCATTGCTGTAGAGTTAAGTTATGGATGTTGAATTATTTTATAAGGTTGATCTCCTTATGGCAGACTGGTGGTTGAAACCATGCCCATCTTTTATATATGAAATTATACACTAAGTGGAGTGGGGATCGCTAGTGGTTAAGGTGTCTTCCTCTCAGGCTTCATTGCACGTTTGCGCCATGTTTCGTAGTACGACACCAGTACTGGTTGGTTCCAGGAAGCAGACTTGTTCATGCTTAAGCTTCATGTAAATATGTTTAAACTAAAGGAAATGATGTCCTGAAGATTTTCAGTGGTCCTCATTCCTTTCAGAACAACATCACAATAATATGAAATAATGATTTCAATAACAATGTATTAGAAAAAGAACTTGATAACCAAGTACAGCAGTTTTTCTGCAGTAAATATATCATAGACTATAGGTTAACTAGAGTTATTTTGTGGTACATATTACTGGTAAGAGACATCGTTTTTTGTTGTTTGGAAGCCTGATTACATGTATTGTAGAATTTTTGTGCTAATATGGCAGTTGATCGAGTTAATGCTGTCTGTCAGCATTCTGGTTCCCTGCACATCTGCCATTATTTTATATTTTGTGTCTGCGAGGATACTGGTTCCCTGCACATCTGCCGTTATTTTACATCTTGGTATTATTTCTGCCCACTAAAACTGTCCCGGGGGTACACTAACATCAAACTTGCCTTGTAAACAAAGAATGTGGTATTCATTGGGGAAACATTTACTCCATTATTGCAGAATAAAGTTCCCCATGTAAAGTGGTATATTTCCTTTTATGGTCGTTCCCCTGTCTGTTGAGAGAGGGGAATATTTTCGGAGAATTTTAGTGCATACTTTTGAGGTAATGGTGCAATGTTTTGTATATACATTAAAATGAGAATAATATACAATGCAAGAAAACTTTTAATATGATAAGTTGTTAGAAAATGAACCAATAATTGCTTGGTTCAGATTTGGGTCAGAATGACTCTGGGTGGGGTGGAGTGTGGTGGGACTGGGTAGGAAGTGTCTTGGTGAGGCATCATGGTTATATGTCTGTAGGAGGGAGGCATAGTGTTCAAAACTGCAAGTAGACATTTTGACCTATTTTATCTAAACATTATCGTTTACTTTCGTGACAAATTAGTTTGGACCGAACTTGTTCAAAAAATATCACTTAAATTGTTAATGAGTAACTTTAATAAGTTTAGTGCACTAGGAATGTTGGTTGTTTGCTAAGTATCAGTAAATAAAGATTTGAACCATGTTAAAAGAGTGTAAGTGATAGATAACCTATGACAAATGACTGGAGTAAATCTTAAATGACAAAACCCAGTAGCCTTATGAAAATCAAACCTGTTTGATGAATGGATTTTCTAACGTTGTAAGTGGGTGGTTTTCACATAAACAAAAACATAATATGGCATAAAGGTCATGTTATTTTGCAACAGTGGGTGAAAGTATTTTCATAATGAAATAAAATTTTGCCGTTTTATATAACATGTGCCGCATAACAAAAACCTTCATTAGGAAAAACCATATAGGTTCGTTTTTGAAAGTGACAGATTTTGGTTAATTTGAGATGTTTGAAACTGATAAAAAGAAAAGAGGGCTTTAATGAATGATTTAGAAAGAAGGGGGGGGGGTGCAACAATGTGAAGGGTAGTAGTCTTAAATTACTGATTACTGTTGGTTCAAATTTTACACTTTTAAAAAAGGTGGGAGTATACCTGTCCGTAAGAATGAAGTATGTGACAGCCAGTGATAGAAGGGAACCATTTTATAGTTGTAGGAAGAAGGGAACCATTTCATAGTTGTAGGAAATGCCTGAAAATCAAAGGCGTATATATTTCTTTAGGGAAGGCATATAGTTTTTTGAAGGGATATATAATTCTTTTTTAAAAAAAAGGTCAAAGGTTTTGTCTGGGAGAAGGCATATATATTTCTTAAAGAAAGGCATTGATTATGTCTTCACAGAAGGCATTATATATTTCTTTATTATTTACGATATGTTCTTGAGTTTGTCCGTAGGAAAAGCATATTTATTTCTTTAGGGGAAGGCATATAATACACATTTCTTATAAATACTTGGGTAAGTCCATAGGAAAGGCATATACATGTAATTATTTAGGGAAGGCATATATATTTTCATTAGGGAAGACATACATATTTTGATTAGGGGAGGCATATATTGTTTCATTAGGCAAGGCATATATATTTTCATTAGGGAAGGCATATATATTTTTCATTTGGCAAGGCATATATATTTTTATTAGGGAAGGCATATATATTTTCATTAGGGAAGACATATATATTTTCATTAGGGAAGGCATATATATATTTTTTATTAGGGAAGGCATATATATTTTCATAAGGGAAGGCATATATATTTGTATAAGGAAGCAATGAATTAGGAAGGCATATTTTGTTTTCAAGGAGATCAAGACTTCATATATTTCAAGCAAAAACAAATAAATAATTCTAGGAAGCTTCATTTAAATCCAAATTTCAAAGCCTTGTGGAACAAAAAAAAAACATTGAGATATAATAAATTTTCTTATAGCATTTAACTTGTGCTTGGGAATTGAATCAATACAATTTAAAAGTATCATTTATGGATATTTTATGAATTATTAACCACTAATAGCTTGATGAGATATTGATGATGATGCCTTAGTCCATGTAATACTGTTAGACTTGCAACCATGTGATACATTCAGTACATTAATCAATGAATATTTGTCAGTATCAAAATGGAGTTGATGTTGTCTTTTAATATTTGTATATGAAACTATATCCTGTTGAAGAGACAATGTTTAATTTTAATATTTTATTTTTAACCCTTTACCTACTGGTAACAACATACTACCCATGTGACCAGTGCTGACCCAAGATCAGCACCTCCATGGGTCTATACATACAATGTTATCTTGAAATTTTTCCTGAAAAAAAAAAAAAATAATGGTCTTTTCAGATCGGAGGATGGACAAGTTCATTTAAGATAATTTAGTACTAATGTATAGTAAAGAAATAGATGAGGGGTGAGTTTTGTTGGGCCAATATAATATTTTATAATAAAATTCCCATACAGAATATTCAGACAGATGAATATTTAACTGGTCAGATTCAGAAGTCTGTATGTGTTCTTAAGAATTTACAATGTAATGGTTGAAGAAATAGGAGGGAAAACAAAGTTTGGTGCATGACCTATATTATGATGTGTGTGTATATATATATATATATATTTACAGTGGACCTGAGTTCCGCCAGTGATTCAGAGAATGATTCCGAGGACAGTGATGGTTTAACTGGATACAGATGTCAGAACTGTCTTGTTACTGGTACGTATCTTAGCAACACTTATGATAACTTGTATAACATTTACAGTAACTTGTACAACATTGACAACAATTTTTATAACATTTTAAAGAAGCAACTGTCACCATCTAGTTCAGATATAAGATATTTGGTTCCTACCCAGGTACTAGTTTTTATCTTCCAGGGTTTCTAGCTTTCATAAGAAAGCATGGTTCTACCAAAGGTTCGAGCTTTTGTTAGAAGGCATGGGTCTACCTTGAGTGCTAGCTTTTTGTTTAAAAAGCATGGTCCTACCAAAGGCTCTAGCTTTCACTTGAAAGCATGGTTGTACCAAATGTGCTAGCTTTCACTTGAAAGTATGGTTCAACCAAAGGTGCTAGCTTTTCTGATAGCATGGTTGTACCAAAGGTACTAGCTTTCACTTGAAAGCATGGTTCTACCAAAGGTTCTAGCTTTCACGTGAAGGCATGATTTTACCAAAGATGCTAGCTTCCACTTGAAAGTATGCCCTACCAAAGGTTCTAGCTTTCACTTGAAGGCATGATTTTACCAAAGATGCTAGCTTTCACTTGAAAGCATGCCCTGCCAAAGGTTCTAGCTTTCACTTGAAAGCATGGCTCTACCAAAGGTTCTAGTTTTCACTTGAAGGCATGGTTTTACCAAATATGCTAGCTTTCACTTGAAAGCATGCCCTTCCAAAGGTTCTAGCTTTCACTTGAAAGCATGCCCTACCAAAGGTTCTAGCTTTCACTTGAAAGCATGGTTGTACCAAAGGTTCTAGCTTTCACTTGAAGGCATTGTTTTACCAAAGATACTAGCGTTCACTTGAAAGCATGTCCTACCAAAGGTTCTATCTTTCACTTGAAAGCATGTCCTACCAAAGGTCTAGTTTTCACTTGAAGGCATGTTTTTAGCAAAGATGCTAGCTTTCACTTGAAAGCATGCCCTACCAAAGGTTCTAGCTTTCACTTGAAAGCATGGTTCTACCAAAGGTTCTAGCTTTCACTTAAAAGAATGGTTCAACCAAAGGTTGTAGCTTTTCTTTTAAAGCATGGTTCAACTAAGTGCACTAGTTATTGTCTTAAAAAAATTTGTATTTCACATGAGTTCTGTGCGAAATGGTGTTAAATTACTAGAATCTCAATAGTAGTAATGGAATTTTCTAATTCAAACTAGGGCAAACCCATTAAACAATTTCTTATGGGTACATGCTAAAATAGACTCTTCTGGCTTATTTCTTAAAAGTGTTTTGCAGTTGTTTTTTTCTCATTCAATTTTCTTTTAATCTTCTAAAATTTGATTTGGTCATGTGTTGGATAGGATTTTAACTTTGTTAGTATTGATCTAGTACAGTCATACAGGGACTGTTTCAATACCGCACAGGTGCTCCATTTATACATATTAATCAAGAAATTATTCAATTATGTGTTGAAGAAATAAAGCTAGTGATATATCAAACTAAAGTTCGTTTTTACACATTGAGGGTTGATTGCAAAATGGTGCAAGTCCTTTACATTTTTCATATAAGTTACAACAGTTTTGCAGTCAACCCTTGGCATAGTTGTTTTTTTAAACAATTTTCTCAAGAGAAAATGTTTGCACTAAGTAACCTTGTATTGCCCATTCGAATGTGAGAGATGATCAATAAGGAATTGCCTTTGCATCAGTACCAGTGTGCACAGTGAGGCAGGCTCAATTAATGACTGCTGTATAAGTGTAATCTCTAATATTAAAACTGTCTCAAACAACTTATTTGCCAAGGTTGTGACAGAACAGAACAGAATTTTATTTTGACTTACCATATACAGAGTACATAATCATACAAAATGATGCAAAATATTAATCAATACATTATATTTACATTCAAATGCTCCTTATTTCAATCTAATTATAAGTTAATAAGTGTTGGAGTTAAGATACAGTACAACCTCTACAGAGCAAACACAGTTTAGGAGACAAAGATTTCGGTTGTTGTAGAGAGGTGCCTGCTCTAGAGAGGTTAAATGAAGTCTTACTTTGGAGAAAAATTGTTACAGTTGTTGAAAAGAGGTTATTGATATACAGAGGGTCGTTCTGCAGAAGTTGCACTGTATTAGGAGAATTTAATTTTGACGAAAATGTGAAATTGTTATTCCTGTCGTAAAATTAAAGACCTAGAGTGTTAATATCTGTTATCACCTTCATTATGAAATATCAGATAATCTTTTACAAGTTATTTATGTTTGTCTTGTTTATTTTTTTTTATTTTTATTTTTTTTGCGTCTTCAATAATTTTCTCCGCGCAGACATAATGTGTTGAGTGTTTCGTTCACCAAATGGCCATTATGATGATGTGGCGGGGCTTTGCATATTTAGATTGACTTGTGGAAATCCAATTTACCGATAGTGAGAAAATAATGTCCTCCATCCTCATCCTTTTACGGTGAATTTTCCACTTGGCTGAACTTAATCCCCCCGCCTAATTCCCCGATATTTGAAATGGGAGCTCACTAAACACTGTTCAATACAGAGTGTGTAATCAAGTATGCAGTTTCTATGTTCCTCAATCAGTTTGCCATCATCTTCTTTTGCTTTAAGTACACTTTGCGATTTTTTAAGAGAAAACGAATAAAAAAAAAACAACAATAATTTTTCGCAAAGTTTTTCTTTGTCAGTGAACTGAAAGGAAATTATTTGGAGATGTCATGTTTTGTATATAAAAGAAAATAAATGGGAAGCCAAATCATATTTTAAGGAAACAAGACGTTTGTTTGTGACGTATTATAATGTAATTTATTTTGTGAATTTGTCATATTCTGCTATGTTTTGAAATCGTCTCGGAAATAAGAGGAACTATTCTGTCTGATACAATTACTCTACTTGTCTATTCAACATCGGCAAATATTTTCATTCTCTACGTAAAGAATAAGTTATTTAACCAGTCTGTTTTGTATATACAGAAAAAGAAAATCCATACTACCAGTCTGGTTTTGACAGTTTTAACTATTTGTCTGTTACAAGTCAGTTACAAATCATCATGTAAAAGTTCCGTGGGCTTCTCCCCGATGGTAGAGAGGTACCTGACAGCCTTTTGTCATTGATATTTCCTCAATTGAATACGAGAATATCGAGAATTTTGAGACGAAACGTAATTTAAGCAAGGGTTATAGATTTCCTGTCATACTATGTGAGCATTGCAATAGATAAAGCTGTTTTTCTTTTCCCCCCGCGCTTGATGTGTATATATCGAGAACAATATATTGTTATACTTAATGTAACAATAGCTAGGGAAAAAATGAGAAACTTTGCGTAATTATTTACCATTATGGATAGATTCTGGAAATAAACAGCGACTTGCGTATAATGATTATAGGTTATCATACAAGAAAAAAACGCTTACGACATTCGTCAGAATTAGTTTGAAATTCAGACGTGAATTACACACTTGTATATATATAAGATGCAGCCGTAATTCAACAATCGATAATTTGTAATTCCTCTCAAAACAGAATAAAACTTTGTCCTTTTGTTATAGAGGAAACACTCTCGACACTAAATTGAATTTCAATTAGTTGATATCTACTTTTAAATGAAACTTAAATTACAGACAGTGCAAATAATTTTTGTAATCATGTGAAGAAAACAATCTGTAAAAGAAAAAAACAATGTTGATTTGATAGACATGAATTATGTTAGCTTATTATGTAACTTGTTAAGACTGCATATTAGTCTTGAAATAAAGCTTTGATTTTCTTTGTCAATTATGTTGACATGCTCTTGTGATAAAAAAAAAGAACTTAAAATACTTTATTTAAAAATGATGTATGAATTTGGAACATGTGTAAAGTAACTAACTGCCTGTAGAGCGACCTTGTAAAAAATTATGTATTTATACATTTACAGTTTCCAAGGACTGGAGTAATGCTGGAAAACCAAGTCCTCGATTATGTTCAAAATGTCGCATATTCTTCAAGAAATACGGTGTAGACCGACCGGTAAACAGTCCCGGAGATTCTCCATACTTCCAGCCAGTACGAGATGGGGACATAAACGCCACCCACAATATGCTGACTCGGCAAAATAGGAATTCAGTAAGTGGCCTATATATGGTTTATTCTTTTTCTTAATTGTAACAGATAATCAAATCTCCGAGTGTACATGTTCCGGTAACTAGGCCATTTGTCAGCAATGATGCTTCACTTTTGAAGCAGACGACAGGTAAACTGATGTTAGAAAGTTTGATCCCTGGCCAAGGATTGGGTCATACACCACAGAATGTTATAAAAATGAAGCTTACAGCTTCCATGCTAATTGTGTTCAACAAACTGGTCTGGAATTTAACAATGAATGAGTAGAAAGGAAATGTAGAATTTGTCAATTTCTTAAAAGTGCTTGTTTGTTAATAGGTCTGTCTATATTTAATGCTTTGAAGCTTTAGTCTCATCTATTTCTTTGTTTTCATATTAGTTGAAAATAATATAATGCAACCAGTTATAATAAAAAAAGATAATCAGGAAATAAAAAAAGTTTAAATGTTTATTCATTTCACAGACTGATTCCAAAGAAAATAAAAAGAAAGGAACAAACAGTGTTAGTAGTTTAGATAATTTAGACAGTCCTTCAAGTGATTCAAAGAAATCCCTCGTGCCCTCATCACCCTCGGCCCTCAGTACATCCAGCAATTGTAGTACCGATAGAGAGAAAAAGAAACGAAGGGTAAGGTCATTGTTTATATGTATCGAGGACTCGTGTAAATGTTCAGTGTTGTTCATTATTTATATAGCTGTAGGCCTATCTTGCTATGTTAACGAATGTTGGTGGTTCTTAGACTAAGGTGCCCGTTCATGCCTGAAATAATTCATAGACAGCGTCTGAGGTTTTTATCCACCAATGAAGCTGAAAAGTTGCCTTTACCGTGTTGGTGTGACATAACAAATCTCTCAGGTTAAAGGTAAGCAGGGCAAATCCCTCAGGTTTAAGGTAGGCAGGGCAAATCCCTCAGGTTAAAGGTTAGCAGGGCAAATCCCACAGGTTAAAGCATAGCAGGACAAATCACTATGGTCAAAGATAAGCAGGGCAAATCCCTAAGGTTAAAGATAAGCAGGGCAAATCCCTAAGGTTAAAGATTAGCAGGGCAAATCCCACAGGTTAAAGGTTAGCAGGGCAAATCTCTCAGTTAAGCTTAGCAGGCAGTTAAAGCTTAGCAGGGCAAATCCTTAGGTTAAAGCTTAGCTGGGCAAATATTTAATTTGATTTAGTAGGTTAAAAGTTAGTATATAAAGACAGTATTATGTAAATATAAAGTGTCCCAGCTGTCTTGGCATTAACTGAATGTATATGCATAGATTTTCTGACAATATATGCATAGATGTTCTGACAACATATATGCAGCTCGGCATGCAATGTAATTTTCATACCTCGGTTGTTTGAAAATGTCTCTGGTTTTACAAGTTATTAAGCCAGGCACGGCAATCTGTATGACTTGCAGCAGACGCACATGCTGAATGTGTAATGAATTTTATGCGTAAATTATGTCCTGATATAAATGTAACAAAACACAATGTGAGATTACGAGCTTATGTTCTAGTAACAGATGTTGATTGAAGTCACTTTTGATGTTATTTTATTATTTACATATCTTTTGATTTTATCTTAGAGGGGGGAGGAAAAAACACTTAGTGTTTGATGTACACTCAGGTGTGTTATATTGATATATATATTATTGTAGTTGTGCAATGTGTAATTTTATATGCAATGAAATACTGCTGCATATAAGTGTGTTAATATGTGTATTGTGTAATGGTATAGTAATATTTATGATAAGTGAGGTTAATGGATCAATCAGTTCTGATCACATTGATTTACTTACAATACTACAGTACAGCAGACGTTGTTAACACAGACTTTATATATGAAATCGATTAAATTTTGTAATTAATCCATAGTTGATGTGTTGGGAGTTTTTTGTTGTTTTTTTTGTTTGTTTTTTTTTCACTGAAAATATATTGGATTGGGAGGAATGGAAAAGATAATATTTTTTTATTATTTCGGGAATCTTATTCACAAGGGAAATACAACGTTTGCTTTGAATATCTTTTATTTTGTATATATATAAATGTGTATTTTATAATTCTAGAGTTCTGAAGGCTCAGATAAAGAGAAGAAAAGACGTCATCCAGCATCTGATTCAGACGATAAATTCTCAAAGAGAAAACGTGCGGTAAGTCATCTTGATAAATTACCAAAGAAAACAATTTTCATATGAAAAAAATAGCAGACGTCAAAAATGGATACTTTGATAAAAGCTTTACGCTGAATGATAGGCCTGTAAAAAACGTATATTTTGTATATAGAATTAGATACAAACAAGGTATGCAATAAAGTCCAGATTTATATCGCCAATTAACAGCAGTACAATTCTACCAAACTCTATTCTGCTGTTGTACTAAGAAATCGCAGATAAATACAATAGATCTTTAATTCTCAAAGCAGGGCAAATCCGTTATACAAAAATCAGCTGTAGAAATGGTTTTAACACCTGCTGTTTCAAAACAGCAACAACATAATAGATATTTTTGATGACATGTAGACTTGTGTAAGTTGATTGTTGTAAGTTGATTGTATCATTATTCAGTCATTGTCGTCTTGTTTATTTTAGGGTCCGTCTGACTCGGAATCATTATCAGACAGCAGTATATCCGGTGCTGAAGAAACTCAAAACGAGGCTGATGAAAATAATCAAGATGATCTAACATCTAGCTCCCCACCCACTAGTCCAAGTCCGGTAGAATCTGATAAGGAGAAACTGCCGGCACCAATTCCGGTTGAAAGTACTATAAGTGGTGATAAACTGGCTGAGTTACCTAGACCGGAACCTCAACATCCGTCACCTAATAGACAGCCAATAGAATCCACACCTATATTGTCACCGACCGGTATACAAACGCAGTTACCTTCAGTGTCATCTCAAATTACTCAAGGATTTGTTCCATTACCGCCATTACCAGCATTTGCATTTAGACCGCAATACACTCCTACAGCATCCTTGTATCCACAACCACCATTTCCAGAAACTATTTCATCCAATCAAAAACTTTCCGAAGCAGACGACACACAAAACACGTCTGCTGCAACTGCTGCTGTGTCTCCACCTGGTGTAGACAACAGTGAATCAGGGGAAACTACTGTGATATCTGTTCCTAAAGTGAAAGAGGAAGTGATTACACCTCCTCCATCGCCGGAAAAAGTATTTATTAAACAGGAACCGCAAGACAACTTCATGCTTAACGCAAGTCAAAATGTTGCTAGTGCAAAACCTAATATGGACAGCTTTGCTGCCACTAAAGAAATGGGCCCAATAGTGACTCCTAAGCTTGAGCCTGGGCTCAGTAATTCCTATCCTAGTGCAAATGAGTTTCCTTCAGGTTCTAATAATAGTAAGATTCAGACTGAAACAACCTTGACCTCGCAGGCAGAGGTCGGAGGTCATACGGAACTTAGAGAAGGTCAGGGAGAGAAAGTTGAATGTCAGGAAAGTGAACGACCAGAAGTAGAAATAATGGAAGACACTGATTCTGACAGGGAGGGAACATTGACCCCAGGGCCAGTGCCTACCCCATGTAACAAGGAAATCCTCAGGAGTAAAACTGCCATGTAAGTACATTAGTACACTAAATGAATATGATTCAGTGCTGTATGTCTACAAAAATGTGAAGCATCAATTCCTGTTTCACAGCAGTCATTTAGAAAATTTCGTTCACAAATTGAAAGTCAGTCTGGAGTTGATGTTGACAGCTTTATTGCACATTGTTTGAATAGGTCCCCCTGTGTTGACACTGCAAAAAGAATTGAAATTTCAGAATATAATTATGTCTCCCCCACCTCGGGGGGAGACATATTGTTTTTGCCCTGTCCGTCCGTCAGTCCGTCCGTCAGTCCGTCCGTCCGTCAGTCCGTCCGTCCGTCCGTCCGTCCATTCTTCGTTTCCGGACGATAACTAGAGTTCCTTTTGACCTACAGCTCTCAAACTTCATAGGATGAATGGTCTTATTGAGCAGATGATCCCTATTGTTTTTGGGGTCAGTAGTTCAAAGGTCAAGGTCACAGTGACCGTTGGTCAATTTCTCGTTTCCGGATGATAACTAAAGTTCCTTTTGACCTACAGCCCTCAAACTTCATAGGATGAATGGTCTTATTGAGCAGATGATCCCTATTGTTTTTGGGGTCAGTAGTTCAAAGGTCAAGGTCACAGTGACCGTTGGTCAATTTCTCGTTTCCGGATGATAACTAGAGTTCCTTTTGACCTACAGCCCTCAAACTTCATAGGATGATTGGTCTTATAGAGCTGATGATCCCTATTGTTTTTGGGGTCAGTAGGTCAAAGGTCAAGGTCACACTGACCGTTGGTCAATTTCTCGTTTCCGGATGATAACTAGAGTTCCTTTAGACCTACAGACCTCAAACTTCATAGGATGATTGGTCTTATTGAGCAGATGATCCCTATTGTTTTTGGGGTCAGTAGTTCAAAGGTCAAGGTCACAGTGACCGTTGGTCAATTTCTCGTTTCCGGATGATAACTAGAGTTCCTTTTGACCTACAGCCCTCAAACTTCATAGGATGATTGGTCTTATTAGAGCAGATGATCCCTATTGTTTTTGGGGTCAGTAGGTCAAAGGTCAAGGTCACAGTGACCGTTGGTCAATTTCTTTCATTTCCGGATGATAACTAGAGTTCCTTTTGACCTACAACCCTCAAACTTCATAGGATGATTTGGTCTTATTAATCAAATGATCCCTATTGTTTTAAATGGTCAGTAGGTCAAAGGTCAAGGTCACAGCGACCGTTGGTTAATTTCTCCTTTCCGGATGATAACTAGAGTTCCTTTAGACCTACAACCCTCAAACTTCATAGGATGATTGGTCTTATTGAGCAGATGATCCCTCTTGTTTATGGGGTCAGTAGGTCAAAGGTTAAGGTCACAGTGACCATTGGTCATTTTCTCATTTCCGGATGATAACTAGAGTTCTTATCAGTGAGGACATTTAACTATTATTGATATATCAGTGATATATCAGTTGTCTGGTTTTATATACTCTGTTCTTTTATCTCCATTTCCATTCCTGTTTCCATTCACAGTTATTCTCAGCAGTGGGGGAGACATGCGCTTTTTTACAAAAGCATCCTCTAGTTAGGTTTTTTTGTAACCAGTATTGGTTTTTATGCCAGTTTTATTCTAAAAGTCAATGTTTCCTTTTCAATTTATCTACATATCTGCAACAGATCTGTTATAATGTAATGATGCCGATAGAAATGAAAAGGCGTTTTTTTCCGCCATAAACGACTTGTGCTTGATTACGTGTCACAAATGACACTATATTAACAGCTGTAGTTTTATGCTAGTTTAAGGGGGGAAATTTGCAGCAGACGACACTCGTAATGATGTTATCTCGTGTTGACTGAAAACATAAAATGAAGGAAAAGGTGAAATTACACCTAAAAAACCCAAACCATAAAATTTTTATGTAACCGTCGAGTTTTGTTTTCCTGTCTGATCCGGACTGAGATTAAAAAGATTTAAAATTTTCATATTTAAATCCAAAAACAATACAAAAACTGTAAACGATTTGATAGTTCTGCTAGAAAATTTATGTCATCATATATTATAAATATATTTGTAAAATTTTCATATTTAAATGCAAATATATTATAGAGTTATACAATTTTTATCAGTGAAATTTTACCTCATTAGTAATGGAAAAACTATTTTATATTTTGATGAGTTATGGGTAATAACTGTGGACAGTGAGTGCCTTTGGCTTGGTTAAATCACTTACTTTGTACACTTCACAACATTTTAAAATAAGGTTTTTCTTAAAAATAAACACAAGTCTGAGGTCATGCTGCTTTTAACCTACTTATATAAACAAGTTCTTAAAGTTGATACAAATTGACTTTTTTGAGTTATCTCCCTTGAACTAACCAGTACTGGTGTTGATTATTTAAACATGGGTCTCAAACCCACAGTTCCTCATCTAAGAGGTAAACACCATAACCTATTGCTCAGAATAATTTAACAGTTACAAATTAATGCTTCCTATATTTTCACACATGAAATATATTCAGAAAAGCACAGATGCTTTTTATGGATACCAAATTTTGTGCAGCTTGTTATTGTTACACAGATTGCTTCACATTCTCTCATTCTTTATGTATGATATTTTGGATATTTTTTTCTAGTTTGCCATCGTGTTTAATTTACATAAATATGCCTTAAAATGTCTTGCAAAAAGGTTTAAATACAAGTGAATTTGTCAAGATTATCATGTTTAGAATGATATGATACAGATATGTGTCTTTTCAAGCCACAGGTTACCATGGTAATTTTCTCAATACTTTAAAAACAATTCTCTGCTTATGAGACAGATTAATACAAAGTTTAAACTTGATTCTTTAACCTGCTGAATTTGAGTAATTGTTTTACCCAGATCTGAATTTTAAAGTATAAAGGGTTTGCAATATCAAAGTACAAAAATTGAACTACTGATACTTGACAGAATGTTTCGACTGCACACTGGTCCAGTTCTACAGTTGAGGCAAAAGCTAATAATTTCTGGCAGGTTTAACTTATAAATATACCTTTATTCAATAATTGTAAGAAGGAAAAAAGCAGTCATACATCAGATTTTATTATTTGATATGTTAGAAATTATTTGAAGTCAAATTTGTTTGACATTTTGTTATTATTTTAGTATTTTTACATTAAGTACATAAGGTAAAGTATAGATGGTGAGAAACCATATGATCTTAAGAGTGGCAGTGCACATTGTGGAATCCAAAACATGGAAAAATTTTGAAAAGAGAAACTAGAAAAATTCCAAAAGAATATACTTGAACAAATACTTGAACAAATTTATAATTATTCTCTATTTTTGTTACAGATTTATAAAGTTATTGAATCGTGGTGAACATAATTCATGTTCAAGATGTGATCTCATGTTTAAACCATTTCCCGACTCCAAACTGGCAAAGAAAAGGGAAGAGCGGGAAAAGAAACCTTTGTCTGCAGTGTCAACTCCAGCAAAGGAGGAAGTTAAGGTAATTAGAGGTCCTTTGGCTTAATATTTATACTTTCTGAGAACCAGTCAAACCTCCTAGCATCTGACAGAAATAGACCAATGAGAAGCTTGCAATACCACAATCTATAAATAGAAATGAGACTGAACTATTGTTTTTTCAATTATAAAGTTCAGATTGAAGTAAAATAGACTGACGTATTTTCTGAACAATCCAGTCTATAAAACAATGTTTCGTCAAGTTTTGCCAAAAATTTTAATAGTTGACTACATTCTATAAGGAATTATATTGTTTCCTTGACAGTATTAATTTGATAAAGAGCTACCTTTTAAATGCTTCTATGTACTGGTACATGTTTCAGAAATGAAAATTCTTATCTGTCATTTTCTTCCACTTCGTGTCTCTTTGACTTGGAATGTCATGGCATGCCCATTAATTTGATAAGGCTTCCTTAATGCGATTTATAAAGGGTACAGTAAAATGTGTAAATAAGAAAAGACTTGCATTTACATTTATAGTCAAATGTTCAATGTACCAAGTAAAGAAAAACCTCTCTCTCTCTGACAATATATATATCATGGAAATGTCAATTTTATCTAACCTCCTTTGAACTTTTTCAGGCATGATCTTAACATTTGTCTGACCTTTCAGTGAAGAACAGTCTCTAATATTGCCTCATGTTGAATAATAGGTCTCTTATATATATTTATAGTTATCAATAAAATCAATGTTTCTTATTTTCTTAGAGAAAAACAGAGTCGCCACGACCCAGTTCTACGTCGGACGCCCAGGTTATCAGCAATGTTCCAACGCCACACCACATCCATGCCGACCGAGTCACACCGCGGTCATATCCTGACACGCCAGCGCTGCGTCAATTGTCAGAATATGCTAAACCGCATACGTTGGGTATGTACCAAGATACATTCGCTCAGTGTCGTAAGTGAACATTTATATACCATTCCTTTGCTTATAGGACTCAAACTATTGTAAACACATATGAATTTCGTATGGACATACAATGGTTTATGAGCAGGGGTAAAAATCAATGTAGATTGCCTGTAGTTGTATGTCTTTGTGCTAGTTAGATGTGTTTGTGGTAGTTAGATCCTTTTGTTGTCATTAAATGTCTTTGAGATCATTTACATGTTGTTTGTTCATTGAAGTACCTAAAGTATCAGTGTCTTATACCTGGGACATAATATAACAGGATCATCAGCTACCAAATAAACAAGTGGTCTAATTTTGCCCTCCAATGGTCCGCTGAAGAATTAAAGTGTTTAAATGCAGTTATTATGAAAAACTACATAGGTTAATTTTCATAAAATCAATTTAAGGCGATTTTAATACAAATAAATTTGCAATCGTTTGCCAGTTTGCTTATATTTTGTCATGCACACTGTTGAAAGGACAAAAAGATATTGTTTAACAATGATGGCTAAGACAAAATGGTTGACGCGTGAGACCATCTATACAGGGACATAATGCGGAGCTGATCTCTAGTTGCTTTTCTTGTTATATTATGTTCCAGAAACACATTATCACAATAGTATACTTCAAGATTCAATTCGTTATTGTAAAGCATATTCAACTCTTAACATGTTATTTAATAGTGTTATTAGATTGAGAAAAAAAAAGTAGTGTTTATGCACATATAATACATGATTCAAAAAATTTATCATGGACATAAGCTGCTTGTTCAGTTTTTGCATGCCAAAACTTAGGGTTACATACAGATTTGCCTTTGTCCAGCTGTTATGGCATGCAGTCACACTGTCCGTCACATTTGTAGATGTTAATATGTTCTTGAAAATGTTATTTTCTGATCATTTTAGTTTAATTAGAAAGAAATTGTTAAGAATTATATTCCTCTAAAAACTCTTAAAAATATTTCATGAGTGTGAATAATTTTCAGTGTGTCCATTGACAATAATAATCATGTCATTGAATGCTTGGCAAAAAAAAGAAAACATCATTCTGGTATAAGGAGTGACAAAAATTTGTCGAAATTGATGAATTTAAAATTTTTCATTGCATATGTATGTTACTTAGGTCTAAAATATTATATCGGCTCAATCATCAACATATAATGTTGTTTTTGAAGGTCAAGATCCTAGATCTATGCCAGGTTACCTAGGTTACCCGTTCATGGACCCTATACGTATGGCAGCGATGTATCCACCAAACTCTAGAGAAAGGTATGTTCTTTATCATAATATATTCTTTCTGTGTGTTTATATTATGTTGCTGGTTTGATTTTTATAAGAACAAATTTATTGATGCGACAAGTGTGTAGTGATGAAATATTTGTTTCAAGTTATGGGTCAATTCATGGCATATGTGTAACTGTTTATTGATGTTATATGTGTATTCATGGCATATAAATTGTTTATTGATGTTACACATTTATTCATACATATATGTATTCATTGCATTTGTGTAACTGTTTATTGATGTTATATGTGTTTTCATAGCAAATGTGTTTATTGATATTATACATTTAGTCATACATATGTGTATTCATGGCATTTGTGTAACTGTTTTATTTATGTAATATGTGTATTCCTGGCATATGTGTAATCTTGCGATACAAGTATTAATGCCATACAAAAGCAAGCCAGTAAATGAAATGCAAATATAAATATACACCGTTAGTCACTACATCAAAGTCATTACAGATTAATGCTTGAAATAAAATGAAGCCTCGTGTTAAATCAGAAATTCTGTTTTAAATCAGAGAATTTAATTAAAAGCCCTCAGGACTTTGTATGAATCTCTTTAAGATAAAATTTATGGCCTTGATTAAAGGTCTTTTAGGGAATTTATTTCACATTTTGCTTGGAAAAAAATGGATGATAAATGCCGAATTGATAAGGTTGCCAAAAAGAAGAAAAAATTAGTCAATAGTTCACATGATCAGTTTTATGAAGTTACTGTAAAATCACAATTATTCGTATTGGCATATGATTTTTTATGAAGTTACTGTAAAATCACAAATATTTGTATTGGCATATGATTTTTTATGAAGTTACTGTAAAATCACAAATATTTGTATTGGCATATGATTTTTGTATATTTTATGGTAGTAATATACAGATTCCTAATGCTTGGAAATGCATTTAAGGTTTTTGTTCACCATTACAGTATAATTTTGACTGGTCTTTATGTATAAAGTGTATAAAGCTATATACATGAATTTGCTGTCTGTTGATTGTAAAGGTATTGGTTATCTTGTGATATAAAATGGTATTAGAATTAATTTTATAGAATGAAAGAAATTTGTCAGTATATTTTGTTTAAAAGCCATGTATTAAATCATCTCCGAACCGATTATATTATAACTAGCAGAGGCATAATTTGTTTCAGAACATTTTATTCTATTTACATACAATATTCATGTATATTTAATTACATACTTGTAAACATTCTATGTTCAAATTTTTCAAATAAAATAATAATAATTTTTACAGTATTGAAATATTCATAAAATATTTTATCAGATATACATGTATATATGTAGCTTTATACACTTTAAAGATCATATCAAAAAGAAAAGGAATGAAAAAAACAAATTTAATCTCAAAATGTGACAATTTTACGGTATTGAACATGGGTAATGATAAGAAATTTTAATGTTTCAAAATTAGGAGCTATTAAACTTAACTCTTTAAAATTCAAAATTAATTTGTAATATCTTTTAAAGCTATAAGATTTATACTTCGATTAGTTTTCTTTGAGAATAATGATTGTTTTAATTGTACGTCATTAATATGATATAAAAGGATTTTGATTCAAAGTAGGCATGAAATCAGAATTGGATTCATTTTCTTTCCAAATTTTAAATTTATTGCATCACTTAAAATGATTGATTGATATTATGTATATACCAATTAAAACTTGATGATATGCAAGTAGGAAAGTTATTCCCATTTACTTTATGTTTATCAATTAAATTCTTGCTATGAACTGTGAGATATAATTGATGTCGCCCACAGGTGTGTGTCATTTGTTTGTAAATGTTAATAATGTTGGAAAAATAGCATAAAAATTAAACAAACAAAAAAAAAACAAAAAAATCGTATTCCCCGATTTTTATTCTGTGGATCATATCTATATCTGTTTGTTCTTTGTTCTAAAGTTAAATGAGGGTCAATCTGCTCTTGCAGGCACTGAGAGTACGGACCCCGAACCTATTTGTTCTTCTGTCTTTACTTCCATCACACTTACCTTACCTCAAAACCACCTTTATTTATTGACTGATTTCTGTGGTATTTTTTGTTTTGGTACCTCCTGTACTCTTTGGTAGGAATTTATGATAGTTGGATATGTAATTGGGGCATTCATCAACAGTACATACATGTATATACATGTGATGGTACACGTATATATTTACTTAAAGCAACACTGTTTTAAGGATGTTTCCTTTAGTTTTCTTATATTGTAGAGAAAATGAAAACTGTCTCATACGATTTATTTGAACCTTGCGTGATCTTGGAATTTGATTACAGAAACATTTATATGTATATGGTAAGAAATTGTGGTAATTCTATTTATAGATTGGAATTGGAACTGGAAAGAGACAAACGAGAAAGAGACGCTCGTGAACGGGAATTACGAGAGCATGAGTTACGGTCCTTGGAAATGAGGGAGAAATTAAAGGCAGAGATGGAAATGAAGCCTCCAGGTACTTGACCTAGTTTATTCAGTGTTGACCTAGTTAATTCAATGTTTACCTAGTTAATTCAATGTTGACCTAGTCTGTTCTATGTTGACCTAAATAATTCAATTTTTGCCTATTATATTCAAGGTTGAACCTAGTTTTTAGAAAGTCAAAATTTAATGAAATCCATTTTTTAATGATGTGAAAAAATAGATATATAAAATTGACATCAAAGTATTGCATATGTATAAATCCTTTTGTATTAAAACTAATCACATAATAATTGATGTTTTATAGGTTTAGAAAGATTACTTCCTCCTGGGGCCAACCCTCTAGATCCTCATTGGTTAGAGATACAGCGTAGGTACGGCCCACACATGTTTTCAGGCGGATCAGGCTCCTCCCATCTTCCAGGCATCTACCCGCCCACCAGTATTGCCTCAGATCTCATGGCCAGAGAGAGGGAGCGTCTAGAGAGGCTTGGTAAGAACGGCTTTTATTTAATGATAATTTTAATATCTGGTTTAAAATGTGATATAAAAAAGCAAGATTATTACTATACAAATGATGTTTAGAAATACTGAGAACCATATAAATATAATGAAAAAAATAGATATGCTTTTGTAAAATTAATGATTTGTTTGATTTAATAAATAAATTTATGGAAATTAGTCTTTGTATAACTCCTACCATAATTACTTTATTAAGCATGCTGAAAATAATTTTTAAAGTAGCAAAGATAATAAAAATGTCAGTTCAAAAAATAAACAGCAAAGAAGAAATACATGTGAAATAAGGTAGGTTTTACCAAGGTTGACATTCTTTATTTTTATACCAAATTTTCTGTTTCTTTGATTTACCTATGTAGAATAGACGCAATTTTTGATTTCAGTTTTTCTCTCCTTTTTCTGTTTGAAAATTCTTCTTTTTGAATTTAGTTTCTATGGAAATTGTTTGAACAAAAGTCTTTTCACAGTGTTTTTTTTATGTTGTAAAAGTAACTTGTGTTCCAGAGGAAATACCATGAAAACTTTTTTTTTGAAAATTGAGTAACTGTAATATTGTTTTCTTTAGGTTTATTTTGCTAACTTGTGACATTTAAATAAATTTGGGTTTCTTTGTTCATAAAGTTGGGTTAATTAGTAATTCTTTGGGTTTTATTTCACCGACTGTGAAAAGGCTTTAGTTCTCCATTTTAGAAGGACATGCACATACTGGTTATAAAATCGGCCTTATTTATGAGTTTATCAGAGTGATTCTTATGAAGCAGAAGTAATTTTCGCAAAAGAAAGATGTTTTGATTGGCATTTTCATGAATTTGATCATAGGGGACTGGAAAATTGTCTAGACAAGATATGTATAACCTTGAATAAAAAAACAGAGTGCATGACCTTGAATGACTATAGCTTTATGCCTTAGAATGGAAGGTATGATTAATATTGGGAGAGGAGAGATTTTATTTTCATGGTATTTTCTCAGGAATACCACCTGGTCACCCAATGCTCGGAGAATCTTCATATACGGCAGCCATGTTGGAAAGACTGGCCGCGGAGAGGATGTCGGCAGAACGGTTGTCTGCAGAGAGGTTACAAGCCGAGCGTCTGGCCATGCACGATCCTATGATAAGGCTTCAAATGTCCGGTAATGCATCGGCGGCGGCTGCTGCAGCTGCGGCGGCAGCAGCTCACGCTCATACCCACACACACGCACATTCCCATACCCATCTACATTTACACCAACCTGACGGACTACCAGGACCACATGGAGGACAGCCGGGACTTCCACCTTCGTCACCTTTACACCATCCACTGCTTCAGCCCCATCTTTTACATCCGCTCGGACCAGGTAAGAACTTTAAAAATTTATTAGAAATTTAAATTCACAACAAGTGCACTTTGTAAAATTATAATTGCAGATATGCTTCAATCGGAACAAATGACGAGTAGAATGATTTACCAAATCTATACTCAGAGACTAACTCATGAACAACATGTCTACATGCAGCGGGTCTCGAACGAGTTGATAATGCGGGCCGGATCAATGGCAGGCGGTAGCGGACCCCCCAGCGCTGCCAGTCCGTTTTGTAACAAACATGAACGGCCCGGTGGTGTTGAATCCTCACCGTCGCATTTAGTTTACCAGTTTTCTCGTAAGTGTGCGGTTTGATGCACTGTGTTAGTGTGATTCCATGCACCTTTGGCTTACAACATAACTTTGCACCTAATCTGTTTTTTGGTAGAGATGTCTTTGTACATACAACAGTACACTTTTGTTTATTATTATGAATTGCTTTTAAATTGAATTGGAACAAGTTAAAGCCTATATTTGGTGTCTTATTGCAAATGGTAGACATAGTTGTGGTAATGAAATGCAAGTTAGCACTAAACAACAAGGAAATAGATATTCTGTCGTGTACCTTCTCCAAGCTTGTAAATATTTTAAGTATTCCAATGTGGAATGATAATGTGCCAAATTAGTTTTAAATTAAAACAAATTACTCGCCCCTGTTAAATAATTGAAGGAAAATTACATCAACTTCATGATCTGTATGTTGTAATTGTTTACTTCTTGTTTTATGTTGAGACAGAACTATTTAGGTTTAAAAACATTTTCACTTAAAATCACACTCAGTTTCTGGCATATTGAAGAAATTTGTCTATTAAGCATCTTTACCCCACCACCACCTCCCACCCCAACCCCCAAACACATGCACATGTTAGGAATACATGGATAAATGTTGGAACTTAAAAAAAAAATGAAAAAAGTATGTCATATTTACATGATTGATAATTGACTGTTATAAATGTGAGGCCATTCTATTTAATCTATAGTTGAAGAAATAATGCTATAAATAACATATGTTTATAAAGAAAGGTTTCAATTTTGACATATGAAGCTGTTTAGTTGACAAAGAAATTTTTAATTCTGATATATGAAAGTGTTAAATTGTAAAAGCAAGTTTAGATGAGCCGCGTCATGACAAAACCAACATAGTGCGTTTGCGACCAGCAGGATCCAGACCAGCCTGCGCATCCACGCAGTCTGATCAGGATCCATGCTGTTCGCTTACCAACTCTATTTTAAGTAAAGAAACTGATAGCAAATAGCATGGATCCTGATCAGACTGCGCGGATGGCAGGCTGGTCTGGATCCATGCTGGTCGCAAACGCACTATGTTGGTTTTGTCGTGACGTGGCTCAAATACTGTGTAATACTGAGATATGAAACTAAAACTTTGTACGAAGTTTTTAATTCTGAGAAATGAAAGAAAAAAGTTTTAATAATTAGATGAAAGTGTTATAATTTGTGAATGAAAATTTTAAATCTGAGTTATGGAAATGTTTGTAAAAGAACATTTTAATACTGAGATATAAAAGTGTTGGTTTGTGAGAATGTTTAAAGTCTGAGATATAAGACTGTTTGGTTGTAAAAGAAAGTTTTAATTGGGAAATATGAAACTGTTTATTTGTAAAAGAATGTTTGAATGCTGAAATATTAAACTGTTTGCTTGAAAAAAGAAAGTAGTTTTAAATTCTGATATGATAAAGTGTATGTTTGTTTAAAGAAAAGAAGTTTTGTGAGTGTGAGATATAACTGTTTGGTTGTAAAAGATTGTTTAGAAGTTAAATAATAATGTTAAAAGAAAGTTTTCTGTATTTTTAAGAAATATTTTTAATTTACATGACAGGTGCTGATCCAATGTCTGGTGTTAATGGTAGCAACCAGACGCCGCCAGGCTCACTTGCATCACTTCCTGTAGGTGTACCACCCCATTTACTGGCTGCCGGCAGGGAGCAGGAGTTGTTACAGAGTGATCTGTACAGACGGGCTTACTCGGACCCAGCACTCGCTCAACAGGTAACGTAAAACCTGTGTATAGTGACACCTCAATAAACACTGATTGAAATAGTCACTTTTTACCAGGAATATCAAATTCTATAAATAGAATTAGACGCATGTGACTGTCCCTATAACAATGCATTGTGTGTCATCAGCGGCCCAGACAATTATTACCAGACAAGTAATAACGGCCTAGGTTTTGTATTTTTACCATGTAAATGACTTGAATTTGATATAGACAGTTTTGGTAATGATAGCAAAGTAAGGCAACTATACAAAATTGGATAGAAAAAGAAGTTCAGTCAATGAAATGGTATTAAAGGCATGTACATATGATATTTTTTTCATACACTTTTTCAATAGAGATCTTTTTACGTATAGTAAAAAGGTACAATACACATATGCTGGTATATCATAAGCTAATTATTGCATTTGGTGCAATATAATTGTAAATGACATGTTAATAAAGACCCAGGTGTAAACAGTCTTGTACTGGGACGACAGAGATATTTAGATAGGTAAACATACAAAATTAACGTAATATTATTAATCAAACCTATTCAGAACTGTATATCATAATTATTCAAATGTTCAGGCATCCTGGATTTTTCCCCCATTATCATCATTACTGTTAATAGGAATTTCTTTACAAGTATGAAACATAAAGAGAAAGAATTTATATAAATCCGAGTTATTTCGAGATTCCATGAATTGTTACCATGGAAGATTTGTCAAAGTATTCATCAAAGAAATTGCTTTTCTGTAATTGAGATGTGTTTGCATATATCAAGACAGGTACATAGAAAATAATGTGGCAAGAGAATTTAGAGGTTCCTAGAGAATTTGAAGCAGTCCCTGATAAACGAAAAAAAAAAAAAATTATTGAAGTTTCTCTATTGTAAAAATATATACACAATGTACAATGTATTGCAAAGCTGTTCTTTCTAAATTAATGATGTTTTATGCAAATTTACCTGTGTAAATGGGGGCATCCATGGACGAGTGGTTAAGTTTGTTGACTTCAAACCACTTGCCCTTAACCAATGTGGGTTTGAATCCAAACAGGGACTAGGATTCTTTCATGTGAGGAAGCTATCCAGCTAGCTTACAGAACATCGGTGGTTCTATTAAAGTGCCCGTTCATGCCTGAAATAATGTGTGGAAGGGCACCTGATGACACGTATAGGGCTTGAAACCAAAGTTTTCACAGTTAAACAGATGCGACTATAACCACTTCAGCCACTGTACCTTTTTAGTTAACAATTGCAATCTGACAAAAGAATCTGAACCTGTGTGTCTAAAATACTGTTTAAATAATGCTTAGTTTTTGTAGCAATCTAAAATGTTTATGAATGAAATAATAGCTGACTAGTTTTGTTGTTTATATTTCCAGTTACAAGCCCATCATGAGGCCCTCCAACGCATGGCAATGGACAGGGAGAGATTCGGATCTGGCCTTCCTCCACCGCACTGAGGGCGATAACCTGGGTGTGTGCTAACACTGTATTTATATACAAAATCTTTTTGGTGCAATATGTGACAAATTTACACAATTGTTGTTTTTTTTACGTACTGGAAATACAGACTGGGGTCCACAAAAACAAACTAAATCCCAGACTGGTTCCTGATGTGTTAAACCAAGACAGGTGTTCAAATAAAAACATAAACAACCAAGATTGGTGTTCGGAACAAGAAATTTAACAGTGGTGTTCAGAAAATGTAAAAACTGGGCATGTGTTCTAAATATTAAAACACTGAACAGGTGTTTGAAATACGAAAATACCGAACTGGTATCCAAGGAATATTAAAAAGACTGGTGTTCAAAATATATGAACACCAGGTTGATGTTCGAGTGTTCATGGATAGGTTTGTTTCTGGAACTGCTGTGCAGGGGGGAAAATGCAAAGTATTTGTTCTACAAAGTGATGTATTAGAACTAAAATGCAAGATTTGTGTCGTTTGTAGTAATATGTAAAAGTGAAGGTCGTAATTTTTGAACACATACTGTCATTTGGTGTAAAGGGTGTGAACAAAAAGACTGATGTGTTCGGAATGTCAGCAAACTATTTGAAAGGCAGCTCTTAACATTATTCTTAGATTATGTGCTAGATTATTAGAACAAAACAAACAAACCCAGGAGGTAGATATATAAACAAGTGAAAAATGGAACAACTTTGTTACAGAATGTGAGGGATGGTTACTGAATGTATCGGATAAATATAGCTAAAAGTTGGGGGGTTTTTTGGGTTTTTTTTGTAAAAGATGTAATAAGAAAGTTATATGTCCACAGATTTGTTGATACATTTGAAAAAATGTAAAATAATTCACAGAATGGTTTAAATATGTTATATGAAAGCTATCTGTTAATATAATGGGTTTATATGATGTAAAAGTTGCAATTTTAAAGGTAAATGTTGGCAGACCAGTTTATTTAATTATTTTATAGAAAAGATAAGGTTAAAGACAAGGTTTGTTTATGTAAAAGATGTAATTCAACAGTGAAAATGTTAACAAATTGGTTAATTGAATATCGAAGATTTTGTTGCGGATGTTAAACATCAAATCTAATAATATAAAGCTGCTAATTAAAGGTTTACTAAAAAGTATAAAATACAGATTCAAAATTTAGGACAAAATTTTTTTCTTATATTGAAAAAAATATTACATTTTTCAAACATTTTTTTTTTTGTGAGTTTTATTAATATTATTATATTGTGAACACTGATATGAGTGTCATGCTTGAAAGTTTAATTTGAAAAACTTCAAACATGATTTAATCTTTTGACAATTTCAGGTAAATTTTCTGAAATTCAGATTAAAAAAAAGGGAGAAAAATTGCATGAATTGACTATATAAAATTTGTTTTGACAGATTAACTATTGTTAATAATGAATGATGGAACATCAGTTGTACAATATAGATGTGCTTAATTTATTTTATACAAGGATATGATGTAATGTTAAATTGAGCCACGCCATAACAAAACCAACATAATGGGTTTGCGACCGGCATGGATCCAGACCAGCCTGCGCATCCGCGCAGTCTGATCAGGATCCATGCTGTTCGCTTACAAAATCTATAACAAGTAGAGAAACTGATAGCGAACAGCATGGATCCTGATCAGACTGCATGGATGCGCAGGCTGGTCTGGATCCATGCTGGTCACAAATCCATTATGTTGGTTTTGTCATGACGCAGCTCATTATTGTTGTATGTGTTGCAAGTTTTGTGTGTCTACTGGTATATAAAGTGCTAAATTTTAGTCATTTTTCTGTATAGATAAATATATATGCAGTTTTGTGATTCAAGACCATAATGCATCATAATGTTGTGTCATTAGTTTTGGAATTTTGTAAGGTATTTGCTTTATAGTGACCGTTGCATTTTTTAAGACATTTTTCATTAATACAGAAATGAAAGAGCATAATAAAAATTTGTACAGAATATTTCTAGTACTTTCATGATCACATAATAAAAAACAAGTTTGTCATGGCAGTCTGACATCACTGTAGCTCTACGAGTGTTCATATTATGTCGTTATGGTTGACTGGTTTGAATTTGTTGCATTAAACACTCGCGGGTTGACTGGTTAAGATCACTCACCACTCCTCACCTTTTTGTGGCCATATAACACTTTTCAACAAAAATTTCATTATTTTTTACATGTGACAGATCTGTCATCAGTAATTTCATTTTCAATTCAGTTAATAATATATTCACAATTTTATTATAGATAAACTTGGTTAATCTGAGTAATTATATGTTTTACTCACATGCAAAACTATAATTTTTTACATCTATTGAAAAAGTATGACTTTCTGATACGAGATTTTGTTCAGAGATGGTCATATATGCTAAGTTTGCCTGTGTTATAAGACAACTACTTGTTTAATACTTCATAAATTGTCTGGCGGTAGAAATTGATGTCGCATCTGTCACACAAAAAAGGAGAAAAAAGATGTATAATTTTCAAAAAAAGCTTCAGGTGTCAAATTTGCAGTCAGTTTATTTAATCTCCTTTGACTTTATTTCGTGCTCTTTAGGGCAGTTTAAGATTAATTTGTTCCCCTTTGGATTTATTTCTTGTTCTGTAAGGCAAGTTTATTTCATGCTCTTTAGGGCAGTTTGTGACAATCTTTTATTTTATTTATTTTCCTTTGGCATTATTTTATTTCTTTGAGGCAGTTTATGACAATTTTCAGACAAATAAATAAAAATGAGTGTAAGCAGATAAGATAGGTTTCCTGAATTCTGAATATTAGAACTGACAACATAAGTAAATTTTGTTCTGATGCTTTGCTTTAGATATTAATCAGTTTCAACATTTTAGTATAATTTGAAACAGTTTGAAAGATTATAAAGTATAATTTTTCATTCTACATGTATGTTCTCTACCCATCTATTTTATGATAAAATCAATGTGATTGAGTTCAATTATTTATGCGATGAAATTTGTTTATGTGATGAAATTTGATAAATAGAATTTATTTCCCTTTTATTTATGAGCTTTGATTAATAAAATTTGTAGTCACTTATTTTCCACTGATTTTAATGCAATGAAATTAATCTGAAGTAAAGTAGAGGTTACAAATAGATATAAACACTTTAAATTTCAATGGGAGTTAATTCTAAAAATGGTTGCCCCATATGTCATTTCATTGTTGTCATATTTTAGGTCCTTTAGGATAAATGATAACCATTACTTTCTTTGCTTTGAGCTTTGAGAACCAATTGAGCATCTGAAAAATATTCCACTATACATTATCTTCCATGAACAGACTTGATATAACCAAAATAGACATTTTCAACTATTTGAGCCACGTCACAACAAAACCAACATTATGAGTTTTGCGATTGGCGCAGTCTGATCAGGATCCATGCTGTTCGCTATCAGTTTCTCTACTTGTAATAGAGTTGGTAAGCGAACAGCATGGATCCTGATCAGACTGCGCATAAGCGCAGGCTGGTCTGGATCCATGCTGGTCGCAAACGCGCTATGTTGGTTTTGTCGTGACGCGGCTCATTTGTTCTCGTTTTTCATTGCTCCAGAGAGATTTCCGCTTTCCAGAATGTTTTGTGTATACAAAGTATATACAAAGTCTTTATACCTTTACAAGATAACTGGTTATTATGATATGTTTACATATAATGTATATAAAACTTTAAGACACAATTATCAGCAGTATTTTCTTTTCATTTTGATCTCAATAATATCTTATAAATGTCTTCTTTTTTTTCTCTTATTTCCTGGTCTTCTTTGTTAATGGTGTAACTTTCATTATTTGTTAAACTGATTTATTTCTTTTACTGTTGATCTACATGTAAAAGAATAATATTTTGAGTGTTGGATTTTTTATCTACTTTGTTTATTGTTGTATGAATTATAGAAAAGGCGATTCATTAGGGAATATTCTAAAAAATATTTTTGTTAATCAATTTTTTTTGATAAGGTTATTTGAAGAAAATAACATCTTGAATCATTTAAAAAAAAAAGCAGCAAATTGAATACATTATACCAGGTTGGGTTTTTCTTATTTTGCTGTTTATATGACTGAAATATTCCCAAATTCCAAGAGTATTGTTTTCCCCCAAAAGAAGACAAGAATAAGGCTGCTACAGAAAATATTTCTCACTTTTTCTGTCTCATGATTTATGCTTGTCAGCACTGGTAAGTCTAGGCTTGTTAGCAATTGTAAGTCTAGACTTAACACCAATTGTAAGACTAGGCTTGTTAGCAATTGTTAGTCTAGACTTAACACAAATTGTAAGACTAGGCTTGTCAGCAATGGCATAAAATCTCTTCATAATAAAATCATAATTATGCATGAAGCTGATTTTGATTATTGTAGTTGATAAAATACATATATGGCATTTTCTTGTACATTTTTATTATTTTGTGATTTTTCTTATTATATATACTATAAATACATTATTGCTAATCAGTGTGCGTAGAGAAACATTAGTCCAGATTTTCTTTTTTTTCTTGTTACTATTATAATTATTCCATATTTCGTGTAAATATTTTGTATTTTCAATTATGTATAAGACTGTTGTCATGAAAAAAAATTTATCAGTCTTCAAAATGAAGGCTAATTAAAATAATTCCAGTGAAATGTTTTGTGGGTTTTTTTTTCTTGAACATAAATATCCCGAGTGAAGTTCTTTTATTTGACTCCGAGAGTTGATGAAAATTCAAACCTATTTTAAATGTGTGGGAGCTTATCCAGCTAGCTTACCTGTGCCTGAAACAATGCACAAAGAGACGGGTACCTGCGGGTTTTTTATCACCCAATGAAGCTGGAAAATTGCGTTATGTCCTTACATTGTCGCTGTGACTTAAGTCCTACAAACATAAAGAACAAGGCAACTTGTTTAGCCTAGGCTGTGTCAGCTATCTACTGTCATTTAACTGCTTCATGTACTTGAACGTGTATATATGAAATGTCAGTCTTTAGTGAGCTGCTGTATTGTGTAATAGTGTATCTTCATTGTAAGCTTCCTGTAAGGAGCTCTCTAAACTAGCAGCATATGTTGGTTCAATGATGTCCCTTTAATTTTCTTATTTTGTATCGTTTTCCTCCCTGTACAATGGAAACTTAGATTGTGCTGCTGAACTTCCCACCTGTAATTTGTTGGCATGCAGTGTTAAGCACCAAGGTAAGGCTTGAACCATGTTGTGTGTTACGACCCCTTACCAGTAACTGTGTGACAACCAGAAAATGGGACAAGTTAAACATGCTTTTCACATAGCAATTATTACCTCCCCTGGCTACCACTTTTTGGAGGTCCTTCCCAATATATCATGTGCTAAAGATATGATAAAATATCTCTTATAATTCTATCATCTTCATGAAAACTGAAAAAAAATCATTCACATCCGATAGAATATTTACCCCAAAATGGCTGCCACTACTGTCAAGCGGAACAAATATTGCAAAAACTGGGAACTATCTACATGTATATTGTGATGACCAGTAACTAAGTGGCAGAAATAGATCAAAAATAATACAGATAAAAGGGTATATAGCTATTTCAGGGTGTCCGTAATTGGGAGAATAATTAATTTATTGTTACCAACACTTTAGTAAAGATCATAAATTATGATTACTTTCTGGCTTTACTGGTGGAGGAAGACCTCAGGTGCCGCTCAGTGCTTATTGCTGGCACAAGCCCGCAACTGGATAGCAAATGGAATATTTTGCTCAGGGAAACCACCAACATAAATACAACCCGCGTCATGACAAAACCAACATAGTGCGTTTGCGACCAGCATGGATCAAGACCAGCCTGTGCATCCATGCTGTTCACTATCAGTATCTCTACCTGTAATAGGGTTGGTAAGCAAACAGCATGGATCCTGATCAGACTGGGCGGATGCGCATGCTGGTCTGGATCTATGCTGGGAGCAAACCCACTATGTTGGTTTTGTCATGACATGACTCATATATACCTTCCTTACATCAGATAATCCAAAGATGAACCCACAGCAACGAAGGGAAAATGATTCACATGAAAATAAATAACAAACTAAAATAAAAAAAGATTTTCTTTATTTCAAATCCAATGTTGTATATATATAATCAGACATGTATACAACAAACGTAATGGTGCCTCAATATATACATAATATATATATATAAATTATATATATATAGATCATTTGTTCATAATGGACGGACAGATAGTGAGATATAATTATGTACAAAGACATGCATTATGGGATTTCCTAGCAATGGTAAAAATGAGATAAGTGCTTAATAGAAACATTATAGCCCATAGAATATTCAAGATGCTTCATTAAAATATTGTTGACCATTGTTGACCATGGAAATTTCAAGATGCTTAATGAACCATAGTAGACCATGGCTTCATTGAAAAAATTGCAAAATGTTTCATTAAGAAATTGTAGACCATGGAATATTCAAGATGCTTAACTGACACATTGTAGACCATGGAATATTCAAGATACTTAATTGACACATTGTAAGTCATGGAATATTCAAGATGCTTTATTGAAACATAATAGCCCATGGAATATTCAAGTTGATTCATTGAGAAAATTGCAGACCATGGAATTTTCAAAATGCTTCATTAAGAAACTGTAGACCATGGAATATTCAAGATACTTAATTGACACATTGTAGACCATGGAATATTCAAGATTTTTCATGGACACCTTGTAAACCATGGAACATTCAAGATGCTTCAAGGAAAACACTGTAGACCATGAAATAATCATTTATAGGAATATTCAGTTCATATAACCTAATATGGACAAATTTTAAATGACATATGAACAACAAAATATCTTCTCTAAAGCATGCAGTACAAGCAAAAAACATGTACATATTGCCATCTTTGTAGAAGTAATGTTGTTTAACAAAGAGTAAAACCAAATATATTGTGGAAAACCATGTGTAAAATAAATTTGCAAAGCTACATACAATAACATAAATAAATCTTGAAATATGTGTCTTTAAAAATTTTGAAACTTTCCCATCATTTTTGAAACAGACTTTATAATACAATTTTCAAAATCAATCATTATAAATTGAAACAGAGTATAGCAAATATTTTGTCATTACACCACATACATAAAAGCATAATTTTAATGTCTGCAACATAACTACCAATTACACTCTTTGAATTTTGAAATAAACAAAAATGCAAGCATCTCTCCTTGATGTAATGCAATTTACAGGTATTAAAATGTGCTGATGGAAAAGATAGAAAACATAAATTATACATTAAAATCTAACTAATTCTTTATTCACTGAAAATAATTAATTTTCCACAGAAATAAATATTATCTCTCTTTCCCACTTTAAACAGAAAGAAGTTGATCAAAAGGTAGACAAGTATTTTATGGGTAATTTGAAGAGCACGACTAAAGTGTTTAAATAAATAAAATGTTTTGCATCTTGTACACACTTAAAAATATCGGTCCAAGTTGTCTGCACTTAAGAAAATAAAAGAAATCATTATAACTTAACCCATATCAAGTTAAATATCTTAAATGAACCTGCCCATCTTTCCATTTGGACAAAACCATTGACTGAATAGCGGACAGTGCAGACCATGATCAGACGGCACAGAATGATGTACTGGCTAATCTGATATTGGTATAACTCTTATATTTAGTCATAATTTGCTTCCTTTTCAACATTATATTAACTCAATTATGAACACAAGCTTAAGCTTCCAACTTATTTAAACCATACCCCCCCCCCCCCCCCCAATCCTTAAAATTACCAGTGCTGGTGTTGTGATCAGGGCATTGATATAGACACCTGTAAGATTCGAACCCATGACCCCTATGCTGAGAGGCAGGTGCCACTAGGCCAGTGCTTCAGCTTACGTTGGTCTGACAGAATGTAGCAAGGGGCATATTAAAAAGTTTTCAAAACCAAAGGTATGTCCAAAGTTTCATAAAGAAATCGTTGAATTTAAATCTAATTGAAAGAATTGAAATTGTTTCCCCTTTTCATGAAATTAATTGTATAGGACTTACAATGAGGGGATTGTTTTAAAAACGTTGTTTTGTGACATGGTGATAAGAAAAAGAGACGTTGTTGCCAACTTGATAAATAGTTCAACCAGTTTTTGATGAAGATTTTTTTTCTGCTATTAAAATGCAATGATGACATGGCAAGAATTTTAATTTAAAGGTTTATTAGTGGTGTTTTTATATCGCAACATGAAATTAGACCGCTATGAAAATGCCTGCTTCTTTCTTTTTTTAGTCAACCATTTTCCCTCCCTGACTTTATTTAATCAGCTTATCCTGCTTTGAATTTGAAACAGTCCATTTTTAACATTAGGTGATTATAGCTAAATATACTCACAGCTTTTAAATATCAATAAATAAAGGTGTTTTTTGAAGTTATTTAAGCATGCCAATACCGATAGTAATACATCATAACAAATTGTCATTATTATCTAAAACTTATAATTTATCATGATAAAAAATAAACAACCTTATTAAAATAATTTATCATCTTAAGTGAAAACTTATTTATGTAATTTATAATAACTTTCAAAAGATTCACTGATATATACACACAGCAAAATTTCAAATTTATGATTACACAGTTTATAAAGTTTATAATCAAATCAACAGCCCAGCTTTTTGCAGTAAGAGAGAAATAAATATACCAAAAAACAAACTTATGTAGTATAAATACATATATAGATGTAAAGCAAATATCATTCTCAAACACAGTATACCTATACAAATATATATGAAAGAAAAGAAATAAAGGAAACATAAAAATGAGCAAATCACATATAAAATAAAAATCACTAAGGCCAGCCTTGGTTTACAAAAATAGGTTCAGATATAAATCAACTAATTATAATTTAAAAGTGTATTTTGACAAGTATATCGAAATGAATTAAAGGGACTCCACTGCAGTTTCTAGCCATAAGGGGACTGGAAATAATTTTTCGAAGTAAATGTTCAATTTCATGTTATTCTACACCAATAAATTGTATGCAAATTTTCAGATAATTTGCTCACTCATTTTTCCAAAAACAATTATTCTATTTGTGAAACATGACCAAAATCGGGCTAAGAATAGCATAAAAATATATGATTTTTAATTTATTTCTGAGTATATTTCCTAATCATCTTTTGCAGATATTTTTGTTTTAACTGCCCTATGTAAGAAATTTAAATTCTATTTATAGGTTTTTGGACCTCAGTGCAGTTCCTTTAATAATAAAATTCAAACTTTGCTAAAATATATAAATATTGTAGTTTGCATCTCTTGGAAAACAATATTTCCAATTTTATAGAAAATGTTTTATTCCCATCAATTTTTATTCACAAATATAATATTTAATGCCCCTTCATTCATAATTCACTTGAATTTAAATGTATAAACCTTTATATTTGCTGTGGATTGAAAAAATATAATAACTTTTTATATTGTGATGAAAATAGAAAGAAATTTGTCAGTAACTATATTTATTGAAAGTTTTATTGAAAGTGAAGGGTGCATGAGTGAAATCATCACCAAACTATTAAGAATAGTAGCAGAAATTTTTGTTACGGAATATTTTATTACATACAATATTTCTTTATATTATATTACATAGACTTTCATTGTTAAAAATCTTAAGGTTATGAAAACAACAAAATTTTACTATAATTAACATATAGCTTCATGTACTTAAACTTTAAATGTATGTTGTTGTTTTTTCTATCACATAATCCTTACAGTATACTGTACTGATTTCCTAGAAATTGGACTTACCAGGTTAAAAGGTTTAACAGTTGTAGTTCAAGCACTGCTAGGGTTATAAATTAAAGTAATGTTAAACATGTCAGCAATAGAAGATTATAAATAGATAAAGGGGGACAACTCCAAAATAAAAAATTTACCAATTCAACTTGGCTTTTTTATATATCCTCATTAAAATAAGCTAAACAGGAAATTGATTTCCTTTTTAAAGCCTAAATCCTTATGAGATACAGTTATGTCAAAGATACATTTTTGCCTTAAAGGGTTTTCATTGCTCATGAAAAAGAAAATCTTTTGAAATTTCAAAAATTATTTACTGACAAACACTTCCTTTGCTTCACAGAAACTACATTGTTCGTGATTTAATTTAATATACACCTTATTTCTCTATAAAGAAAGAGACAAAAAGTAAATACACAATAAGCAATCATTTCAAGGTTGAGCACTCTTTTAAAATCAAACAAACAAATAAATAACTTCACTGTAAAAAAATACATGTATATATCAAAGTAATATATCTTTCATAATAAATAACGTAATAAAATAACATATTCAATAATATTGTGTTCATGGCTAAAAAGAAAAAATTAAATCATGCATTCAGTATCCATATCCGAGGGCGAGTAAAAACAAAAATGTTACAGTACAAGAAAGGACTATCTCAGCAAGTTCTCCGAATAGATTTGAACCCTTTTCCGCCTTAACATGTGTTATATCTGCTTATCAGACTGGGACTTTTTAACGTCAGCACCGATGCTGGAAAATGATATCTTACACAGCCTAGGTGCAAGACAAGTCATGTGCTATGAATGACATCGTATCTCAGCCTTCAGGAACAAGTCCAGTAGAACGAGTCTAGTGCTTAAAGTTATGTCAGACTTGAGTATCCAACTCTCTTGTAAATGTTTACCAGAATTCAGCAGAGTCTTGTTACTGACCTAAATAGTTACTGTCGAGCCAGATATAAAAGTCTCTTAGCAGTCAGTGTAAATATTTTTGTGTACAGTCTCGACATAATTTGAATTTATATCTGTCCCATGTTCATTTCTGGGATTTAAAGTTGCATGCCTCCAGAATAAGTCAAAATATTTCAAGAAACTCAAACTTGAGAAAACTGTACAAAAATTTTAAGAAAAGTAACAAGATTTAAGTTTCAAGTAATAATTTACATGCTATGTACAATCAATGACCAATTTTGCGGTATTTATCGGATATTTCTACTGCGTTACTAACGCAGTAAGGGCTATTTTTGACCTCATTTTGGTAATTCACATAGATTGTAAGTGCCATTTGCAATGTGTAAATTAATATCTTTGTTCAGTTCAGGATATTTTACTTTTAAATAAATTTTCAAAATTTTCATGAAAACTAGTATGAACCTATAGGCATGCTGCTTTTTAAAACTCTTAATTTTGCTATATTTCTATAATGGACTTGCCAAGATTTGAATTTGGGACAGTCCATTAAAACTTTAATGGATTTCAATATAAAAATACTAAAATAGAGCCTGGTCATACTGCACAAATGTACAGGCTGGCCTGGCTCTATACTGTGGCAAGGCATATAACTATCGGTTCCAGCAAGTTAAGGGTTATTTTAAAGGTCAAAGTAGTAAAATTTAATTGTCCACAGTAAAGAATTTAATTGTCCACAGTAAAGAATTTAATTGTCCACAGTGGTAAGACTGGCATTAGTGTACAGGAGAGTCTGGCACTATACTGATGACAGGCATATAACACTTTAACACAGGCTAGCAAACAAAAAGGACATAAATATGGGTCACTCGCATCATTGAACTAAGTGCTACATATACTGCATCACTAAAGTGTCCTTGTTGTAAAATTACATAATGTCTTAATGTGACTATCTAAATTAAATGAATGATCATTTTTTGGAAACGTGTTTTACATTTATGACAAGCTCATACAAACTGAACCCTGAAAATGAAATCAATGAAAACATAACTTGCAATAATTCTCTTATGCATAAAGAAGGTGTATAGCTGTACATAACTGTATATGAATAAAGCTATGACCTTTGTGGTCAATTCCTTCACATCAAAATTCTGAAGCCTTGTTAAAACCCAATGAGAACCAATAATACAAAATCTGATATCATTTCTTAAAGGAACTCCACTGAGGTCAAAAATCTTAAAACATAAAATTTGAATTTCTCTTCTCTTTAAAGCAACTGGGGCATTTAAAATGGAAAGATATGATAAGGATGATAAAGAAATATACTTAGAATTAAACCCAAAAACATTTTTATAGCTTGATACAAGTTAAGTTGTTGAAATGGTTTTTATTTTTTGGGACCATTTTGTACAGTGAAAATAATTTTTCTGGAAGAATAGAATGAGCAAAATTAATGACCTTAAACATAAAATGGTACATAAATCTCATAAAATATTATCCAGTACTGTCATGTCACAAAACCTCAGTGGAGTCCCTTTAAAGTAAATACTGAGACAAAATTAAATATTTTTCAAATCAAAACCAAACTTATCATCAATGATTGCCAAGTTAAGTAGCATGTTGACCAGTATGTCAAATATTTACATAAAATGTTGCAATTTACAAAATATTCAAAAACACTCAAAAATATTATAACAGGATTTCACTGATACAGGAAATCTTTGATTTCTGTCAAAAAAAATGATAAAAATTGTTTTGGAATTCTTTCAATTGTTTTAATTATGAAAGACACAAGTTTATTTTGTCAGTAATAAAACAAATATGAGACAGAATTTAGACATAGCAAATCATGACAAATTATAGACATAGAAAATCAAGTCAGAATGTAGACATAGAAAATCATGTCAGAATGTAGACATAGAAAATCATGTCAGAATGTAGACATAGAAAATCATGTCAGAATATAGACATAGAAAATCATCTCAGAATTAAGACAAAGAAAACCATGACAAAATTTAGACATAGAAAATCATGTCAGAATTTAGACATAGCAAAACAATGACAGAATTTGACATAGCAAAACCATGCCAGAATTTAGACATAGAAAATCATGTCAGAATTTAGACATAGCAAAACCATGACAGAATTTAGACATAGCAACCATGACAGAATTTAGACATAGAAAATTATGACAGAATTTAGACATAGCAAAACCATGACAGAATTTAGACATAGAAAATCATGTGACCAACTGGAATCTGCATAATCTATTTGCATATTTTCTGTGGGATTAATCACAAACAATGTCTTACTGAATTTGAACAGAAGTTAATTTAACAATGAGATCAGATTAAAGATGTTTTAACATAAGAAATATAAAACACACTTGCAACATTTTAAAATATCTTCTTTTTAATTTCATTTTTTATTGTAGAAAGAGCTATCATTTCTGCTTGATATGGCATTGCAATATTTTATTTCTGACAATTGTAATAATATTCATGAAACAATTATTAGGTTTTTAAAAAGACCAGTACTGAACTAGCAAAATAATATCGGCTAACCCAGTTCTGGACCAGAATATTGTTATAACTTTGCTAGCTCTATTTCATAATGCCTTACTTGGCAGGAAACAAAAAAAAACAAAAAATATTTGATGTTTATGGAATGTGAAGTACACTGAAAATCAACAAAACAATCATAACAAAAGGAATTTTAACACAGAGAAAAAGAAAACAACACAAACAAAATCTTAACATCTTTCTATTGCACACCTCCCCTTATGAAGAGCTCTTAAAGAGGGGGCATAACTCTAATTTTCCTCATAGAAAATTCTCATATCATCAGATTGCACTCCCCTGAGAAAATATCAGGTTCAAATTTTTTTTAACTACATTATTTTTACCCAGCAGTAAAACCGTTGCTTTGTAGCACATTCAACACCTTACAAAAATAAATATGAAGACATAAAACTAAGATTTAACAAACATTCTTAATACACATAACAAGACACATCTGACAGAGAATCAATGAAAAAGAAAATATTTCTACCATTTTTTGAATACATACATTTGATATGGTATGATTTTAAAAAGACCAGCTTATATACAAAATATATATATCTAGAAAATAGGATTCACAGTGAACCCTAGTCACTGTTCATCAAACTACAGTACACAATTCAGCAGAGTGATTCTTACATGATCTATATTATAAATTTAACAACAGATCAACATGATAAAACCATTACAATAAAATATATCTACATTTGTTTAACCTAATTTTCAAAATGTTCTAGAAAACTAAAAACTATGTGCAATGAATACAATGAGAGTTGACAATGAAGTTTCATGAATACAGCATTTGGCATAACATACATATATGATAACCTCATTTCAAATAATGAGCACTTAACAAGGAATCTTGGATCAAAGTAGCCACTCTTCTTTTCATATTAAATATATCTCACAATCAAAACCACCATATTAAATGTTTTACAGCTAACAATATATTAACAAACTCAACAACTCATTTGACCGCCCGTCACATTTTCAAAACTTACACAGAACTCAAATTTTGCACACTTGTCTGCCATTTTGAAGTAGACTGCGTCACAAACTTTTATTCAAGTCTGGTTCTCTAGTCTTTTAAAAGTTTGGTCACAGTCTGTAGTGCCATATTTATTGTGTTGACTGTGTCACGGAATTCCTCACTTCAGTCTGGTATATCACCTCATAAAAGTTTGTCCCAGTCTGTGAAATCTTCTTCTATGTCATCAACAGAGATGTGGTTATTTGGGACTGTATAATTTACAGGCTGTACTTCTACACGAGGCCGACTTGATACAAAACTGTCAGTCTAATTTTATAAAAGAGAAACAACAATTATTGAACAGAAGTTGCAGCATATAACAGGTTAATGACATTGTAAATTCATTATTTAAGTGACAGCATGGACGAATGGTTAACACATAGGACTAGTGTTCTAATGATTGATTGAGTTCAAATCCTGTCAGGGGCAAGTCATTGTTTCTGTCAGCAAGAAACTTTACACTCATTTCTCAGAACTGGTAAGTTCCAAGAACGGAAGATTGAGCTTTTTTAATTGCCCACAATCTTTACCACACAGCCATGACTGCAAAGGCAGTGCAATCAGACAGTGTTATCTAGAATATATCTAATGATAAAAATAAGATGAACATTTCTTTCATTTCCACTTTGACAACATGCTACTACTACCAATTGATCAGTTTTATTCATATTTGCTGGTAAGTTCCAGTTGCTTCTGAGGACTAATTCTTGAAATAAAATAAATCATATACTCACTAAAAACACAACTCATATTTTAATACTTACAGTTGAGGCCGGAGACACCTGCGGGCTGATTCCCTGTATATCTAACGGAACTTTTAATGTCAAATTACTTGTACCATTAAACATCGGACCTTGACCTGCAAGAAGGTAAAAGTAATGATGTATCAAAAATTTACACCAAAAAATTTTGAACAGAAATATAAGAAGTTGAGATTTAAATTTTACAGACAATGCAAGTCATGCAGCAATTAACAAGCTTCACTATAAGAGCATAACTGTAAATAAGACTGGATCAAAAACATATGCATAGCACTAAATGTATATGCCAAGAATATTTAAAGGAATAAACAAGCAAAATTTTCATTTCTTCGTTTTGAATTTTTTCATTCATTATTCTGTAAATGTCCTCAAAACAAATACACTAGGCAGTAACACCTTATAAAGAATAAAATGGTGGTTTCCTAACTTCACCCACGAGAGTCAGATTAAAGTGTTAAGATTTCACAATAGTTGTCACAGTGAACTCTGGAAAGGTTTAAGATCATGTCAAATGAATGACTTAGGCTTGTTTCAATCATACAATATCCACATTATCTGTTATTGTAACTTCCAGGGTTTATTCAAGTCACATGACTTGTTTTAAAATTATTAGGTGATTCTGTCAGCATGTAAATTTCGTTCAACATATATAAACATATTTATGCTTCAAACCCAAATTATATAGAATTTATACAGAAATTCATGCTGGGTCTTTACAAAATGTCATTTTAGCATGATTTGAGTACATAAGATCATTTTAATATTTTTGTCATTAATTTGCCTGATTATCCCTTTAAATAGCTTTCTCATATAAAATATTCAAAGGCAAAAGCGAAATTCAAAATGCTTTAATGCAATTAGCAACCAATTGAATGTTTTAACTTTCTTTATATCCTAAATCTGCTTACACCGATATTGCTTAGCTTTTGTTACCAGTATGGAGCCAGGCCAGCCTGCACACTCTTTCAGTCTGACCAAACTCTATACAGCTGCTAGCTTCATGTTTGTATTTTGAAACTGAAATCCCTTTAACTTTGAATAGAATGTTCCTAATTAAAAGCAGGACAAGTCAATTAACACAAATTCAGCAGATTCAGGGTTAATCTCTAAGCCCGGAGGCTTTAAGTATGATACCAATATGATAGTCTGACAATAATTAGCTGTAGTTTAAAAGATTCAAAAGTTTATTTTGTACCAAAGCCTCCAGCCCATATACAACATTCATTTGTACAGCTGTATTTGGATAGTCTGACAATATTTACCTGTATTAAGATAGTCATGACAATATTTACCTGTATTAAGATAGTCTGACAATATTTACCTATATTAAGATAGTCATGACAATATTTACCTGTATTAAGATAGTCATGACAATATTTACCTGTATTAAGATAGTCATGACAATATTTACCTGTATTAAGATAGTCATGACAATATTTACCTGTATTAAGATAGTCTGACAATATTTACCTGTATTAAGATAGTCATGACAATATTTACCTGTATTAAGATAGTCATGACAATATTTACCTGTATTAAGATAGTCTGACAATATTTACCTATATTAAGATAGTCATGACAATATTTACCTGTATTAAGATAGTCATGACAATATTTACCTGTATTAAGATAGTCATGACAATATTTACCTGTATTAAGATAGTCATGACAATATTTACCTGTATTAAGATAGTCTGACAATATTTACCTGTATTAAGATAGTCATGACAATATTTACCTGTATTAAGATAGTCATGACAATATTTACCTGTATTAAGATAGTCATGACAATATTTACCTGTATTAAGATAGTCTGACAATATTTACCTGTATTAAGATAGTCATGACAATATTTACCTGTATTAAGATAGTCATGACAATATTTACCTGTATTAAGATAGTCATGACAATATTAACCTGTATTAAGATAGTCATGACAATATTTACCTGTATTAAGATAGTCATGACAATATTTACCTGTATTAAGATAGTCATGACAATATTTACCTGTATTAAGATAGTCATGACAATATTTACCTGTATTAAGATAGTCATGACAATATTTACCTGTATTAAGATAGTCATGACAATATTTACATGTATTAAGATAGTCATGACAATATTAACCTGTATTAAGATAGTCATGACAATATTTACCTGTATTAAGATAGTCATGACAATATTTACCTGTATTAAGATAGTCTGACAATATTTACCTGTATTAAGATAGTCATGACAATATTTACCTGTATTAAGATAGTCATGACAATATTTACCTGTATTAAGATAGTCATGACAATATTAACCTGTATTAAGATAGTCATGACAATATTTACCTGTATTAAGATAGTCTGACAATATTTACCTGTATTAAGATCATAATGTGAGCCAGGTAGGTTACGTGTTGGTGTATTTCCTCCTGTCTGGTGGAAAAAATTGCTGAGAGAGGAGGCAAGGTCAGCAAATTGTTCCGGATTAAAAGACCAGTTAGCACTTTCACCTTGCTTCATAGTGTCAACCAAACCTGAAAAGATAAAAAGATTTGTCAAGGGTTGTCTATGTTAACTCATACCCTGATGAATGTTTATGTATTTGATTTGCCCTGTAAGAACTTTTACAATGCAAAGCTGGTAAAATCCATCCATTATACAAATTGATTCTGCAGGTTAGGGGTTGATAAATTACATCTAAACATCACTTGAGTATCCTTTTCTCCAGGTTTCACGTCCGAAAATTGATAATTTAGGCTCGATAATTTTGGTAAACAAACTTAAATCGTCCAAAATTTCACAACATTTAGTCGCCACATGCAAAATTTGTTATTACATTGTAACTATATTATCCTTTTTTTTTTAAGGTTGCATGTTCGAAAATTGATAATAGGGCTCTATTAATCTAAAACGTCAACATTTCACATCTTTAAGTCACCAGCTTTCCCCAACCCACATATATAGACTGACCAGGCTCTAAACTGTACGCTGAGTAATTTTTAGTCTTCATATTAATGTACCAAACCTGATAATGGACAGACCCACAGCACCAAATATGGAAGCTAGGTCAGTCCATTTAAGAAAATTTAATACAGGGTGGTGAGGGTTTATAGAATACCATTAAAATGTCGATTTACTTGTTGGAGGATGGAAATAATATATATATTGTCACCTTAGTGCAGTAATGGGTAAAGTCCTTCTAAATTAAATAGGAGTTAACCAGTTATAACAAATTAAGGTGACAATATGCATGTTAATTGGTTCATTTGCAAAAAAAAAGATCTTTGGAAACTGTGATTTTTTTCCCAACATTTTACAGCCAAATAAAGGTTGTTTCCCCCTAGTCAAAAAATAGGTATATTTCCCCCTACAAATGCGTCTTTTCCCACTCTGAAAGCCACAGGTTGTTTTGAAAATTGAAGACAAACAAAAACTCTGGGAAAGAAACAGGCTTAATTAAGAGTAGACCCTAGCTTCTGTGAAAATATAATTAACAGTACATAAGTCATGTGACCTTTCCCTACTATTACTCTTCATTTAAACCTGTCATTGACCTAATGTCTTATAAAGGCAATCAGTGGTACACATGTAAAACCACTGAACAATCAGGAAATCTTTTATTCCAGGTAAACGCCTGGTCCAATAAAATATTAATACAATTCAGTAATTACACTACCTGCTTCTATACAATCAATAAATACCTTCACATACAAGTTTCCTTGTTTCATATAATTAGATTTGCTTCCTGGTACAGTATTTAATAAATGAGAGCTTGAGGCTATAGTAACAGACATTTGACCTATTGGTACATTATCCCACCAGTGGCCACCAGTATTATAAGAGTCAGACAAGAATGCACATCTTTGTATTCTGAGTAAATTCTTAATAAATCACCTTTTCCAGTAAGGTGGTTTTTACATGATTGTGTACTGTTGAATGCCTTTGTAAGGCATCAGGACGTCTGCCTGTATTGCCACCTTATTGCAGTAACGGACTAAATCCTATTTAGTTATATAAGGAGTTGACCAGTTATGTCATCACCTCAGTGCAGTAACAAATTAACTCCTAATTAGTTATATAAGGACTTAACTGGTTACTGCATTATTTAAAAGTGACATCATCACCCTATTGCAGTAACCAGTTAACTCCTATTATATTATATAAAGAGTTAACCAGTTACTGCACTAAGTTAACATGTAGATATATACATGTATATACCTTGGAATTGTGAAATATCAATGTCCTGCCAGTTATAAGTTCCGGTTCCAGCCAGTCTCAAACTTTCCTTCAGTGTGTCCAAATTCTGCAAGAAATCTGTGCCCGATGATGCCAGGTGATTTCCTATAAATATAAACAACTGACTTGATACCTTGTTAAAAATTTTAAGTATGAACAAAAATTTTGACACACAAAAATGGTTTTGAAATTTATTGGACTGAAACCTTTTTCAAACTTTTATCTACATGTTTTAACAAAAATTCTGACCACAAAAAACAGTTTTGAAAAAAAAAAACGAATAAGTAAAACATTTCAAATCAATAAATAACACTATTTTCTATTTGCATGTTGATGAAAATATAAATTTTTAGAATGCAATAAACATGAAACTGTGTTATCATTAAATGAATCAGTGTTAGAAATTATACTTCAAATTGTTAAATAAAAACAAAAACTTCATGATGCGTAATAAAGGTATAAAACTCTTAACTGACTAATTATTTTCAAGATGAAAATTGAAAACTTGTCTGTAATTTAAATTTGAAAGATATAATCTAGAATAAAATCGACATAAAAACTAAGATTTCAATAGAATTTGATAATAAATTAAACCTTTAATGACCGAATCGAATTATAAGAACAAATTAAATACAAATATAAATTCGATTGAATAATTTTTGCCGCACCTTTCTCTCTAATCTTGCAAAGTAAAAACTTATTCTAGTGTGTATTTGATACAATATGTTAGTACACTTTCTGTACTAGTATGTTGTATTTTAATGTAATATGAAAATATTCTGATAAAATGTCCCTCCTCAGTTACCCTTGCCATTCCCAACCAGTAAAATAAATCACAATCCTTACCCCCAACCAAAGCATTACTCATTCCATATAATAATCAACACATTACCCACCCTGTCCATACCACATCCTCCCCCCCGCCCTCAATTTATTACCACTCCTTACCAAGAAATACTAATATTTACACATTACCCATCCCATCTGACCCCCATTCATTAAACCTGGGTCCCATTAAGCTCTTATTAACTCCCCATCAAACCATCAGGTCTTATTCCAACTATAGCAAGCCCACATACCTTCCCATTAAAATTTGTACTTATATCTTAGATGTAGCATTAAGGCTGCAGAATTGTATATGAAACTTGTTTCTCTTTGAATCTGGAACAGTCTATTATCAAAATACATAAATTGAGCAACTAAACTATGTCGAATGGTCATACATGTAGCTCTGTTACTATATTAACTAAATTGAACAGATTTAAAACAAGAATTGTCCATAAGACAGAGCGCTTGACTATTCTCAGTGTTTGACAGTAAGCAAAGGGTCATAACTCTGTAAATAGGTAAATAAGTTATATAACCTGCACCCATCATGTAAGATAATCACTGTTAACATTATGTGTAAAGTTTCAACCTGTTTCCTTCGGTAGTTTCGGATATACCAACTTGCAAGCAAAAATTAACCAAAGTGTGACAGCAACGCAGATGCGGACACCAATGTTTGGTAGAGTACAATCATTAAGCTCTCCCTATTTTTTGAATAGGCGAGCTAAAATATGCTTTGAAATACAGTATATAAAATCTTGAAAAAAATACCTAATTCTGGTTTTGGAGACAAAAATTATTTTTACAGAAGCTAGCAGTTCTGTCTAAGACAAATAAATATCTTGAAAAAGAAACGTTTTGGAAACAAAAATTATTCTTATAGTAGATTGCAGTCTGTCTTACACAAATCATTAACAGAAAAAGTGACAATGTTTACATAACAATATTTGTTAGTGCAACTCTATATGGGTACTGTCTATATAATATAAATAATGTGTCATATAATTCTGAAATGTTAGAAAAGAATCAAGTTGATTAGGTCAAAATGGGTACACAATAAATTCTCTAGAGGGTTTGTTTAGTAACAAGGTGCTATGTACATATTCTCAATTAGCAAAAATAAAATGGCCTAAAAGTGTCATGTTATTTAATATGATAGTTATTAATGGATCATGTGAAAGTGTTTCTCTATTTATTTTTCTTTGATTTGGCTTTAATCGTATTTTATTTGCAAACTTATACAAAACAAGAAAGTTTTCAGGAAAAATAAATGTGATCTACCATGATGTGGTCTTTACTTGAAATTGAACTTTGACCTTACTTTTTGTTCTTTGACCTTCAAACGTGACATGACCTTATATTGCCACTGCAAGGTCAAATTCACATTCATTTACATAATAAATATTTAATTTTTTTTGCAACACCTTATATCACAGGTTCATATTGTATCTACAGTCAAGTGAATTGTTGCCCTTTGCCGTTAGAGAGCATAATCTTTCCCCTTAGTCAAGGTACAATGCCTGTATCAAAGATTTTAGATTACAAGTTTGTTATACATCTAAAACTAAAGCAGCTGATAGCACAAAACAAAACTTTTTAACATTGAAAAACAGTGCTGTATGAAGCTGGGACCACAAACACATTACTCAACAGTAACGCATGTTTGAGCACCAATTTTTAATTTTAAAAAAGCACGCTGTGTTAGAATTTATTTAATACTCACTTATAAGAAATTTGTATGATAATGTCAGTAAAAAGCATAGGAAATAAAAAACAGCACTGCACAATGCGGGTATGTAGACTGAGTATGGTTAAGAACCGGAGCTCACCTGTATGACTTGAACCATTCAGATATGTGGTGCTCGAGCCTACAACATCAATGTTTGTATCTGTTAGGATAATTTCCGTTCTTGACTTGACATGTAGTAAACTAGCTACTTTATAACATTTATTTTATTTGTTTTTGTCAAGTCCAAGTTCATATGACGACTTTCCAGCAGTAAATGGCAGAGGAAAGCCAAAGATGTCACTACTATGTCACAGGTGATATAGAGGATATTTGTTTATTTCAGTGAAAAGATCGGAATATATTTCACCCAGGCAACAAAAGGTATATTTCAGGAGTGGCACAACCACGAGTGAAATATGAACTTTTGGTGTTCATGATGTGAAATATATTTCGATCTTACACTAAACTAAACAAATTTTCTTTTTATTATATGCAAAGAAACGTTTAAAAAGACATTTTAACCTAATACTAAATGAAAATCGCGCCAAATAAAAATACAACGTGACGTCATTCACGACGTTACTCATTAAGTTGGTTCCCAGTACTGTGCACGCTGGTATTTCACTGAAACAACGTAACTGGCTTAAATTCAAAACAGTGAAAAATATCAAATTGATAATTTCACTGTTTCAAACAGTGAAATATCAGTTTTATATTTCACTGATATATTTCTATAAAACACCGAAAAGCATGTAATAAAAAAACATTACTTTTCGCTCCTTTGTCAAGGCGATAAAAACAATAGAAATGTATCATTTGGATATTCTAATAAATATTGCTTGAAAAAAATGTAAATAAAGTTCTAAGTCAAATAATATTTTGAATAATAATATTTTGTTCTAAAACATTTTATTATCTGCTTAGCCTATATAAATAATTGTAATATCGGATCATGTATCTCACACTTGCCAACAGCATCAATATATAATTCTTTGGTAGGGTAATGTAATGTCTAATACTTTATACTACCAACTTAATTTTTATTATATCACAAACCTTACATTATTGACCAATTCACTTTAATATTCACAGGACAATTTTTTAATAATGTTTAAACAAAAACTAAACAACCATCTTCCAACAAATGTAATGTCCTACCTTCTTTACACATTATAAATTTTGGTCAACCCTTCAGGTCTAATTAACTTTACAATTATACTAGAACTAAACAATAAAGTTACAAAACAACAAATAACAGGATTTAGGGGAAATGAGAAAATATGCGAGTTTCTAATGTCCTGATAAACAATTATTCCAATTTCTATGTACTTACAACCCTAGTTTTTTGATATCTACTTTAATAAATTCTCAAAATCTGTCTTAAAAATTTTTTGTATTATCAATTCCATGGTATCTAATTTAAATCTTCTACAACAATAATTTCAATTGTGTGAGCATTCAATGGCATTTCATAACTGTCAAACATAACTCTAAAAACATCTCTTTTTTTCTTTTTTTTGTTGGGTTTTACTTCACCTCAACACAGTAGAGGTCATACAGCTTGTGGAGGAAGACCTGAGGTGCCCACTTGTAAGGAAAACCCTTGAAATTACATGTATGCATTTATATAAGGAAAGCCCTTGAAATTACATGTATGCAAGTAAATATGAATTCAAATGCCATCAATAAACAATATTCTTTAATTCATTGTAAGCTCTTTAGTTTCGATTGGTTGTTCTAAAATTCCCAATTTTGACTTTTACAACACTTTTATCCCCCTGATTTCAATTGTGATGGTTTATTTTCCCAAAACTGTTTGAAAAAAAAAGGCGGGAAAACATAAATATACAAGATGTTTCATACAAGAGGCGGGAAAACATAAATATACAAGATGTTTCATACAAGAGGCGGGAAAACATAAATATACAAGATGTTTCATACAAGAGGCGGGAAAACATAAATATACAAGATGTTCCATACAAGAGGCGGGAAAACATAAATTTACAAGATGTTTCATACAAGAGGAACACATGCAGCAGATACAATATACAAATATATAAAGGACAGACTAATCAACTACAAGACTAATTTGACTACACATTCATGCATGCTTGTAAGGCCAAACACAAATTATTCTATGTTTTCTTATGCCATCTGACTTGTACAGAAGATATATCAAAATTTTCTTTCCTTTTTCCACTAACTTTCCCTCAACCTTTGTCTCTAAATTTACACATTTTACACATTTTTTTCATCAGTCTAAATCTTGCTAAATCTAAAATGTCAATTTCAAGAAAATTTAGGAAACAAGCAACTTGTTTTCAAATGACAATTTTAGGCACAACTTGCTGGTTTATTCAGAACAAATCTTCTTCAAAAATGTATGAAAATTATTGAAAGTAATAATTAAAATAACTAAAATAAGACAGAGAAAAAATAAAACATGAGTATTTCCCTTTGTTGACAGAAATGTTTAAAAAAGGTTATTCATAGTTAGTTAAAAATGTTGATGAATGGATTTTGATGGTTGGATAGATGGATGGATGGAAAAGATGATGATGACAGGCACACAGAATGATCCGTATTTAGACCTTACCTGGTGGATTTTCGAATATGGATTTATATAAACTTCTAAAAGACGCACTCAAGTCTTGTTCGATATGGGAGTTGTTCTCGATAAATGAACCTTGATTTGACGGTTGGGTCTGTGACTGAAAATACATAAATAATAATTAACTTGAAAAAAATAAATACATTTTGTAAAACAAATCATGGAAGTAGAGTTATATACATTGAAGTAGCTCATCAGGCTTCTAAACTGGAGGTTGTGGGTTGGAATCCCACCCCAACAGTGGCGAGATTCATTTTTGACTTTCACAATCAACACTTATGTTTCTTCACTAAAAACAAATTAAATTATTTTAGTTTAAATGTTGCCATATATTTTTCTATTCAATAACTAGTTTGAAAATTTTTACCAAGTTATATGGCCCAGTAAAAATGGTTGTAAGTTTATATAACCCGGGGCATTATGAAACGGGTTTTACAGTAAGCACACATTAATACACAGCTATATCCACTGTCACAAACCACTGTCATTGCATAATTGCTTTCTTTATTAATGAAAACTCATTAATACACAGCTGTTTATAATCACCTTTTACAAATATGCATGATTGCTTTCTTTAATTAAAATGAAAACTCAGTCAGACATTTGCAACAGCTGTGCTTATAAATAACATAATCATCAAGATGGCCTTGTGAAAACTGACAATACAACTGTCTTGTTTGATGAAATACAATCACCGACAAAAAACATTGTTAGCATTCACAACACCTTAAAGTACTTAACAAAATTTACTTCCTTTTTTGTGTTCTTTTTTATATATATTATTATATATTATTCAAAACAAGTTACACTTACTGTACCATGTATGGGAACACATACATTGACTGTCAGCCAATTAGTTTTTAAAATACATCTGATTAGAGTAGTGTATGGCTAAATTCCAACAGAAACCTGTTAAATATGTATAGCTTTTATCATAAAAAAAATCTTTTTATAAAACATGCTACTTGTTGGGGGGGGGGGGGGGGGGGGGTCCAGTCATACCAAGACCATAAACCATAAATGCAATATGGTGACTTTTCAGCTTTACTGGTGGAGGAAAACCTCGGGTATTGCCCCTCTGTGCATTACACTGTATTTCAAGTAGGTAGAACCATCAACATTCTCCCCTTAGCTAGCTAAATAACTTCCTCAAAAAAATAAAAGAATCCTAAGTTCTTGACTAGATTTAAAGCCATATTTGATTTGATTTCAATTATATACTTAAAGCAGCATGCCTCCAGATGAATCAAAATATTTCAGTAAAATCAAGCTTGAAAAAAATGTAAATAAGATTTAAGGAAAAGTAAAAGATTCAAGTATCAAGTAATAATTGACATGTAATGTGTGATAAATTGCCGATTTTTCAGTAATTAGATCTAAATTTTTTTGCGTTGCTAACGCAGTAAGGGCTCTTTTTGCGTTTTTTCACCTCTTTTGGGTAATTAACATGGAATTTAAGTGCCATCGATAATGTGCAAATTGCTTCCTTTTGGTTACTTTACAACTTTATGCTTTTTAATTAATTTTCAAAATTTTCATGAAAATCAGCATGAATCTGGAGGTGTGCTGCTTTAAAGTCACCAAGATAAACAATAACCCTGTGACCTAGTTACTAGTAAATATCTATGAATTTTCTTTTGAAAATATTGGTAATGTTCAATTTATAAAAACAGAAAATCAGTCTTTTTTTTATTGTAGGCTGTCCTAAACATTTGATATGATCAACTTATTGTGCAATCGCTATTGTAATACTAGTAATCAATGTTTAGAAATATGCAACTATTTTATCTCAAATTGACTGTGTAAAAACTGAGCAAATAATGTCAATTTAATTGTTGCTACCCTAAATGTAAACAAGAATTATAAAACATAGAACCATACTGAAGTTTTACTGGCAACTTTTGATTGGTCAGTCAGTCAACATATCTTACCTGTGAGATCGGAACTGTTGTAACTTGTACACTAAGGTTATTCGCTGATACTGGTGACCCCATACTTGAATTACTATGACCAGACTCGGGACTGTAAGGGGTCTCCTACAAAAGAAATAAAATAAATATTGCACTTTATTTTAATTCAAAAGTGAACTCTTATCTAATTGTAACCAACCTGAATGCTGAATGTTTATTCCATTTTATTTAATTTCTTTATTTTCAGTTTCACATCATAATAATTCCCTTAAACAGATTTTACCCATGTGACCAGTACACGTCCATGTAGTCTGATTATGGTCTGCAATATTGACTATTCTGTATAATTATATATAATATATGTGTGTAATAAATAATAGAGACAACACTTTTGAGAATCTACCATAATATCATGAAAGCAACAGAATTTTATTATATATAAATTTAATATACATGAGATACAAATTTTATACTCTTGAATAAAGCTACAGTTTTTCATTATCAAAAAGCTACAGTCGTTGACTTCAAACCGCTTGCCCCTCACCGCTGTGGGTTCGAATCAAGGACTTTGGATTCTTTCATGTGAGGAGGCTATCCAGCTAGCTTCTGGAATGTCGGTGGTTCTACTCAGGCGCACGTCGTGCCTGAAATAATGCACGAAAGGGTACCCCCCCCCCCCCCCCGAGGTCTTCCTCCACCAGTAAAGCTGGAATGTCGCCAAATGACCTACACTGTGTCGGTGTGACGTAAAACCCAAACAAACAAACAAATGAGCATCAAACTGATCAATTCTGATACTGAACAATATTAAATCTTATTTTTAACATTTTGGAATGTTTACCTCAAATTTTCTTTTTCTCACTGTTCTGATTGGAAGGGGTTCTTCTTGTGGATTGCTGTCTATTGCCCAATATGAACCCTGAAATTGATCATGTTATATAAATAAATCACATAATGACATATACTAGTATATCATAGGCTTTATAAAATATATCTTTCACATATTTTAAATTCTAATGAATCAATTTTGCAACTACAAAATCCTAAGAAATTTAGTGTCTGTTCATCAAGTAATGAATTAAGGTTCTAAATCTCAATCTTGGCACATTTTCCCTCCATGCTGAACCGCTAATCTACCGTGACTCTGTTATTATCTATTTATTCCTCCTACTTTAAGATGACAGGGGGAATAATCAAATGGTCAATGAATTGCTTTAATTCGAAAAAAATATTTGCATCAGTTTTTTTTTTTCATAAAAATATTCTACTCTAACATTTACTTGTGTTCTGAACAACATTTCCACATTAATCATAAAGGGACTCTCTGAGGGTTTTTTACATGACTGGAAACAAATTTTCACTATTAATGTTTTATTTGATGTAGGTCTGGGTGCAAAGTTTTTTATGCATTCACTCAGGTTTTTCAGAATAAATATTCTAATTGCAAAAAAAAAGACACAAAATTGAAAAGCTCTGCAAAACTCGTCTCTCAAATCATGCTAAAAATAGCATAAAAATACAATTTTCAATTTATCTCTGAGTATTTTTCATAATTATCTTTTGCATATCTTTCTGTTCAGGTGCCCCAGCTGATCTACCGATATGTAAGAAATACAAATTTTAAGTTTTAAGGCTTTTGGACCTCAGTGGAGTTCTTTTAATACATTGTATATCTTAAGCAATTCTTTTTAGCCACTTACCTTCCCAGGGTCCTCTTTTGATCGGGGAACTTTTAAAAAGCATTTATTCAATGATAAATTATGTCGAATTGAATTCTGAAAAACATAAAAGAAAAACATGGAAAATATTTGAACAAGTCAATATGAAACATTGATGAAAAAACTGTTAGGATGAGTCACACAGTGAGAAAAATTTGTAGCCTGACAAGGACTTGAACCCAGAACCCTTGGAATACCTTTCTGCATTTCAACTGACTTGGCTACCTGGAGTCTTAGAGCTTACACATTTTCTCTCACATTATTGAACAATAATACTCCCTGAGATGGGGTATTCATATGCAGACTAAGGTAAGGGCTGGGTGGACATTAATATGTGTGTATACAGTTTATCATGAAACTAACATGTCAGCATGTATTAAATAAGATATAGAATTATTTCATATATTGTTTCAAACTTCTCCATTGATTTCAGGATTTACAAATGTCATATCAACAGAAATCAAAGACAATTGAATATATAATTAGCAGTACACCTTTCATTGATTGGAGTATAGAACTTACAGGGTATATTCTCAAATATAAAAAGAGGTGTACTGGAATTCCATGCTAGAATTATGTATATTGGAAAGTAACAATCGTTAAGGCATGCTGGAAATTTCCAGAGAATGACTTTAACAGTTAAAAGAGAAATGAACTAACAAGCAAAACCTTTGAGAAGTATTATAACACACATGTATATGTTTGTAAATGTTGACAGCATGACGAGTACCAACTACCACTTCCTTCTGACAGTTCAGGATTGTGAAAATGCTAGCATTTAAGCTTATTTGTTATTTTTCATTGCAATTACTGACATTTTAGCATCAAATAAATTAATGGAAAATTTTGGGCACAACTGTCCTCTAAACTACCCATCTCCTATTTTATTATAAAGACATTAGGTATTATGTTCAATGAATCACTCTTTATTCAATTAAAACCTTGTGACATTCTTGAAATAGAGTCCACTCCTGGGTCCGAAATATTCCCTTCACGAAATGCGAGAAAAAAATCATTACCTGAGCAGCAAAGGTGCTATTTTCTTGACTCAGTAGCATAAATTATCATTTTAGTATATTTTACAAAAAAATCTTCAAAACTACGGTTCATTAATCAGTACACATAAAAAGTCACATTTATAAATTGTTTAGAATAACTGTGAGATTTTACTTTTCATTTTAATAGTAACTGCAACTGCCAATTGTTACCCAACTTTGTCTCTCCCCCTCTCTTTCCCCTGTACCTCACTCTCCCTTCCCCCACAAATGGCACCGTCCACAGACTTTCAGTTTAACTTAAAGCCCCACCTTCATTATACCTTGTAACAGTGTAAAGATAGAATAATATTGGTCCCAAAGGCAAGTTGGAAATATCCCTGCCAAACACAACATTGACCATACAGTTTGGGAGGAGCTAATTTCCCACCTGTAGGTAAATGACACTGCTATGGGGGCCGAACGTTTATACATTTGACATACTGATGATGACCATTCGTCAAAATATCTTTGACAATATAAACAATCTCTGCTCTTTGTGTGACATGTCACTTAAAAAAATTCATTTTAAATGCAGTATCTTTTCTAAAATGATGTATAATTATCAATATTATATGAAATCAATATGGAGAATAGAATAAAAACTGAGAAACACATAATTATATCATCTTCGGTTATAATGAAACATAAAAATCGTAGATTCTTTCATAGATTGTATATATCTTCCCAGAATAAAGCACTTCTTAGATTTGTTTACAAAATGAACATGTCAGATGAATTGACCCAGTTTAGAGCTCAGGTGTGCACTTATCACACTTGGTTATCACTCGACACATACCTTCCAGCCGTTACCAGCGTCTTTATAATACGGAAAATTATCACATATCCACTGATAAATTTCACTCAAAGTCATTTTCTTTTTATTAGAACTGTTGATGGCAAAAGTAATTAGATTGGCGTAAGAATAATGGTGGGTTTTCCTTCTTCTTTGACTAGTTGTGTCCGAATCGTCCGTGGGGCCGTTAGATCCCAAAGGGAGTGAAAGGGGCCTTTTTCTCATAAGCGAGATTTCCAAACCCTGAAGTCTTTGCATTAAAATTTCCAAACCTTCCTTTCCAATAATGTCCCGACCATTGCTTTCCCCCGGGAGGTTAAGCGGGGGGAGCCCAATCCCATAGCAGTAAGCCGAAACTCTCCAAAGTCAGCCTTTGTTTCGTTTACAAATTCCCGCCATGGATGGTGACTCAGGTGCGCTGAAAAATTGCCCAATTGCATTAAAATTAATTGAAAATAAAAAATGGGAATTCAATTGATAATTTACATTTAATTTAGTATTTCCGTTCTATTAATGATTTTTAATGGTTCGTTTATACCCATAAACACGGCTTTCATTTTAATTTAAATTATCACCTGTGATTTGGGATTATTTTTTTAACGTAGGCGTTAAAAAAACCAAATCACTCTTTTAGGCATTCATTAGCAGGAGTAGCTAGCAACGAAAATTGTCCTACAATATACATTCGCGTTTTTACTAAGGTGTAAATCGAAAGTAGGGAGCGTATGTAGGCATTCACCCTGTTACATACCCAAGTTATCCTCGGGGTTTCATCGACAAAAAATCGGAATTTCAACACAAACATTTTAAATATTTAATTTTTCTCTTCAAATCGATCTTTCATCTCATTCATATATAACAGAAGGATAGGCATTTTTTGCAATTTAAAAGGAATTTTCACATGTTGACAATTGTCAATTTATTTGTATTTACGCTGATATACAAAAAATGTACTCATATATACAAAAGGAAATACGGGTATTTTTCACAGTTTTTTTTCCAGATTTTGGGAATATGACCCATACGTGCTGACCCCCTTTGGAATTTATGCGATGTTTTGTTAAAAATTGGAAAAAATGCATGGCTTTAAAAATTTGCAATTAAAGTGGATTAAATGAAGCAAGAATCACTGCCTTTGATGGCATCTTCAAACATTTAAATCACCATAACAGTAAAGAAGCCCTTATTCTTATAAGGATTTTAGAATTTGTTATTCAATTTTTTTTTTATTTTGGTAACTTTCAATTTGGATTTTTTTCCTGATGATTGGGAAAAATAATATACTATTTTTCAAATTAAGATATGGACCTAATAATCGGCTATAAGCAAAAACAAGATCCCTGTTTCATGTACATTGTATATTATATAAGTTATAAAGTCAATCAAGTTTGATTTAAAAACTCATTTACCGATTTTACATCCCACATGTTATCTCAATTAATCATGAGAAGCCGTAATTATTAATGCACAACTCATTTGTAACCACGACTCACTCCCCAGCCACCCACCCCCACCCGGGAACAACACGAGGGATAGGCGGGAATTTGGCTGAGGTTTTACTTTCGTCTGTCCCTCACTGCAGTTGCACCGTTATTTTCAGAGATATGTCAATTGCCGAGGCCATTAGCGTGGACTTTATTGTCTCCGCCGGACAGACACCTTCACATTCAAAAGTCAAAGTCCTGATGGTGGGGGACCTTGGTTACAAATGACATTCACTTGTTTACTTTCCTTAGCAGCTTAGGTAAATTTTTATGCACAACCGTTTCTATACACACTAAAGAAAGGAGAGTATCTCTTGTTAATTAATCTTTCAGCTATTAAAATCAAAAGTCTATTGAAAGACCGGTCAAAATCATATAAGAAGGCGGGGAATATCAGGTTATGTATCCGAGATTTTAGGGTTTTATCTTACGTCTGTCCCCGCACTACGGATTTATTTTGGCGCCAGATGGACTCGCACTTTCATGGCTTTTATCATCTGTTACCGCTGGCTGGTAGCAGGTTTGGATCAAAGTTGCCGCTATTCACCGGGGAAGGAGAGGGTGGCTTTTTTTATTCTTTTTTTCCTTTGCTTATTGAGAATAGAATTTCTGTCACAAAATAGGCGAGAAATTGGTAAAAATAGCTAATTCAGGACTATTTATTTTCTGTCAATTTTTTAAAAGTCTTTCATATTGCACGTTAACAACAATTAATTTCACAGCTTTAACAGTAACATTTAAATTTTCTGTATTTTTCAAGATTGCATATGTCAATGTTCATATTTTTTTCGAGCACAAACATTTTTTATAACCTAACACAGGTCAACCTATGTGGAATTAACATGACTTCTCACGATCATATTTCTATAACTAGCACGAGGCCTCTAATGTAAGCATTGATGATTTTTTAGTTTATTTATTCTGTGCGCCGGCTATGCTATATAAATTATGTCCCAGGCTCAAGGTCTCTCTATACATCGCAGATCGTAGAGCCACAACAGAGATCTTCTCCCCAGAACCAGATTCTTCGCATCGTTGAACGCAAAAAGACAATAGTGGAAAGGCACATATAAGCTATAAACAATAAGTAAACCCTCGATATCTCTAATCTACCGGTTTGCTCTCTATATTTAAATTTGTGCCGATCTTTTTTTTTTAAAACGAAAAAGGGGATAAATCATATGTACACTGCGGGGTACAAAAGCTCTGAAGAAAAGAACGTGAATATAAAGCACGTTTTTTAAATAAAAAATTTCTGAAAAACTAGAATGAAACAACACAGAAAAGGGTTTTTTTTAACAGAAAATAAAAACTGAAGGCCTTTTAAAAAATAATAAAGTAGGGGCAATTGATTTAAAAAGAGTTTTGGGCGAAATATGTCTAACCCATATGCAGAAAACGAACCATCCTTTCAGTTATTTAAACTTCAATGTTTTAAAACTTCAATGTTTTATTATTTGAACTTTTGGGCTTTCTGTGGCACAATTTATGTTACAGATATAATTCTGACATACCAATACTTACAGAAATTTATATAAGTCTTTCTATATAAGATTATATAAGTTATCCTTATCTTCAAATTAGTTTAAAGGTCGTCAAGTAATTGTGTTAATTCTTTCCCTTTTTACAAACTGATTCATAGAGGAAATAACTCAGAGATGTAAGTACTTTATTTTGTTTGGAATAATCAAACTTACTGGACACCACATAACTTATCATAGATGAAACTGTGAACTATTCTATTTTAAACTTCCATCCCTAGTCTGGTGCCCTGTATATAGTCTTTTTCAATAGGAGGCGCATTTCTATGAAATTGAACTAACGTACGTGTACCGCACTATATGGTTATGATGGGTCTCTATTAAATTTTCTTATTACATGTATATTTTTTTTATTTGTCTAGCTATATTTATCTGTTTCGTCCTTTCTTTTGTAGAGAAAAAATCAGTATGAGTGCATATTATATGTAGTCTAACTGTACGTACTAATGGCATGACTCTTAATTTTGCAGACTTTTTAGACACAGATTTTTAATTGTAGCTTGAAATATCTTGTAACCGTATCAGGGGAAACAAGGAAAAATGTATTTTTAAACATACATGTTTCCTTTGTGACAATATAACTACGATGTTGTTAAAATCATCTGTAAAGTTGGAAGATGCATGACTACCTTTAAGATACAAGGCATATAACAAGATTGATCATTCAGTGAATTTATTACTGATCCCATTTGAAATTCAGGTTTCCATTTTTATTCAAACATTGGCATAATTCGTGACTGTAATCGAAAACAGTCCATCTCCTTGAATGCGACTTGAATTATTTGTCTTTTTATTTTGGGATAACAGGGATAACAGGTCAACTCGTCGTTTTTTTGTTTGTTTTTTTTTTTTGTTAATCGTCCCCTTCTTATGGTGAACTCGTCCTGGACGAATGAACTCGTTGCCCTTTTTGGCCAACTCGTCCTCTTTGTGGCACTATCAAATATTTAAATTAGTCGGAATGAAATGATTTAAAATTGAGTTTTATGTAAGTAGATGTTTTATGTTAAAATGTTATTGGCAACTGAAAAATAAAATATGCATTATTATATTGACATTGGTTAAATATAATGAAAATTTAAATGTTTGTAATATTAAATTGTATAGTAAAGACTTTGCATTTCTTATTAATTTTACATATTTAGGTGACATGCTTTGTAACTGTTGACCATTAAACGCACATGCATAGCTTTGATAAATACTGTATCAATATTGCAAATACTTATATTTAGTTTGCTTACATTCAATCAAGAACAAAGTGACTTTTTCCAAATAAAAGTAACGGCAGATTGCCCAAAGATAGTTTTGTCCATTCTGTTTAGTAACATAATAAAAAAAAGTCTAAATACTTCTTTACTTTAATTTTTATGAAGCATGTGACAATTTAATCAGCCACAATGTTTTATTGGATAAGCATAAAAAAGTCTGACCAAAAACGGACCGTATATTATTTCTTTTTTATGAATATCTCTTGTGCGGGTTTTAATATTGTAGGACAACTAACCTTGCAATAATGATAGACAAAATTAAGAAACTTTAAATAACCCGATTGGGTGTCAAGTTTGGGAATTTCTTCGTAACCTACATCTTTACTTATACTAAAACAAAAATTTATGATAATATATTATTTTTTATATATAAACGAAACAGGCTTCGAATTTACTACGGGACGAGTTGATCAAAATGGTACCGAGCCGACTATGGGACGAGTGACTCAAAATTTTATTTTGGTACGTTGACACGGCTTTTAGTCATGTATTTAGGCATTTTTTTTAACCAATCAACTTGCTGCTTTTATAAACATTGACAAAATGAAAGTAGGAAATTAAAGCAAAATATTACAGGTAACATTTTTTGATTTTCAAGTCGATTTCAAGCTTGAGTAACAAGATGTTTTATTTCCAGCTGGACTAATGTGCAAAAAGCTTATCTTTAAATAGATGTAATAAATGTAATGGAATAGAATAGAATATCTAATAGAATAGAATACTGTAGAAAAGAATAGAATAACTTTTATTTCCAATCAAGGGTCATGATGAGATCAATATGGTGGCAGATTTGTGTCATTCATAATTTCGCCCTGTGACACCATCAAGGGAAAAGTCGAGAATTAAAATGTTAAATGGCTGTGGCGCGGAGCGAAAACACACTAAGAAGCAGAAATGCAGGGAGAAATTTAAGAAATAAAACGGCAGGGGGCGGGACGAAAACACACTTATAATATAGCTGGAGTGCGAGACGAAAACTTCGCCCTGCGACCCTGCTAAAAAGCGTGTCTTTGCCACCAGCCCAACCAAGCGAAAGTCAAGAATTAACAAGATAAATGGCGGGGATGCGGAGTAGAAACACGCAAATTAGCAGGAAAGCGGGGCAAAGTTTATGAAATAAAACTCCACCCTGTGACCCGGCTAATAAGTGTGTATTCACCCTGCGATCCCGTCAAGCAAAAGTCGAGAAAAAGGAAGTTAAAATTAAAATTAGCTCTGAGGAGCGAGATTAAAGAAATAAGATGGTGGGTACGTGGGTAGCCCAACAAATTGTGCACTTTAGGGCTTTTTATTATATATACAATGGTTGCCCTTCACAAACATCGTAAAGACAGACATCTTTGTAATATCAGATTGTAGAATCGGTTGGTCTTGCAGTCGAAATATTGAGACAAGGGGGTGGGTTGAAAACACTCAAATTAGCAAAATTGTCATGAGCACTTCTTCAAAATTTCTTGCATGGAGTTGTCATGGTTGAGCTACATTATGTACAACATTCCAATCAGTAATTTTCCGTTTTTAGTCGTCACCATGACAACGAAATTATAGTTGAACTAGATCACAGGAAATCTTTTATAACTTTTTGAATGTCACAGTTTACATTCAATTTGGATCTTGGAACATCAAAATATGTTGTATGTCAAATGTTTGAAATTTGGCCTGTGAAGTACTCGTCACTCACCAGATCAAACAAATTTATTTAACACTTTGGAGACCACTCAAATATGAAATAATCAGAATATACAGGGTTGTCAGTGGCATAAATCATGGGGACATCTTAATTTCTTTTCATCACAGAATGAGTAGAGGATACTAATAATTGTTTTGTTTGACAAAAAATAACACGTATATAGTTATGGGTCCAGATGTATGATTGGAAAACATGTATATTTCACAGAGTGAACACAGATGTAATTAATACATGTATTTTCAAAATTGTTGTACGTTTTTACTGATTTTGCTGTGTAATGAGTCATAACATGAGCTCTCATGAATGACATCACCAAAACATGATGTCACATTCTTTGTGTTGAAAAATAAGTCTGTAAAATTTTATAAATAATGTTACAATTTTAAATGAAATGTGCAGATATCTTGTGCTTCTCATAATCAAGCACATTTTACTCATGACGGGGTGTATTTCTAAAGATATTTTCATTTTATATTTAAGATAATTATATTTATTTAATCCGCATTCCGAAATACTTGTTGTACTCTGGCAATGGTGAAAATTATATTTGATACTTTCACTGTGAAATTATATTTGAATTAGAATCTACATGTATATCTGAAAAGCATGTAATAAATGCTCACAATTTTCTTTACATGAGGTCAAAGGTAGTTACATGTATAAATTATGGTCTTCACTCAGGTGAGGGATTAAAGGATCATTATGGGCCTCTTGGTTTAGATTATGTGATGAACTTAGAAAAGTCAAAATATTTTGACATGCCAAAGCTTAAATTCTGAGATGTTTTTTTTTCTGGGTCAGAATCTCACTTCAAGAGTGGAGACATTGCCCAACCACAAAATAGCACAAATGTTTGGATGTTTGACAGTAAACCTGTATTAAGAGACTCCCTGTCTTATGTGACCTTCTAAAAAAAAGTCCTATGGAAGGTCACCTAAGACAGTTTTGACTGTAATGTGAGTAGGATTAATGGTAGCTAAAATTTATCTTTTATTTCAGATCAACTAAGCTATATAAATCATGCTGACCCTCACAAGAAATATGGCATGTACTGCCTGCTTGATTTTATGTGGCATGTTATCTTTAGCAAACACCGAAACAATCATTGAGAAACTGTTCAACAAAATCAAGAATGCTCAAGTATTAAAAGACACAGACTTTAGTATATTTCCGCCATCATGGGAAATGAAGAAAGGAATGTATCCAAATGAAGTGAAACTAAATTTCCATGGAAACGAACAGTATTACCTTTTTAGAGACAACTTTAAAGTGCCAGATAATAACATGTTTACACCTGCCTGGGTAACATCATGTTTAATAGAGGCGTACATTTATGGAAATGGCCCTAAACCGACGGACAGCCAAGTCGACCTTGCTTTAAATGCTGTTAATCTGTTTAGGAATCAAAATGCACCATATCAAAACTCAGAAATGACATTTTGGCAGCAAGAGTTTAATAAAACCGTGTTGACTTATCAAAGCTCGCCTCATAATTTGTTTGAAGTTTTAGCACTTCCAGATTACCTACCTCAGAAACTGATAGAAGAAATACTTGGAGCATTGGGGCTTAAAGATCTTGAAAAAGTACTCGAGGAGTTGTTTCGTTCAAAGTAAGTTTATTTTCCATATACATGTATTGTATTAACATAGCACTGCTGTCACTGAAATTTCGCAATATCAATATATCAATTTGACTTTCATCGGAATTACAATTTAGAATATTTTAATAATTAAAAACTTATTCCTTGAAAAAAAATATCTCTCTAGGCCAGACATAAAATATTGTGAGGAAGTGGTTGCTCAACAGAGGTTAAATATAGTCTTTTTTTGGAATAATGATACTGTTGTTGTAAAGAGGTGATTGCTGTATAGATGACCACTTTGCAGAGGTTGTACTGAATATGATAATTATATTTTTAATTACATATATTCCAGGGATATGTTTACTCTAGCGTTTCGCATACCTCCGGACTTTGACGATACATTTGTTAATATAGGACTCGGCAGTCTTTTATCACTGTTTAGAGAAGATTTTCCGGATGGATTTCAGACCTGGGCAAAGCAAAATAGTAATTTATCATCAGTCTTTGAAAAAGTGAAAAAATACGCTTACAGGTAATGGTTGTTAAATTTCCAAGAAATAAAATTACTGTAATAAAAAATGCCTATAAAATACCGTTTATTCTTTTCTTTTTTTAATTGGGTTTTACATTGCATCAACACAGTATACGTCATATGGCGACTTTGCAGCTTTGCTGGTGGATTAAGACCTCAGGTGCCAGTCTGTACATTTTGTCAGGCACAAACGGGCACTTGAGTAGAACCACTGATGTTCTGTAAGCTAGCTGGATAGCTTTTCTTACATGTAGAATTCGGTGATGCTGATGTGGATTGAACCTACAGCAGTTTGATGTCAACAACCTTAACCACTTGGCCACAGACGCCGCACTTTTTGTTCACTATGATTTCAGTAAAATAACATAGTAATAATTGGTAAAAATATATAATATTTTTATATGTTCCTATGCTTTATTCCTATATAATGTTGCATTATTTTAAACTCGGTGTATATGGTCATTGATTTCTGTTGTTTTTATTTCACAGACCATTTCTGTTGTTTTTATTTCACAGACCATTTATGTTGTTTCTATTTTTCACAGACCATTTCTGTTGTTTCTATTTTTCACAGACCATTTCTGTTGTTTCTATTTTTCACAGACCATTTATGTTGTTTCTATTTTTCACAGACCATTTTCTAAAACAGCCATACAGACCACAATAGATCCAAGGACATACATGTATTTGAGATCATTTCTAGAGAAAGCTGATTCCAACAACGAAGATGTTGCTCTAGTGACTACATGGGTAAATTAATCATGTTTTCATTGCAAACATTTAATATGGAATTCTATTCAGAGCCATTTGTTTACAAAGCTATTTTGATCTATTGTTTTAATTGAAAATTTCTCTTATTTTCGATCAATATGGAAGCTTGTTACATGTACTGGTATGTCCACAATTAAAGAAAAAAGCAAAAAGACAATGTCAGTTTTGTTAATGAATTACTACCAATATCAGTCTGACTAAAGTTCAGATCTACTTATTTCTTACAACCCATTGGTGATTGTCAGATCCTAATGCATGGCATTATTTAGGTGCTGATTTTAATCAGAATTTACCAACATAAAAGAGCAATTAGGCCTGTCTGCAATTACTTTTCTGGCATAACAGCCCTTTTTAAAGGCTACCGCGTCCTTTTCATATCGTCTCAGGTTATTGACATTTATGTTCACATTGGCCGCTATACAGTGACCAACTTTTGGCTCAAAATTCATAACTTTGGCTAATACTCAGTGGAGTTTGCATGGAGGTAAATTATCAGCACTTTGTGCTTCAAAATTAACCTTTCAAGGGCATGACTGTACTAATTTAATACAGATTTATTTTGTGTTATAGCTGCAGGACACAGAAGAAGTGAAATCATTGTTTGATAAAGGTGTTGTAATGCCGTTTAACGTGAACAACGTGGACGTGACCGTGTCTGCCAACTTTATATTTGGGGTAGTCACATGTACAATCACAGGGCTGTGTTTAGAACATATAGATGATGGTATACAGGTACTGGGTATTACTAAATCATTTGCAGTCTTTGACCTTGAGACACATGCACATATCATGTACATTTTCTCATGTGTGAAAGTGTCAGACTGAACTTCTTGAAGTTTTCAGCTCACTTTAAAAAAATATTGTTTAATAGTCTGTTTGTCTGTCTTGTATTTTTACACTGATTTCAACACTTTTTTTGCCCTTGGTTGGTCAATCAAACATGTATTCCCTTGGTTGCGTTTCAGGGAAAGTCCTTGGTCTAAAATATGTCCTTACTTATGACTCTTATGTTAAGATTCTTCAATTTCTGAATAGCCATGGAAGATGAACATTTACACATTGTGGATTGAAGTGTGTTCATTGTATTTCTAACTTTTCTGAGAAAAATCTAAAAGTTTGACTAAAAATGAAAATATTTATTAAAATGGTCTTGAGTTAGTCCTATAGTTTATCAGAAGTCCCAGGATTTAGGATACACTTAGGATACGACTACAGAACGCAACTTATCAGTTATTTCCATTTTCTTTGCAAATGACTGATAACAAATCCCACATGATTTCTGATACAATGCTAGACTCTAGATGTTACTAAATTATAAATTAAAAACAATATGGATCTATTTGTCTCATTCCTAATCTAGTAAAAATGTATTACCTTTGCAAGCCCCAATTTAATAAGATATACCGTTGCTTTGATTTAAGTCAATAACTATTTCTGATATTTGTAAGTCATGGAAATTGTTCATAAAATTATGCCACATTTCTGAGCAGATAAGTTTACTTTATTTCTGTAAATTTCTTATCTTTGTTTTTTTTAAAAGCAAATATTTATGAACACAACGTCCCTGATAGCACATGAGATGTCCACAAATCTGTCGTCTCGTCCAGATCTGGCGTTAACATACTACCCGTCTAAGTTTGAGTTCTACTGGTTCGTGTCAAGGTCATACTCTCTGCTGAACAGAAGGCTGTCTACTGATAGGAGATTTGTTACATCACCAAGTCTTGATCAGGTACATTCAGATTTGTTAGACCTAAATTCTTATGACCACATAAACATGATATGAGCCGCACCATGACAAAACCAACATAGCTTACAAACCCTATTACAAGTAGAGAAAACGATAGCGAACATCATGGACCCTGATCAGACTGCACTGATGTGCAAGCTGGTCTGGATTCATGCTTGTTGCAAACGCACTGTGATGGTTTTGTTGTTGTGCGGCTCATATGTGTATCTTGTTTTGGTAAATGAAGAAATGTTTTTGTTCAATTTTTTTAAATTACATAATTTATTAAGTGAGAATGTTTATTTAATGGGGATTCTATATTTAATAAAAGGAAATCAAGTAGTAATAAATAGTTATTATTGTTATTTCAGTAAAAAAATAATTGAAAACATTCAATAAAAAAACAATAAGATTTAGTCTACATTTCAGATGTGGAAATACATGTGTTGACTATTGTAGATTGTTATTATGATAAAGAAAAATGTGTAAATATAAAATTATCATTTATGATTTAATCATCATTCCAGATGTTGAAATATGCATTGAAAGTTCTAGGACCTGTGTTATGGACGGAGATGTCAGAAGATATAGCTCGATCAACTAAAACTGACGTAGACGGTTCAATGTACATCGATGATTTCCTTGGAGATGATGACATTAATCTTTTTAATAAATCTGTGGTAAATAAATGAATTTTTTCCCTAACATTTAATGATATGTTCTGTAAGAAACAGCCTCTTTTACACATATATTTAAGCTGTATAAAGCATAAACCAATGTGGAATCGTTTCATTTCAATCCTGGCATTCAGGCAGGTGTCAACAGGTGGTTTCCAGTTGATAACTAGATTTAGGAACAAGATATTCCAGTTAAACTTTGTATATTGAAAGCTTACATAGATACATTGTACCTTGCTTGAGATTGATTTTTGGCTCCCTAGGGTCAAGGTCACAGTTACTAGAAATAGAAAAATGGTTTCCAGTTTGGAAAAAAATCTTTTTTTATGGCATTGCCATGTTTGTTGTTTTTTTATATTTTATTGTAAGACTGAATGGTAGATTATAACATATGTTTCAGAACCGAGCTGAAGATCGTATATTTTCAACTGCTGTTTCCTTGAATGCTTTAATTAATACATGGACATTGACTCAAAATAAACAACTTGTTTGGGAAAATGGTGAGACAGTTTTTCATTATCTTAAAGAGTTCTTTAACTTCAGTTAACCATTGTTCATTTGTCTGCAGCATTTGAGGTCATATAAATACTCAATTAGAGATTAAAGGAACTCCACTTAGGTATTAGGCCTAAAAGCATTAAATTTGAAAATCATACAAACATCAAGTGAAGCACTGAAAAATGGCAAACTCTGCTATGGCAAACAAAGAAATATACTCAGAGATATATTGTAAATGGATATTTTGTACGATTCCTAGACGAACTGAGTAAAAAGAGTTGCAATGCATTTTATTTTGGGGCCATTTTGCACAATAAAATGAATATTCGTGAAAAAAAGGGGTAAGTGAATGACCTGATAATTTTCACATAAGTTATTGGTTCACACCTCCACCAATTAGTACAAAATCTTTAGAAAATATTTTAAGGCCCACCATGTCAAACAACCTTAGTGGAGTCCCTTTAAGCATGAGAAGAGAAAGAGATACTTTACTTGTTATATATCTTTGATTTGTAACAAATAATGATACACATTGAAAAACAACAACAATAGTATGTCATTTTAACTAATTTGCAAGTTGTGCAAACCAAGGATCATATTTGTATATCATTTATAGATACTCCCAGCTATGTTAAAGACACAGTAAAGAAGTTGGTAATGTGGTTGGAAAAGAATGTATTATCTGGCAATTACAAACCATGGAACAGTTTCTTCTCTGGTTCTGGCAAAAGTCTTGAGGTATTTTTTCTGTCCTTCGACACAATGTAAATAATCTTATATTTCATGGACTTAAGGTATTAGTATTCATGTGTTGGGAGCTATAAGCTTATTTAAACACTCTTCAATCTGTTCCTGGAACCAACCAGTAATAAGCAATGAGTGTAAAGTTTTTTTGCTCATGGAAACAACAGCTTACCCCTGACGTGATTTGAAATGTTTACAGCAATCCTTAGTTTACTAGTCCGACACATTAACCACTCGGCCATGCTGCCACACATCATTCCTTTTCCTTGCACAAATCTTTAATGCATATAATATGGTTAAACGATAGTAGACAAATGCCACCACCAGAGAGCCAGCTACGCTAGTCTGCCTCTTGGTGCCGTCATTGTCTCATAATATAATTATCTAAGTTAAGCAACTATAATGGTTCCTAGTTTCTTCTGTTAAATTCTAAATAGACCTTACATTTCATTACTTCCTTTGCAAATATGGCATCTGAATATTCTTTCTTTCTTATCCATTTCAGAGTATGCCATTCTTCTATCCAGCTAATAGGAGGGAATATTTTAATGGGACCACATTCCCCGACACAAAATTTCCGGCAACCCCAAAAAACATCCTTGGAATGAAAGGAGTTGTTACTAAAGCTGAATACGACACCATGTTGAAGCAGCCTCATTTTGGGAGAATGACCCCAATGACCTTTGATGGATATAACAGCGAGGCTGGAGGGTATTTCCCATTTTGGTCATGTGACTCGTACACATATGGAGTGTCGCTGCTTGCCTTGACCCAGTATGATAATATTAGTATTAAATATTAAAGTTTTTTAAGTAATATTATTGTTATCAAGTCTTAAAGGGTATATAGCTTTATCTTATGAAATATTTTAGTGAAATTTAAAATTATTTATTAATGATAAAATTTTGTAATTTATTGTTCTTTACATAACCTTACTAGCCTAAGAGCTGAGGACCATTTAATCCAAATTTTGTCCATATAATGGTCGATTCTTGAAATACTTGTAACACATAATGTCTCTTTTTATTTCATATACATGATAAGTGTATGTAAACAGAATAAGATGTTCCTGAATGAAATATTGCTGTTTGAAATAGAGTTTTAACCAATTAGCATTGATTTCATGCATTTGTCATTCATTCTTTAGTATGTAAATAATATATGTTTCTCATTCAAATATTTTAGAATTATTCTTTTGAAAATTTAATCAAACATTTTTTAAACCTCAGGCATCAGATATATATAATATAGCTTTATACACTATGACTTCAAAGTTTACTTTTTATGATATTTTGCATCATTTCCAAAAAAAGAAAATCTGTATCAGTTTTATTGTTAAAAATGAAGCAAATTCAATATGAGTCATGTCATGACAAAACCAACATAATGTGTTTGCGACCAGCATGGATCCAGACCAGCCTGCGCATCCGTGCAGTTTGATCAGGATCCATGCTGTTCGCTTACAAACCATATAACAAGTAGAGAAACTGATAGCGAACAGCATGGATCCTGATCAGACTGTGCAGATGCGCAGGCTGGTCTGGAACCATGCCGGTTGCAAATCCACTATGTTGGTCTTGTCATGACGCGGCTCAAATATGAAGATGGGAGTTGAATGAGGATGAATAGGCACAAACTCCTCACTGTGATAACCTCCCTTGGGCCTCCCTTGGCAGAATTGTATCACTGCCTTCACAGACATCGCATGATGATGAAAGTCACATGACGTAAGGTTGAAATTCAAATGTAAAGTATATACCATTACATAAAAATTGTAACATCATTTTCCTCTTTCTGTTTTATTTTTAACTTTTCATACCTACGTAAAAGTATACAAAATAATGAAAAATAAATTAAAAAGCTATAAAAATATAAAATATCAAAATATTTATAAAAATGTTTGTGATGGCAGGTATCTCTGTACTGATAAGGGGAGATAACTGCGTAGGAGATTGGAAAAGGCATTGTACATTAGATTAAGAGCATGTCTAAATAATTTTATTCTTCAAAAATCTATTTTATATATATATATATATATATATATATATATATATATATATATATATATATATATATATATATTTATATATATATATATTACATTATCTATGAGTTAATCAGGAAAGATTGTGCTATTCAGCGAGAGTACAACTTGAAAACTGTGTTCACTGTTTTTACTTTACTTTTCTATATACCATTCCACTGTATTTTTACACAATTATTTAAACTTTAACTAAATATTTTTGGTAAAAGTGTATTATTTTTTGTTGATGTTATATGCATAATGTTATATTTTTTTAAACAATTTTAAGTATTTGACCACAATATAAAATAATTTTCTGTGATTTTTGTTTCAGCATTACTATAAATGTTTTGTGTCTATTTAAAATAATTTATATTTTTACATGTTTGTTGTGTTTAACAGATGTTAAGAAGGCTTAAAGCAGCACCCCTCCACATGCATACTAATTTTCATGAAAATTTTAAAGTGACATTATGTTCATATTTTTATTGTCTTGTTCAGCTGAATTGTCTTTATATTTTAAAAGTTTGACTGTTTGATCAACAGTTGATGTAAAAATGGTTGTTTGATCAACAGTTGATATTGAAAAATGTTCAGGATCAAATTTAAATCTGCCAAAAGAATAAAAAAGACTGCCCCACTCTTTTTATAATCTGAATGTGACAGTTAATTTTAATTGATATTTACAGAAATTTTGCTTGGACCCTTGCATTATTTATTGTTTTATGCTAAGTGAATTATTAAATTATGACAAAATAAAAAACATATTTTGACCTTCACCTGTTAATTGCTATCTATCCTTGGATAGGCAAAATGTCACTAAGTAAAATATTGTAAAGTGAACAAAGAAAGTACTTGACACATTGCAATCGGCTTATATAATCCATGTTAATTACCAAAAAGAGGTCAAAATATGGCAAAAATAGCCCCTTCAGGGTTAGTAAGGCAGTAGAAATATGGTGATAAATACTGCAAAAATCAGTCATTAATTGCACACAAGATATAAATTATCACTTGAATCTTTGATATTTTTACTTTTCTTAAACTCTTAGTACATTTTTCCAAGTTTAATTTCCTTGAAATATTTTGACTCATCTGGAGGCATGCAGCTCTAACAGGTGAAATAAAAATAAACTTTGAATCAATAAAAAAAGTCTATAATATATACTTGTTTACCAGTATGTTTTGCTAAATAAACTTCTTAAATTATGTTTTATGAATTATGAAATCAAAATATGTATTATTTAACATTATTTATATTTTTACATGTATGTTATGTTTAAAAGATGTTAAGAAGTGTTGAATTTCAATGTTTAATAGGTGAAATAAAATAATAATATGAATCAATAAAAAAAGTCTATGTTATATACTTGTATACCTGTAGTATATTATGCTGCAATAACTTTTATGAACAAATTTCATGTTTGAAATGAAAATATGTACATGTATTTCAGAAAAATGTATTTTATGTTAATCCATTTGCCTAATAAGGTATTCCCACGACAGAAGGGACATAAATAATGAGAGACATAGATAACATGTTATCTACATCTCTGAAATGATCCAGCAATAGGTATAAAATGAAATACTCCATTGTGATAACACTCGTTACCTTGCTCATGAATAAACTTCACACCATATTTATATTTCATAGTAAATCAAATTGAATGAATGAGCGCACAAATAATATGTAAACCACGGTTCTATTACAAATATTTACAGGAAAGTCGTGGGATTTCTATCTGGTTAGAGTTATGTACGAATACTGGAACAACGTCTATATTATATCTATGCTACGGTAGCAATGCATACTGCATTTCGGCAAAGATATAACGGCATATTAGCTCTTAGAAATGAGCACAAACTTTCTTTTTTTAGAAAAGGCAAACAATGGATTAAGAGAATAAATGGCGATTATCACTTGAAGGAAGCACGGCTGAATATGACAGTATGTGTCAAAAAAGCAGCCAAACGTAAACAAAGTGGTATTTGACTTCCATACAAAATACTAAATCACTATAAGTATACCTAATTCCTAAAGCAAAAAAAAAGCGAACGACGGTTCAACTTTATGATCACAAACTAACTTCGGGTACTGTATTAGGATACCTAAAATGAAATGATTTTGTGAAATAAAAGTAATAACATTTTGGGGGCTTAATTGGCCTTAAAGTGTTTTGTCCTGATGGAGACTGAGGCAGAATGTATTTGCTTGTTTGTTTGTTTTTTTTGGGGGTTTTTTTATTTGTAATTGTTGTTTCGATAGTACATGTTACATGTAACAAAGTTGAAAGCTCCTATAATGTATTGTAAGTATGTCTTATGTTAAATAGTTACGCATTAAACGCGTTTTAGTTAAATGAAATTTTTCCATCCCTAGGAGTAAAAAGAATTTTCTTTGTTGTTATCAACTTTGATAAGTACTTTAATAAAAGGTCAACTAATATCTGATCAACATTTTAAGTAAATTATTTTTACGCTTAAAGGTAAAGAAAGAAGTTTATAACTGTTGATGAAAAATAGGAACATGATTTCAAAATATACCCGTATCTGCCATGCATGTACTTTAAAAACTGAAGCTGATAAATTTATATGAGCATCTCTTAGTCTTGTTAACTCTGTCAACATACTTTTAGCTTTTGTACCTACTTTGGGAAATGAATATTTTTCGGACATTGTTAATTTTTGGAATTTTGCAAATTAACTCGTGCCAAATCGATAACAATTACGGAAATGTTATTCAACAAGCCTTAGAAGTTGCTTTACAATTTCAAAGTAGCTCAGGTGTGCAGGTAGAAAATTTAAATTTTGGAAATGTTCAGAATATTATAATGACTGAAGCAAGTGAGATTTTGCCATCAATACTTGACTCAATGGGTCGGAACATTAGCAGCAGCTGTCTGGACGATTTAGAGGCGTTCTTGCAAGCTGTTTTACGCCGGGACGATTGGGCGTTGCGAAGTAAGTTTTGCTGTTTTAATAATCATACATGTAATAGGTATTTGGACATGTCCTAACTTTCACTTCAATTCCTGTCAGAGTTGTGCTCATCGCGAGCAATGCGCATGGCAGGTCAAGGTCAAGTCAGGATTCCGAAGTACCAGAAATGATTTGGCTTTGACCTTATGTGACTATTGCGGGAAGCGTGGCAACAACAAGGGTCATTTTCGATAGAACATAACTTGATAGCTTGTCTCCTCTTCTACAATCGTAAGCGAAGAAAGATGGCTTCGTCATGGTAACATGCATAAATAAAATGAAGACTTCGCTCCTTTCAATTCCATTGAAAATGTGAATTATTGCTCATTTTTTATTTTATACATTTCCATAGGCCGGCGTTATTTTTACTTATCTTATTGTTTACAAAAACGTAAATGGAAATAATATAACAAGAGAATCACCAGAGACAATATAAAAATAGTCTTAATATTTATCATAAATGTTCGTCATTATCAAATATTTGGTCAATGACCATTAGAATAGTCAAGAAGTATTTTGGTTCAAATTGACATTAAAAAAATGAGCATAATGTCAACTTACATGTCTTTCTCTTTTTATAAGTTGTTACAATGTTGTCTCTTCGTTTTACACTTGTCATTTTGTGTAATTACATGTATATTAAAAGGAACAATGTTTACTATTTCATGAAGTGTTGGATGCCTATGGTAAACCAGCAAGCGGCATATTAGAAGGACATATCACATGGCTGGGAAATTTTGATGAGTGTGTCTCTATAAACATGGAATCCCCAGATAAAATGAATTTAAAAGATGGCGTCAGACAGAACTCTTCGTTTATAGGAAAGTACTGTTTGTTATCAGTGCCTATCAGTGATGAAATCAATGTAAGCTACTCCTTTTATTCAAGTTTAATTTTCTTGGAATATTTGGCTCATCTATTGACATGTAGCTATAAGATAGTTTTTTTGTTAAGATGTATCAGCATTGAGCAGCTGACAATATTATATAATCTGGTCAAACTACACGGAAATGCTGGCTGACCTGATTGCATAGACAAAGTTATTGTAAAACAAGTTAAACATTGTGAATCTTTTAAATACATGTAGTTCAATAGTTTGATTTGTTATGTATAGCATACATTTTATGAAAAGGATCAATATGACTACCTTTCAACCCATGGGCCGTGAGTTTGAACCCTACCAGAGTCATGACCATGTTTCCTCAAATGGGCACCATTACTCGGTAGCTCAAGACGTGAAAGAGGCTTCAGGGGTCGAATAAGCTGCACGTCTTTCTTCTTATAATTAAACTAAGATATCTAATGCTTAAAGCCAGAAAGTTAACATAAAAACGTGTGTTTACAGAGCTTGACCGGGCAGTTGATGTTTTCGTTGGGGACGTGCTTACCCAATACTTGCAGCGCCGATGACGTCAAAGGTCTTGTTACCAGTTGTAAGTTATTAACTGATATTGTAAATATCATATTAACCAGCATTTTGACCTTCTTTATAATTTATACTATATAGTATAAACAAATTGAAACTATTCTGCGGGCATTAATTGCATGCATGTTCGATCGTCAGCCGCGGTGAGGGGCAAGTGATTTTGAACCAAGCGGAGAATTTTGATGCAAGCTTCGGAACAATTCTGCTATGTTTTTTTTTCATTTTAAAACTAGATCTACTCTCATTATTGTTTCTAAACATGTCAAAATTTAAACTTGATTACCATTGAGATAATTTTTCATCATTTCCGAAGGTTGAGATAGAAACTAAATGTTTGATTTTCAGTTTCTAGTATACTACCAACAAATATGACAGTACCACCTGCAAGTGTTGTGTGTCAGGAAAATACCATGCTGTTAACGGATGCTGCCATTGCTGTAATGTGAGCTTTATTTCAAATTTATGTTGTGTCTTTTCTGAAAATTAATATCAGTAAGGTCATATGAAGGTTCTTTTATTTAAACCTACCGGTATATCTTGTGTGTCTTAACCTTTTATATGAAAAATGCACGTTTCTGTTGTATGTTTTCGTTTTTATCTTTTCATGCATATGTTTTGGATATTCAAATAATGAGAGTATTATAATGATGTTTTTTTTATATTGTTGAGTAAAACTGCATTCTGTTGGCTCCCCGAGGCGCTAAACGAGCCTGGCATAGATTTTGCTGCTGTGCACGGGTCCTGTAGAATCAGAATTATTCTTAACAATGTATAATGACCTCCGTATTCCACACCACCAATTTTGACATTTTGATACAAGTATTAGATATGGAAATTTAAACTCTGAAAATGAAAACGAGGTTGTTTGAAAGTGATATGCATTTAATTTAATTATATAGCTTTTTTGAAACTCCGAAAATGTAAACGAGGCTATATCATGTTTATTGGGGTACGATATCGTTTGATATGGTTTTTGGTCTTTATAAAATGTGAAATAAATAGAGGATATTTGTTTGTTTTGCATGTAAGATTGAAATATAATTTCACTGAGTGAACACCAGATGCAATATTTTCACGAGTGGCGTAGCCACGAGTGAAAATATAATAGCTGGTGTTCACGAATGAAATATATTTCAATCTTATATGTAAAACAAATAAATTTTCTTTTTATTTTATGCTTTTTAAGTGATTTTAAGCTATTTTTTACTGATTTTGCCGCGTAACGTCTCGCATCTCCTTTGTGACGTCATAATATCATGACGTCACATCATCAGTTTTGAAATCTAGTTCCGTTAAATTTCTCTAATTTTGTTAAATTTCTAACATGATGTATGATGACATGGACTTTCTTTTCCTAAAGAAGCAAAATTTACGTATGACGGCATTTATTTCTGCCTGTTATTCCATCTAGTTATGATTATCTGCTCATCCGCATTCAGATATAGTCCGGCTACAGTGAAAATTATATTTTATAAATTTCACTAGTGGTTTATCAGAATATAATCATCTGATATATTACAATAAAACACTGGAAAGCATGAAATAAAAATTTCAGTCACCTGATCTTAGATAAATTATATGACAAATCCATTTGGCGTTCTTTTAGTCATTGGAATATTTTACCGTCTTATAGAACAAGTTGGGAAATTAGGCGATCATCATAACTCCGAGGCCTTAGATAATTACATTATTCTTACAATCTAATAGTCTTATACTTTATAATTTAATTTATAATACATTTAAATATAAATATGAGAGCTTTGTTTTATTACAATACAGAGTTGTGTGCTCAATATTTTCTGCCGTGATTTTCGCCGCGACGTTATATGACGTCATTATTCAGAATGTGGCATCAACAGACGAACTTGCAGGGAATCTTCAGGTCAAATGGACTTTTTTATAGTACATGTATTTTTATTTTTGTACTTGAAAAGCGTCACAAGACAAATACTTTGTAAAAGGTACACCGCACCTATTCAATTGTATACAATATGAAAATATGTAAAGAAAGCCTACTGTAGCGACAATTGCCTCTTAAATTGATATTTTTATTAAATTTTTACTAAAAAATTTGTACAATTTAAAGCTGCTTACCTCCAGATGAGACCAAAAATTTCAAGAAAATCAAACTTGGGAAAATGTACTAAAATTTTGAGAAAAGTAATGATATTTAAGATTCAAGATTCGATTAATGACTGAATTTTCAGTATTTATCCTCTTATTTCTAATGTGTTCCTAACGCAGTAATGGCTATTTTTTTTTTTTACATATTTTGACCACTTTTTGGTAATTTAAGGTATTGTGAGTGCCGTTGTGGAATATGTCAATAACTTTCATTTTTTCTTACAATAAATGATTTTACTTTTAAATACACTTTCAAAAATGTTCATGAAAATTAGCATTAATCTGGAGCCATGCTGCATGAATCAGTTAGCGTCTTTTATGAATTATATTTTTCACTTTGTAAATGAAACAACGTAACCTTCATATCTATAACAGATATCATCTGAAAATGTGAAAAGAAAAGAAGTAAAAGACGGCACAAGTTCACATGTTGAAAACAAAAATTTGAAGAGAACAGGTACTCTTCATGATAAGTATTCAATTTGATATAGTAGTTCCTCCTACTAAAATAATACTAATAACAAGTTCGTTATCTTGGTAATTCACAGGATCTAAAATTTAATAACAATTTTTTTTAAATATTTTCATCACGTACTGCTTCAAAATTCAACTTGTTGTGTACATATTAAATGACCAATCTAAATTTTTGATAATTATAAAGTAAACAGCTATAATTTGATAGTTTAATTAATAATTTTACAAGTATTTGCCTTTTACACATGTAGTTTTGACGTTTATTTCTTGTTTACACCTTATTTAAAATTGCTATTTTAATGCTTTTTAGGAATATTCGGCAGACTTCTTCTGTCATTTTCCTTACATAGAAACGTACCAAAACTTCTGAACACGAAGCAGACGACAGGAACGCTCACGTGCGTGAACGGTATACGCTTCATAAGTACATCATGGGTGTTACTGTGTCACACATACATGATGGGGCTACCTGTTCTAGGTAAGATGAGCCTAAATTTATTAATCAAATCGTAGTTTAATAGATTGTACTTACTATGTCGGTTTACATTATGTCGTGAAGTGATGGTGCAAGGTACGGTGCCCTATACCTAGTGGTAAAAGTGTTAGTCTCTTAACCCATTGATCATTAGTTCAAGTCCTACTCGGATCACGATCATGCTTCTTCATATGACACCAGTATTAGTGAGTTCCAGGAAGCGGACTCGAAAGTGATATATATAATATAAGTTATCGAGCTAAAATAAATATGCTTAAACTTATGTTATTTCAATAATTTTCATTTCAAATCTTATTTGGTTCACCAGATCCTGTTCGGAAATAATAAAATAATCATATTATGTCCCAGGTTCTGGGTAATGTTTTGAAATAACGATTTTTTTATCCAACATGCAGTACATGTATAATGCTAAATGGGCCTGGTCCAGTAGAACTTAAATCCATAATATCGGGATCAGAGTGCTACAGTTTACAATGTGTTTATTGTAGTGGAATATTTATTCTAATTCAATTGGGTTGATAAAATAGTTATTATCTTTTTATTTAATCGGTTATGTCGTACGCTGGTTATGTCGTACACATGCATACATGAGTTTCTGAGTTTCATAGGCAGTTATTGCTTTTGTTAGTATTTGAGCAATTTACAAACTGAATCATTAAGTGTTTAATATTATATGATAGAGGTTCATGTTGCATGCCAACTATAACATTAACAAAAGACTGTCATAGTCGTAGCTTTAAAAACATAACAGATTAAATCATATATGTTTCACTTATCACATCGTCGGTTACCCACGGTATATATTCGTACATACTACAATATTTATGATAATATCAAAATAAACTGTGGACGACGATGGAGCACATGATGGTTTCGTGAAAATAAACTTAATTGATGTCCCCAATTTTTACAGGAAATGCAGCCACATTTTTACCAAAAATGTTGAAAAGATTTACATTCCAAGCTGTTATGAATGCATTCGTTTCTGTGGATACATTCTTTATTCTCAGGTAGAAAAATATTTTTCTTTTCTTGACCATACCATACTGGGACCCGATGTTAATCAGCCTTTGACAGAAGTATAGAGCCAAGCCAGCCCGCACACCGTCCAGGCTCTATACTCATGGATGGTCATCTTTAAATTTAATCTTGATATCCCTAAAATTGATAATGAACACTTCCAAAAAAAATAGAAACTGGACTTTACTATTTACTAAATTCAGCTAATTGGACTAATTGGATAAGATAATAGGGTTGGGGTATAGTCCAAGGTCTTGTACTTAGACAGAAACTAGTGTTACTAAAATGTCTACTGGTATTTTAATTCAATTGCATTAAAATTTGCACCAATCAAAAGTAAAAACAATAATTGTATTTTAATGATAAAGGTTTAAATATTTTGTTATTAAAACATTTTTTAAATTACAAATGTATTAATAAAATGAGTCAGAATGTAAAACGGGAACTCTTTAAATTTTCAACAATTATTGAGCTAAGCATAATATCATTTCCTATAGCTTATGCATAACGTGTGCACACGACAGTATTATTTGGTCATGCGAAAGCTATCACTAGCTATAACGCACGCGAAAGCCATTGAGTTGCCACGTGATGATTTACGTCCACACGCGTACGTTATACCTATCGCGTGGCTACACCATACTTCTGCTTGTACACGTAGTACATAACGCGTGGCCACATAATACCAATTGATTACCACGTAATAGCTATCGTGTGCGCATGAAACAGCTATGGCGTGACCACGTTATACTATGGCGTCCACACGCAACATCTATCGCGTGCGCACATTAGTACTGTCTGCATTCTATGATAATGTTCATTTTCTCTTGTTTTGAACAAAAAAAAGCGACACCAACCCGCATATGTAGTTACATATGTTTGCCCTTGTTAGTTTAAACAAAATTTATTTCAAATTGTACAATATGAATATATTCAATATTTAAGCATAATACAAACAGTGTTGAAAAATATACATGTACATATACATGTATATATGACTGGGCGTTAAACTGCCATTTAGTTTTATTTTTGACATTATTGTATAGCGGTATGCTCGTAGCCTATCTCTCTCTTCGTGAAATGAAGAAAGTTGGAGGACCAAAGAAGTTTAACTGGTTCTTGTTCTACTTCCATAGATTCTGGAGGTAATGTGTGTTTATTCTACAATTACTTCTAAGGTATATAGAATAAAGAAAATTGCTTCAAAAGACCAAACACTTTACAGTTTTAGTCAGTATCTTTTAAAAGACTGTTTTGTAATACGAGAAATTGTTTGGGGGTCGTGCAGCAAGTCTGAACTGAAAATATTGCAGAGTTGGCATATATATTTCATTCATATTTTGTCTGAAATAAATTGTGCCCTTTCATTGACGGCGGCGGGTAAATGTAATCTTACTCCACGCTCACTAGCACCGTCTTCAGCAGAACTCGGCATTTAAAAATAAAATGAACATTGTTTATTTTAAATTCAGTAACTTCCACAGGAAAGTTTCGAAACTCTTTATCTGACACTTTTGTGCTTCGAATTTTCCCGGAGTAAATGAATGTGTATGTCTTTAACTGGAACACAATGGATGAATTTTAATAAAATGGTATTTTGAAAGAAAATCAGAGGTTTTGAAGCATGCAGGCCATAAACTGTTCCCAACATTTCCTAAGAGTTAACAAAACGTTTTAAATACAGAGATACCCAATACAATTCGGGAACGCATTTTTAAAGTAATAAAGAGTTCTTATACACGTACATGTATGTATTTTGTCTGAAATACATGTAGTTATTTTGTGTTGTAGACTTACTCCCCCGTACATGCTAATCTTCATGCTGTATGTAACGACGTTTAAATATTGGGGTGACGGACCGATATGGCTTCAGCAGGGTTTGGACAAAAACGATTGCAAGTCAACATGGTGGACCAATCTGCTATACATTAACAACATTGTTCATGAGAACGAAGCGGTGCGTTGTATATTAAGTTTGGCCCATTTATACTGCAATAATAATGATAATAATAATAATATTAATAATAAATAATAAATAATAATAGAAATAATAACAATAACAATAATAATGTATGTTTCCTGTGTTTCAGCCAGAGCAATTCTTGTTCACTAACGCTCGATATTCTATCATGTATCAAAAGTTACCACCCAGAGCCTCACGAACCTATCTTAGTCTATTATACATATAAATACGTGTACGCATGTATTATACATGAATATGATATAATGAGGGAAGCGATGGCCTAGTGGTTCAGATGTCTGTCTTGGGTCATGATCATATTTCCTCATATGACATCAGTACTGGTTAGTTTACAGCAAGGCGATTTGGACGTAGTCGAAATTAATTACAAGAACTTGTTTTGCAATCGATCTAAAATAACTATTTTTAAACAAACTAAACTAACATGAATATACATGTACTAAGAAGGTTTTACATTTATCCTTAAAAGCGAATCGCTGGCTGCATTAGTATGACTCCCAACACAATTTTAAACTCCTCAATACATGTCCGTGCTTGAGTAAGATACGGTGATATTCTATAAAAGTAATCCCAGGTAATTCAAAGCTGATTTCCTATAAGTTTGATTTTCAAGATGTATGTACATTTCTGATTCAGTATTGCTTATTCGTCTCCCCAGATTTCTATGTATTATTTTAGTTGGGAAAACGTCAAATGCCTTACATTTTTTTAAAAGAATTTGCCTTATACATGTATTCTAAAATTATACCAAGAACAATCTATATTTTCAGTGTATGGGATGGAGCTGGTACCTGGCCAATGATATGCAATTTTATGTTATTAGCCCATGTATGCTGGTTCCCCTCTTCTAGTAAAACCATTTTTATTTTTATAAGCATACTTTAAAAATCTTAACTTTTTGGGTAAAGCACTTAGAAAATAGAGACTTATTACCGAAAGTAGTTGTCTAGAATTCTAGAACCTACAGATTTAGGAAATATATCTAAAATAGCGCTTATTTGATATTGAACTATAACAATATACAGTATTAGATTTTCAACTACAATATCATATTCGATATTGAACTACATACACTGTTTTATATTCATTATTAAACTACAGCACGATATTAGATATTTAACTACAATATTATATTAGATATATCAAAAACTACAGTATCACATTCGATAAATAAACTACATGTATAGTATCGTATTCGACATTAAGATACAATACCCTACAAAGCGAACCTGTTTGTATCTTTAAGATCATCTTTTTATCTACTTATTCTTAGTGTATACAAAAAAGCTCAATTTTGAATTTTTCAGACTTTAAATCATGTATCAAATGTTTTTTCAGTTCACCAATTCTTGGAAGCTTGTCGTGCCTTGCGTTCATCATGGTCAGTGTTGTGTCACGTGGTCTGATATCTAAACATTATGAGTTTAATGCCAACCTGCTGTTCAGGTACATAATATATATCTTAAAGGAGATTCAGTGAGGTCTAAGAAAATTAGAATTCTTACAGATAAACGAAAGCACATAAAACGGAAAAATATTAATAGAAATAATAAGGAAATATACTTGTATTTAAATTTAAGATCGGTTATTTTTTTTACGATTTTATCATGATTTGTTTAATAAAAAAAATGCTTTTCTTTTTGGGTTTTCTTGCACAATAAGAGAAACGGAATTAGCGTATTAACTGAAATTTTAGTGATAAGTTGACAAGTTCTTGGTCCAGATCTAAATGAAATGTCACAAAAATCTAGGAAAAATATACTCAGCGGAGTCTCTTAAATGCGATGAAATATTGAATATATAATTATGTATATAACATACAATTTTTCAGCAATTTGATCGTACTCGTCAGCATTATTTGAGCCGTGTCATGACAAAACCAACATAATGCGTTTGCGACCAGCATGGATCCAGACCAGACAAGCCAGCGCATCCTCGCAGTCTGATCAGGACCCATGCTGTTCGCTTACAAACCCAGAGTATAACAAGTAGAGAAACTGATAGCGAACAGCATGGATCCTGATCAGACTGCGCGGATGCGCAGGCTGGTCTGGATCCATGCTGGTCGCAAACCCATTATGTTGGTTTTGTCATGACGCGGCTCATTTAATTTTTAGACTTTGAAACTTGGCTTCTCTTCAAAATAACTCTTCCAGATTAAAATTGAAAAGGTGAAATGTTGGTTAATGTCAAGTTGTCGTCTCAAAGATCAATTAAGAAGCAGCAAAGAAACATCTGGTTAACTAAATGCTAGACTTCAATACGAAAACGAAGAATTTTGACAAATTCATACGAGTTACACATACATTTTTTGGTCTATTTTCATAAGGGTTAGAATTAATTCAAACCTATATTTTATTCGAATTGTAACACGTTACCACTTTCATAGTTTATATGGGTTTGGACAGTTTATTTTCATCATGATGTGATGGCGCTTGCTGATGGAGCAGTTACTGCCAGCATTTGTTTAAGTGTGAATTAAATGATAGTTAAATTATAACTTATATTTCAGCACAGATATGGATGATATATTTGAAATATACTTCAAACCTTGGTCAAGGATAGGACCTTATGTTGTAGGAATATATGCAGGATATTTATTGTACAAAACAGAGTGTAAAATAAAATTCTCAAAGGTCGGTGCACTTATAATATTTGAACGTCTTTAAAAAGTAAATTTGATCAAGGAATGTGGTCACGCCTTTTCCATTTCAAAATGTTTAGTCCACAGATTGCCGTTTATAATTATTATTCCATAGAGTGACTCAGTTAATGCAAATAAATGGCGAATAAAAAAATAAATGTGGTTTGAACAAATACCCTCGTAACAAGTTTATTTTTCAATTTATAACTAAAAAACATTTTTTTTCACTGATTGCAGTTGATAAACTGTGTTGGATGGATGTTGGCTACATGTGTCGCTATAGCCGTGGTATATGGACTGTACACACCGGACGGTTCAACGGATAAATTAAATGTTGACATGTCCGCCCTGTACAATGCCACTGCAAGAATAGCATGGTCATTTTCCGTTGCTTGGGTGATACTCTCGTGTGCGACTGGATATGGTGGTAAAGTTATATATATTTTGCATTTTCCTGCCTGTGGACTTTCACACACGTGACTCGGAATATGTTATTTTCTTTTATATTGGTTGCACTATAAAGGTCATAGTTTTGGCTCTGAATAAATTTTGGCACGAGCATGCACCGGAGTAAAACCATTGATAACGACCTTCCGTAAACAAGCTAGATAAAATATTGATCTTTGGCACCTATAGAGCCATTCAATGGCTCTCGAATGTGTTTTAGCGCTTGAATAAACAAATATTATAAAAATATTACATCTTTACCATTATCATTCAGCTTTCATTTGCGATACACTTATATTTTCCCAGCAGTCGTAAAAAAGAATACATGTATTAAATCTCAGTCAATTCTCATTTCACAGGACCTGTAGATGCTTTCCTCTCATGGAAAGGTTTTGTCCCTCTCAGTCGTCTGACATACTGCGCTTATTTGTTACATCCGATCGTCATCTCATTACAAGTGTATAGCAGACGAACCTTAGAGCACTGGTCTGACATAGAACTGGTACGTACCTTTGATTTTTGTGACTTTTAATCTAGTTCCCATGCAGTTGTCAGTTTAAATTAAGGTAAATACTCGTAGATAGGATATGAGTGGTATTTTAGAGTATGGCTGTGAAATGTGGGTCTCTGATAAACCATTCTCTTATCGGATAGAATGGAGACTTATTAATTATCTATCATTTTAATTATTGGTCAAGAAATGCTTTGGGTATTTATCTTAATTGATATCTTTACCAACTATTTCGTTGTTTTATAAAATAGTCTCATTTTTTCCTGAATCGTGTGTCAATTTCCATCCTATACATGTATCATTCCAACAAATCGGCTCTAACGGTTGAATACTTGTAACGCCAATGTAGGTAATATATGGTTGAAGAAAAACAACAATCTCATAAATCTCAACTGTTCATATACAGTTCGAACACAAGTCTATTTTTGATTCCAGTTTTAATTCATGTTAAATGTAAAACGAGGTGAAAATTTTGAATTGTTTTATTTGCAGATTTATAGATTCATTGGTCACATGTGTATTACGTATGTATCCGCATTTGTGATATCTCTGGCATTTGAGTCTCCGATGATTGGACTCGAGAAATGTTTGCTTGGTCGGAAGAAAAACAATTAGATCCTCACGCACTTTATTATAATAATATTTACACATAATGCATCTATGAAATGGATCGTTTACAACATTGTCCAAACAAATGGAACTACTCTGTATTCTGCAATAAAAGTATAAGAGGAAATGACTGTTGTGTTTTGTCTGGATAATTGTGTCTATCGTACACGGATGCCCCCAAAGAATCTTAAAGTCCCTGTCAGTTCACCATGGACTTTCTATTTGAACACGGAGGCTGATAATCTTGTACTTGAACTAACTACACTGGATGTAATGTGATTTAAAGATTTTATTCAGATCTTGAAACAGGCATAATTTCATATTGAAAGTAGTACATGTTATACCCATTATGTAGAATAATCGTGACAATATTGTCATGCTAATAAACGCAATTAATTAAATGGAAAAACAAAAACAACACACCTCTTAAAACAAAAGAAACGTTTTTTTATTTGTCTATAACTTTGCAACAATTTATATACAGAAAAAAGTTTTTTTTAACTACCAATAATAAATATGTGACTTATAAGCTACCAGTATTTCACAAAAAATAAAGAGGTAAATGAAAAAAAATAACAGTAATAAAAAGGAAAGAAAAATAAAGTAATATCATAAACTTATGACACAAAAAGTCGAGCACTAAATGCCAAAAAAAATGAACGAACCCTTAACCTGCTAAATTTGTATAATGGATTTGCCCATCTTTGATTTTGGAACAGTCCATTCTAAGTTTAAAGGATTTTGATATCAAAATGATAGAATTAAGCTACCAACAGTATAAAGCCTGGCCAGACTGCAAGGCCGTAAAAATTCCTGTCTACAATCATTGCACTGCACCTCTGCTCTGGTATGTACAGAAGTTATAATTATCAGTTCCATGTGAAAGACTTTGAAGGCAACTAGTACTGGTAACTAGTACTGGTAAAAGTCCTTGACAGCTTGCCAAGTAAACGGTACGGTGGCTGAACTGTGCTCTTGTAAAATCAAAGCGGCTTACTGCCTTGGTCCGGAGGGTAAACTACCACCACCACAACCACCACCAGCGGGCGTGCAGGCTGGCCTGGCTCTATACTGGTAGCAAAGACTAAACACTTCCGGCTCCAGCAGGTTAAGAGTTAAATGCAACAATAAAACATCTACGTATATACAAGTAAATTTACAGATAGTTGTTGAACACATAGACTAATGTAAGTCTTTTTTTTTCAACCCAAGAAAACATATCATTGTATCAAGGTTTCTATATAATAAGTTTTCACAGTGTTAAAGTTACATATATTGACAGATTTCTATTTAAAAAACAATTCATTATAAATATATTTAAATATATTGGACTTTGGCAGTGCTTTGTTCAAATAAATAATTTCAAGATATTGAGTTTTGACAGACTGAGAGTTTATTTCATGTTATTGTAACCAGTTCTTGACAGTGTTCCATTAATGGATTTTAAGATATTTTAGAGAGAGATTTAACAGAGTGAAATACAGTTTATTGAGTTTTGACATCCTCTTGTTTAACATCTAAATTTATAACATACCCGTGTGGCTTTTGTGCATTAGTAAATATGAAATTGCACAGCCAGTTTTTGACGTGACATTATTTGCATCACACAAACATTGTGTAAAACATGCAAAATGTTAGCATAACAGCATAACCATGTCAACTTATATACATGTGTATTGTGTTGTAAAAATATTGCTCTCAGGCTTTAAGGCAGAGCCAGTAATATATAGCATTATAACCAGTATTTCATTACCCGGATTTGTGGGAAAATCCAAAAAAAAACAAACAACAACATACAAAATGGCATGAAACATATATCAACTAACAACATAATTAATTAATTAATTTTACATACTCATAGGAACTAAAATTTAGTCTTGTCAATTAATAAATAATGTATATTATATAATGAATAATGTATATTATGTTAGTATAACTGAGTTCTAATGATTGAAATGCGAAAAAAAAGGATGCGGTTATGCATTTAGCATAATAATTTTATACGATATTGACATTCTTAGCAGTGCAATCTGGCATAACTTGGGATTTTAACCCATCACCTGCTTAAAGAGACCACAGTGGCCTTTATAGAATCCTTGGTACTGGATCTTACGCTGCACCTCAGAGTCTAGCCAGGTAACAAACTTTTTTGACAGTCATCCTTTTTATGGGTGACTTGAGTAAAATTGAGTAAATATTCAAAAGTTAAGCAGACGATATTTCAGCAGACGACAATTTTCCCAGCATTCAAAGGGATGTTGCACTTTTATTATCCCTTATGTGCAGACCCAATCAAACAGAGTCTGCAATTTTCATGTAATTTTGAATGCTTCTGAGGGATCACACTTAATCCAGATTTTTATGAGGCTTCTAGTTGTCTTCGAGAACTGGATATTGTCAGCATAGCACTTTTCTTGCTTAAAATACAACTATAAATTAATCAATGAACTGCAAAATGATTTGAATAACTAAATGTAACACTAAACATACTGGTTTTGATTGACTGACGTACAACCAATGGCATCAAAAATTACTGAAATATGCATGTCTCTAGTTCAAATATTCAAGTATAAAATACCATGTACAGTACATATTATGAAACTTTAAGTCTATAGTTACTTGACAGAGCCCTCCTATTCTGATTTAACCCATTACTTCATATACACGCCTTTTAACGGCTTTTTCAGCCCCCCCCCCTTTTTGTTGTCTCAAATGATGAAAAAATGCCTTTTTTAGGCCCCAAACACTTGTTTTTGTTTAAGAAATGTTGTTAAAAAAAGTGACCTCTTTTTCGGCGCGGCCCCCCAACCAAAAGATACATCAGGGGGTTGCCAGAAGGGGGATGTGCCCCCTTCTGTTTGGGGGGGGGGGTTTGAAGGGGGCGGAGTCCCCCTCATCGCCAAGAAAATTTTGGACTTGTGAGAGGCTGTAAATGACCCCAGATTGATCATAAGGTAACGTGTAACCAACGCTGAAAAGCCTTTGACTCTATCTCAATCCATTGAGAACTCAGTTTTGATGGGGAAAATCATCGCAAAATAGTGGTTTTTGGCAATTTTGAGATGTCCCCTCGTTGCCATGATAACAGAAAATTTAAGCCTGAGCATGTTGTTGCAAGGGCAATGGTCCAGTCATCATTTGTGCCAAGTTTGATTAGTGTTGAAGCAGTTTTTATAGTATTATAGCAATTTGAACTTGTAACGGGAGACTTTTCAATGAAAACAGCCATTTTTCACAAAATGCTCATGAAGTAATGGGTTAAATATGTTATAAACAAACATATGAGATTATGAATTAGATTATGTGAATAAAATATGTCTATATACACAATATTTCATAATCACTTGTGTCTTAAATGTAAACATGGATCTTAATTACAAATAGTATGTAATATAAATCTGTGATGTAAATAATTCAAAGAACACCACGGAAATGGTAGAATATCATGTCAATACTTCTTAGTATTCGAACAACCAAGAAAGAAAACTATCAACTTTTAACAAGTTTAAAACCTAGAGAAATAAATCTTTTTAATGAGGAAAAAAATCTTTTCTCTCATTAAATCTTATTTCTTTGTACACCAAAATTTTAACTTGCCATGAAGAGAGACTTGATTCTTTGTTTTTTCACACAAATAAACACATTAAATTAGCTCATATGGCAACTTTTCAGCTTTACTGGTGGCACTCTTTGTATAATTTCAGGGAACAAACTTAATAATTTATTGAGAACTGTATATCTTTATGACACATAACAGTTTCAAAAGTTTTGAATTGATTTTGCATAATTTGCATTTTATTACTTATTTAGTACTGTGTTCCCTTTTATTGTAACAATCAAAACTTTTGAAGATTAAAGAGTAGATTTAAATGCAGAAATGCATTTCATTTATTAATTTAGTACTTTGTACCCTTTTCTTATAATAAGTTACAGTTTCAAAATATTATTGACATATTTAAATCAGAGATTTTTCTTATCAACAAAAGAAACAAAAAAAAAATAATGGTAAAAATGACTGAACAAGATTTCATAATAGTTTTTAAACGAACATGAGTATTCATGGTGTAAATAAATACAAAACTAAAAAAATATCCTTTTTTCAAAATCCTTTTACAATCTGTTCAAAAATAAAGAATAAAAATTAAATCTTGATATTTTAACTTAAATTTGTTAAACAGAAATACATAAAGGTTTTTTTCACAAACAAGAAAAAAGGCAAAGAAAATTGTAAGTTTGAGACAATATATATTAAATATGAGGTAGAATACAAAAATAAATTAAACAAAAATGTAAGAAAACAAAATATAACTTTCAAGACATAATTATAATAAATAAACAATTTTACTTTTATGTTTAAAAATCTATCATAAATTTTCCGACATGATTCAGAATATGAACTGTTTAAAAAAAGAGGTATATTTCTAAATAAAAAACCCAAAGTAAATAACCACAAAAAAAAACAACATATTTGGTAAACACAAAACACATCACATCAGTTTATATATTTACTGAATAACTAACTGTTCAATACAGCTAAGTTTAACAGTAATATTTTAGCAAACTTTGTAAGATAACGAATATTGAAGTTTATATGGCAATATTTTTGCAAATTTTTATAAAATAGCTAAGAATGATGTTTTTATGGAGTTATTTTATGGCAATATTTAACAAAATGGTTGCAAGATTATAATTTTAATGCTTAACAAATGAAAACATTACAACTTAATTAAACAATCCCCCCCTCATATGATGAACATGACTGAGACAGTTTTACATAATATAAAATATGCTGATTTATCATCGTTAAAATGCCGAATTAGCAATATTACATCAAGCTAGATGCTAATTTATGATTATTTAAATACTAAATTAGCAATATTTCATTTAGTTAGATATGCAAAATAGCCATCATTTCGTTTAGTTAGATTTATATCCAAAAAAAATATTGCCAAATAAGCAATTTCAATTACAGCTGCAAAAATATACACAAAAGCCTCAAAACATTATACAACACATAATTATATTACATGAAGAATTATATCTATATGTACAAAATAGGAAGTCATTTATATGCTTCCTAATACATGTATTCAGCGCAATGATTTTAGGATTAAAAAATAATCGAGGTCTAATTTTCAACAAATGCCCTACTTTAACTTTAGAACACAATCTCTATATATACATCTGTGTAAATCCTCGACTTAACATCTTTCACAAGAACACAAGATACCCGCTGTCTTTAATAAGTCTGTCTTGTCTTTCATTCCATGTTATCGAACAATCCTGTCTCAATTAACCAGCATCTTCCATTTTGAAAGACCATGATTTAACACATATACTTCCAACTGTATTAATCATCAACGTGATCAGCATTCTGGTACATGGGAATACACCAAGTATGTTTGCGACATGTTATGACGAGTCATCAAGATTTTCAACAGTCGCCTTTCACGATCCCAAGCACCAACACAAGACACCCATTTCTAATTTCTTCACTGAATCTTTAAGCTACATTGATTTAGAATAAATATTATTCTTTATTATAGTTTTCACAATGCAGCTTGTATGAAAATTATTTACATTATGGCCATTATCATGCACCATACATTTTCCGGCAATAATTACACTGAACTTGACTGGATTTTACTGTTCCACAAACATTGAACACTGACAGCAGCCATTATTATATCACACACGTCAGTTTTGGCATTTGATTAGTTTAGTGTAAAACACAAATATAATACACAATCTTCATCTTTAAGATATCAAATTTACACTAGGTAAACACACAAAATTGTTTTTTTTTTACAATAAAGCCATTTTTTTTCTCTGTACAAGTAATGTTCTGATGACCATCCTTGCTCACCATACTGGATATGAATATGTAAATGATGACCAGGTACGCAGGTAAATATACGTATGCATGTTTGTATGATGGCCATTATGTTTCACCATACAGGTAATGCATGTATAAATGATGGCCATCTTTGCTCACCATATGGTTAATGAATGCTGAAAAGACATTTTTTTCCCACTTTACAGGTAATGAATGTGTAAATGATGGCCATCTTTGCTCACCATACATATAACGATGGCTGTAAATAATGATGGCCATTTTTTCCCACCATACAGGTAGTAAATGCTGAAATGATGGCCTTTTTTTTTCACTATACTGTTGATAAATGTGTGAATGACAGCCATCTTTGCTCACCATATGTTTAATGAATGTTGGCCATTTTTTTCACTGTACAGGTAATAAATTTGTAAATGATGGCCATCACTGCTCACCATACATATAATGAATGTATGAATGAATCGTGGCCACTATTTTTCACCATACTGAACACTTGTGAACAGGATTCATTCTGCTACCCAATGGACAGTTGTAAGCCCGAGAAAAGTCTTCAGAATTGGCAAGTGGCAACCTCGCTCTGAAATACAAAGAAGCTAGGATGAATTTTAAATCTTTTTTTTTTTAAAAAGAAAAGAAAAAAAAGAGCTTATACCTTCCTATACAATCAAACTTAGCTAAATTCAGTACAGACTAAAGCTTGAAAATCAAACAGTAAAGTAATGCTTTATAAATACACCTATAGAACTTGTATAAATGGAGTACTGTCCCTTTGCATTAACATCCTAAACTTTTACATGATTATCGATAATTATTTCAATAATTATTATTAATTCTAACACTCCTCGTGATTTTGCCTTCATGGTCAATTCCTAGCATCAGAACTTCAAACCGGTTTAAATAGCTGATAAACACCACTCAGACTGATATTATTTCTTACGTAAATGCATAGAAAAGAATCAAAGACAAAATCATAATCCGCCATGATAACAATTACCTAATTGGGCCAGGACTGTGAGCTGATGTTCTGATTTTCTCTAGAGCGGCCTTGTCCCTCATGTTACCACACCATATCTGGGCAAAGTTGAGAAAGAACAGCTGGTCATGCGTCATGTCAAGACCTGGTAACAGAGGTTCGGGACCATGCTCTTTCTCCCACATCTTATAGGCCTGTAACAATAACAAGCATTATGCTGAGTTATAAATAAGAATATTGTATGAAAATGTCATATAGTTTATGTAATAACATTGCAAATTAAACAATACTCTTACATTATTATTTATCTGTCACAACTGAACCCTAATAGTTCAGCATTGATTAAAGGAATTTAACTAAGTTTAAGATAAAATAGAATGATTATGGGTGTTTACTGTCCTGAAACTTGCATGGATCTTCGCTAGGCCAGGAACACATAGATCCAAATTTGATTTGATGCAGAAAAAGCCAAAAAAAAAAGTCAAAAACAATGCCAAGACTTTATTATGTTCCAAGAGATGTTCCTAAATAAACCATCCTTCATCCTATTTCGACTATTAAACCTCAGAATGCAACAACAACAGTCCCATCAGATTCTTATTTTCTGTCAGGTTTTTCAAATTGTTCTTCATACTATATAATTTACATGGCAGAATGCTTTACAAATATATTAACAGCTAGATTAAAGGTTACTCACCCTATATGCTTGTTTTAGACCACCGTTATCTGCTATATTTTCACCTTGTGTATTTTTACCATCAATCTACAATATATAGTAAGCAAATTGCTTTTATTGTCAGTTTATTGTCAGCTTATTGTCAGTTTAATGTCAGTTTATAGTCAATTTATTGTCAGTTTTGGTATAGTTGTATTAGGTAGTTTATTGTCAGATTATTGTCAGTTTATTGTCAGAATACAAATAAATTCACTTTATTGTCTATAAAAATACTCATAAATCCCATTAAAACATAAATCTATGTCTCATACATTTTTAAATAATCTCTGATGCTATTATGTGTCAAGGTGACATTAAACTTCACTGCAAGCATAGGAAAGTTATGCATGACATAATTCAACTGCTATGCTATGCACTGTATACTTCAACAGTGTTATGGCATAATTCAACCATTATTCTATGCAGGGCATAATTCAACTGTTATTCTATGCAAGGCATAATTCAACTGATACTGTATTCTATGCAGGGCATAATTCAAATGATATTCTATGCAGGGCATAATTCAATGGTAATGCTCTGCACTGTAAACTTCAACTGCTATATAATGCACTGCATAATTCAACTACTATGTTATGCAGGGGATAAGTCAAATGGTTATGTTATGCAGGGCACAATTCAACTGCTATGATATGCAGGGCATAGATCAACTGCTATGCTATGCAGCATTAATTCAACTGCTATGCCATGCAGGGCATAAATCAATTGCTATGCTATGCAGGGCATAGTGCAACTGCTATGATATAAAGGGCATAAATCAACTGCTATGCTATGCACTGCATTCTTCAAATGCTATGCTATGCAGGGCATAATTTAACTGCTAATCATTTGTTGTGCGCCCTGCTATCATTCTAAACTTCTTGTACAGAAACTTCTTAAAAACAATTCAACACAGTTTAACATGTTTTACTTACATTGACACCAATCTGTTCTAACTTCACGTTAGAATACTGCTCTATGATACATTGTGTTCTATCCTGAAATGCTTGTATAGTTTCATTCTTCCACCACTGCTTCATGTTACCATCTTTATCATATTGTCTCCCTGAAAAAACACAAACACAAAAAAATAAGATATTTAGCTTTTTTTTAAAAAAGGTAATGGGCAAGATAAAACCTTTATTCTTAACTGCAATACACCTAAAGTGTGTCTAAAATCTTCAATTCTTCTAGTTAACCTGGACAATTTGTCTGTAAGTGATTTATAAATTTATAACCATTGGATCTTGTTTTACATTTACAAAATAATGTTGAATATGTAAAGAAGATTCCATGATTTAATAAACAAGGACCAAATGAAATTTAAATTGTTTCTAAGTCCTTGGCAAGATTCAAACCTACAGCCATAAGGGGAATGAGATTTTAAGTCAATTATTGTAACCACTCTGACAAAATGTCCTATCTTTAAATCAACCTTTACCCTGCTGACAGCAACTGAATCTACATAACCAGTGCAGGCCAAAATCAGCGTGCACATTTGTGCTGCCTGATCATGGTCTGCACTGTTCAATATTCAGTCAGTACTTATTTTGGTTGTTTGTTTTAGTTTTTGTACTTATCTTAACACATCCTTGGTTACATCTTAGCTGTCAGTCCACTTAATCTGATTTCCTGGATAACTAACCATTAACCAGTATCTCCAATTGACAGACTACTAATCCCATGATTTCTGATTCAGCAGTTAAAGACAAATGACTATTTAATTCAGACTCTAATCTTAGATCTATTGCAGTACTTTTTTATTTTCCCTAAAAATGAATGTTTTTGTCCAGACTGAAAGATGGGCAAGTTCATTTAAGATATTTAGCATGTTGAGGGCTAAGATGCTGGAGAAACTTACCTTTATCATCAAAACCATGTGTAATTTCATGTCCAATAACCACACCAATACCACCATAATTTAATGACCTGAAATTATAAATACATGTACAAGGGTACTTTATATCAGTGTTGAAAAATATACATTTTAATGATAATTTTGAATTATCAAACTTCAAAATAATTTAATAATCAAATAGAATAGAGAACAAGAGGGCCATGATGGCCCTGAAACCACTCACCTGTTTCATGAAAAATATCTCAGCTCTAGCTCTTTGGTGTTTTTATAAGAAGATTTTTAAGTTTTTACTACATGTATATACATATAGGGAAAAACAATGACCCCCCTTCTCGGAGGGGCCAATTTTGATCCCAGGGCTTTTGTTAGAACAAACTTGGTAGACACTCACTAGAAGATATTTCAAGCTGAGTATCTAAACTCTAGATCTTTGGGTTTTTTTATAAGATGATTTTTTACTATACACATATACGGAAAATCAATGACCCCCGTGGGGGAATTTTAACCTAAGGACCTTTATTTGAACAAACTTTGTAGACACCCATTAGAAGATGTTTCATGCTAAATATCTTAGCTCTAGCTCTTTGGGGTTTTTAAAAGAAGATTTTTAGTGTTTTTACTATATACGTAAAGGAAAAAACAATGACCCCCTTGGGCGAGGCCAATTTTTACCCCAGGGCTTTTATTTGATCAAACTTGGTAGGCACCCACTAGAGGATGATTCGCTTAATATCTAAGCTCTAGCTGTTGTGGCTTTTTAAAAGAGGATTTTTTAAGTTTTTACTATATATAGAAATAAGGAAAATCAATGACGCCCTGGGGGCTGGGCCAATTTTTACCCCAGGGCTTTTATTTGAACAAATTTGGTAGACACCAACTAGAGTATGTTTCATGCTAAATATCTTAGCTCTAGCTATTTGGGTTTTTTCAAAGAAGATTTTTTTAAAGTTTTTACTATATACAAATTAGGAAAATCAATGACTCCCCGGGTCGGGGCCAACTTTGACCCCAGGGCATTTATTTGAACAAACTTGGTAGACACTGACTAGATGATGCTTCATGCCAAATATCTAAGCTCTATAGCTCTTTTGGTTTTCTAAAAGAAGATATTTTAAGTTTTTTCTTTTGGTTGCCATGGCAACCAGAGTTCTGCTTGGAATTAAATTCTTTGAACAATTTTTAAAGTTGATCATCAAAGGAACATTCCTGTAAAGTTTGGATGAAATTGGATTACTGGTTTATGAGATGTCGTTTAAATGAAAAGTTTACGGACGGACGCCGCACGAAAAGTAATCACAAAAGCTCACCATGTCACTTTGTGACAGGTGAGCTAAAAACAGAATCTCTAAAGAGCACCCAATATGGCAAATTGAAAAGGTTGCAGGCACAGTTTGATGGAGCCTGTTTATAAATGTTAGTGATATTTGCAACTACCCAACAGCTCTTGCTGAAATAAATTCAAAGTTATAGGTTATTAAATGTAGTAGAAATCTGACTTTTTTTTTCTGAAAAATATCACAATTTATAATTCTCAGACCAAAACTGTCTATCAATTCTTAAATAAAACTATAAGCACCAGTGAAATTGTAGTACACTGTATTTCTTAATTATATATGAGCCTATTTTGAAAAGTTAACTAAAAATATTTCTTATATAATAAGAAGTAATTTTGTGTACTTACTTTGGGAAGTATTCACTGTAGAAAGGTGGCTGAAGCATTCCAGCTGCAAACACTGAAATAATAGTCAAACAAATGAGCGGCGTCATGACAAAACCAACATAATGGGTTTGCCACCAGCATGGATCCAGACCAGCCTGCGCATAGGCGCAGTCTGATCAGTATTCATGCTGTTCGCTTACAAACCCTATTACAAGTAGAGAAACTGATAGCAAACAGCATGGATCCTGATAAGACTGCGCGGATGCGCAGGCTGGTCTGGATCTATGCTGGCCTCAAATGCACTATGTTGGTTTTGTCATGGCGTGGCTCAAATATTGAAATAATAGCTAATTAAAATACGCTGATACATTTCTTGGTTGGTTTTAATGCAGCCTTCAGCTTTTCTAAAGATTAAATACATGTATATTATTTTCAGACCATTTCATATAACTGTCAAATCAAAAGAATTATCTGGTAAGGTGAATAAAATGAAATTTGACGTTAATAAAATACATTAACAATAAGGAAACCCTTCTATATCTCTAATCTACCGGTCTGCTCTCTATATGTAAATTAGTAAAGCAGACGATATTTGTTTCCTGATCTTCTATTTTTAGAAACAAACGTCACTGGTGCCATAAATGCATAGAATAACAGGGACTACCTTGGACTGAAAATTTAGGGAGAAGTGACTTCTCCCTTCAGGAAAAATAGGGAGAAGTTTTGAAATTTAGGGAGAAGTGATCATCAATTGAGTTATATCATTGGATTCTTTTTCCTAATTTTATTTCACAAAATATACATGTACACCTTTATATGTACATGCATATAAAATATACATGTATATGGCATGGAAAATAAACAAATGTGTATTGATGATATTTAATGAAGTATTAGTTGCATTTGATTTACATCAACACAACATTTTTTAATTTTTTTTAGGTTCAACAGTTTCTGACTCTAACTTTTAAATGCAATTTATTAATTAAAATGAAAAGTTCTTTAATTCATAATAATTATCCAAATTCTATCAATTTACATCAGTTTTAATGATGAATATTACTATCTTAAATGTAATGGTGATAACAAACGTATAATATGGGATATTGTAAATCAAACAGGACATATAGGGGAAATAGTAAATCAAACAGGACATAATTTTATAGGGGAAATAGTAAATCAAACAGGACATATAGGAGAACTAGTAAATCAAACAGAACGTTTAGGGAATATTGTGAAACAAACTAAACGTACAGGGAATATTGTAAATAAGACACAAATATATGTTTGAGGTAACTTAATTATCAATTAGCTTGCTTTTTATCATCTGCTGCATCCATATCAAGGTCTTTCACAGCTTAAATTTACCGTATAATCAATGCGCTATTTTTAGCGATGTGGATTTCCAAGTGTGAATTCAAAATGTCGCTATGACCACGCTTCAGCGCGTGTGCTAATTACGTCAGATTACACAATTAAATCTGCCTCCAGGCAGTATTATCGAGTGGAGAAATATACATGTCAGACATTTCATAGAGATTTTAGGGCGACTAGAATTTCGCTTTACAGATCATATAGGGCGAAGTGAAAATATTTACGACGAAGTTTTCGCCTGACTTCGACCTGAACGCAGTCCCTGGAATAAGTAAGTGCTCCTTAATGTACCTACAGTCTATAAAAGTCATGATAAGTAGAACCGATAACATGATTGGTAGCATAAAAACATATTTTCTCTCCAATTTACCTTCTCACAAAGCTATCTTTCAGGATCATTTAGAAACAGTTACAAGGTCAATATAATTCTATGTTATTTAACAATTATAAATGAGGCTTACTGTTTGCTAATATCGTTCATTTATGTGTAAATTAAAATTCCAGCAGCAAGAGTTAACAAATATTCCAGTGGGGAATGTTAACAATGCTTCTAACACAAATAAACATATGACACGATGATAAAAGTTTACCTATATCATTAGTGTTAGGATTGTAAAAGGCATTCACTACAGCTGGGTCCTGCTCCCATCTGAAATAAACAAAACAAAAGAAACGTGAAATGTTTGTAAAACATGCATGCCCCCTAAATTTTACCAACTACCTACTAAGTCTGAAGACTGCATGCCAGCTTTTGTGGTGAAAAAAACACCATCAATTGACATACTGACCTCAAAATCAAATCTTTGACCTATTGACCTCAAAATAAAATCTTTGACCTACGGAACTCAAAATCAAATGTTTGACCTACAGACCTCAAAATAAAATCTTTGACCTACTGACCTCAAAATCAAATATCTGACCTATTGACCTCAAAATCAAATCTTTGACCTACTGACCTCAAAATCAAATCTTTGACCTACTGACCTCAAAATAAATCTTTGACCTATTGACCTCAAAATCAAATCTTTGACCTACTGACCTCAAAATCAAATCTTTGACCTACTTACCTCACAATAAAATCTTTGACCTACTGACCACAAAATCAAATCTTTGACCTACTGACCTCAAAATCAGAGGAGGTCATCTACTAGTCATGACCAACCTTATACATGTTATCAAATCAGAGAACTGTAAGCCAAAGCTTTCTCTGTATATTTGGTCAGACAAGCTTTTTGTTCAGTGACCTTGACCTAAATAATCAGCAGGGATCATCTATAACTCATGAACAACCTGCTGACTAAGTCTGAGGGCTATGAGCCAAAATTTTCTCTAATTATCAGTCAGACAAGCTTTTTATGGTCAATGTCACAACAACCTTGATCTCTGACCTCAAAATCATGTAGTTATGATCAACCTTCTTATAACATCTTTAGGAGTTTTCTAGATTTTGGTCACTCAAAATCTGGTTTATGGACTGATCAACCTATTAACCAATGTGCAACATGCTAAATAACATTCCCCAACTTCAACAAACAAAATGCTATTAGACTAAGGAATGAATGCACAGATATGTACAATCTTAAGCATTATAATGGAGGCAAAGGTATTAATTAGGATGAGGTAACTACATATTGCTTTTCATGGAATAGCACAAAAGTGTCACACTGACTAATTTCATAATCACTGCTATATAAACACATTTGATATTATTTCTAAATGAAACACCATTTCCATGTTTAAAAGTTGTATTCAGCTTTAGACAGTGTTAAAGGCACAGCATGGTTACTTGCAATTCACCACTGCCATCATTGAATAAGATCAATGAAACAATACCTACTAGCAACATTTGGAATTTCGCACAGTTTGAATTCAATTTTGATGATACATGTATATGTAATTTAAATTCTTGTTGTTTGAGGGTTATAGGTAAAAGGGCAAAACTTTTACAGTGCACTCCGGATACAACGAGATTGTCAGGACTTCGGATGATTCCTCGTTATAACCGGGTCTCATTATAACCGGGACAGAACAAATTGAGAAATCCGACACCGTCGAGCATCATTTATTTCTACTTTCGCTTTCGCGTACCTGCTTTTTGAAGAGACAAAGTGCAAATGAAGTGACCTCGTTAAAATTCTGAAAAATACGCATGGGACAGAGAAATTATGTACGTTGTAACCGATATCTCGCTAAAACCGATCTCGTTATAAACGATAAGAAATGAAAGAAAAATAGAAGGAAAAAAGCCGGGACACAGTAGAATGTACGTTGTAACCGGTACCTCATTAAAACAGATCTCGTTATAAGTGGAGTAGACTGTACTTACACATCTTTTTCCACCGGTTGTCTAAATTTAGCCATTGTCCTGTTAGAATCATATCTCTCTACTCGCAAGATGTTCTCAAAATATTCATCTGGTTCAAAATGCAGCTGAAATAATAAAACCAACCAATCATAATCTGTTTCTATTTATTTTCAAGTGTAATTGTTTTTGAATTTAGAACAGCCCTTATCATCAAAGGGGATTTCAAGGTAAAAACAAGAGCACTGCATACAATGATAATGTTCATCTGTTAAAAAATCTAAGTTAAAAGGGGGCATAACTCCAAATATTGTTTTCAGAATAATGCCCCTTGTCTAACAACATCACCTTGTTATGATGAGCAAGTATTCCATGTTTCATGTTGATAACTTGTAATAATGATAATGTCTGAGTAATAGGCTATGGTAAAGTTTTTGCATGTTTTTACAACTAAACTGCAGCAATCATAATAACTTGACTTTTCCCTCCAAACTGATGCAGGCTGGCCTGGCTCTATACTGGTGGCAAAGGATAATCATATTTGGTTCAACCATGTTAAGAATGAAATAAAATTTTGAGATCTAATTTTAAAACAAGGTATTTGACACATCCTTCAAAATTGAGGAAATATTGCTTGCATTAAAAACAAGTAAAGAGAAGTTAATACATGTATTTTTCCTACACTTGTATTTCTTTTAATGTAAAGAATTGGAAACTAACAAGTTAATTCTTGCATTTTTTCTACACTTGTATAACTACTATATTTCACTCAGTGTGAGATAACTGATATCTCATTGAGATATTTTCTAGTATCCTATCAAAAAGCAGGAAATAAATTCTTATACCCAGTTAGAATTACCCATAGGGAAAACTGAAACTAGTTACATACTGTCTCAAATTTTTTATCCAACTTTTCTGGATCCAATATGAAGTCTGGATATCCTATTCTCTCCTTAATTGCAGTAGCCTGAAAATAACAGATGTTAAACAATTGTTCACTTTAAAGTAAAATATTTCCCTTAATTTTCAAAATACAATCTGCTTTTTTATTTAGTATTTCACCATTGTTTAGCATAGACCTTGAGTTTTGACAAATGCCTTAAGTTTTGAAATATTACTGCTTAACAACAGTGTTCTTTATCAAATATAATAATTTTCTCTATTGCAGCCAATTATCTTACATTTTCCCTAGTAACTACTCCTCTAGTTTTATTACCAACCCATAGCAACCTTACCTTTCTTCTAGCCACTGCCCTATTTCCATTATCCATTCACAGTAACTTTAATTATCTCTGTCTCAACATCTCAAGTGTCATGACCCATTCAATCTGACCTTACCTGTACCGCCTCCGTGGTCGAGGGGTTAGAGTCGATGACTTCTAATCAAGTTACCTCTCTGGCGTGGGTTCGGTCCCCGGGAAATGCTTTGGTAGTTTAACGCGATGAAGGTAGTCTAGTACTGGTGTAACTCTCCAGGAACGATGGTTAGGAAACTACCCGCCTATATGACTGAAATACTGTTGGGAAAAGGCATAAAATGAAACAAACAAACAAACAAACTGACCTTACCTCCTCCTTAGCAACTGCCTAAGTTTTATTATTCCTCCAAAGTAACTATACAACCTCACTAGAAATTGCTTTTATTTTACTATTCCTTCAAAGCAACTTTACTAACTCCATAGAAATATCCCTAGGTCACAATGACCTCACATTCTTCAACCAGACCTAGTTTCATTATCTATCCTCATTGCCTTTACTGTCACCCTAGTGAAAACCATAGTTTCATTATTCATCGACTGTGACCTTACTGTTTCCCTAGCAACATCCTTAGTCTATAGTGACCTTACCTTCTCCCTAGCAACAGTCTATGTCCACAGTGACCTAACCTTCTCCCTAACAACAGCCCTAGTCCAAAGTGACATTACCTTCTCCCTAGCAACAGCCTTAGTCCAAAGTGACATTACCTTCTCCCTAGCAACAGCCCTAGTCCAAAGTGACATTACCTTCTCCCTAGCAACAGCCTTAGTCCAAAGTGACATTACCTTCTCCCTAGCAACAGCCTTAGTCCAAAGTGACATTACCTTCTCCCTAGCAACAGCCCTAGTCCAAAGTGACATTACCTTCTCCCTAGCAACAGCCCTAGTCCAAAGTGACATTACCTTCTCCCTAGCAACAGCCCTAGTCCAAAGTGACATTACCTTCTCCCTAGCAACAGCCCTAGTCCAAAGTGACATTACCTTCTCCCTAGCAACAGCCTTAGTCCAAAGTGACATTACCTTCTCCCTAGCAACAGCCCTAGTCAAAAGTGACATTACCTTCTCCCTAGCAACAGCCTTAGTCCAAAGTGACATTACCTTCTCCCTAGCAACAGCCCTAGTCCAAAGTGACATTACCTTCTCCCTAGCAACAGCCCTAGTCCAAAGTGACATTACCTTCTCCCTAGCAACAGCCTTAGTCCAAAGTGACATTACCTTCTCCCTAGCAACAGCTCTAGTCAAAAGTGACATTACCTTCTCCCTAGCAACAGCCTTAGTCCAAAGTGACATTACCTTCTCCCTAGCAACAGCCCTAGTCCAAAGTGACATTACCTTCTCCCTAGCAACAGCCCTAGTCCAAAGTGACATTACCTTCTCCCTAGCAACAGCCCTAGTCCAAAGTGACATTACCTTCTCCCTAGCAACAGCCTTAGTCCAAAGTGACATTACCTTCTCCCTAGCAACAGCCCTAGTCAAAAGTGACATTACCTTCTCCCTAGCAACAGCCTTAGTCCAAAGTGACATTACCTTCTCCCTAGCAACAGCCCTAGTCCAAAGTGACATTACCTTCTCCCTAGCAACAGCCCTAGTCCAAAGTGACATTACCTTCTCCCTAGCAACAGCCTTAGTCCAAAGTGACATTACCTTCTCCCTAGCAACAGCCCTAGTCAAAAGTGACATTACCTTCTCCCTAGCAACAGCCTTAGTCCAAAGTGACATTACCTTCTCCCTAGCAACAGCCCTAGTCCAAAGTGACATTACCTTCTCCCTAGCAACAGCCCTAGTCCATAGTGACATTACCTTCTCCCTAGCAACAGCCTTAGTCCAAAGTGACCTTACCTTCTCCCTAGCAACAGCTCTAGTTTCATTATCCATCCAATCATTCTCCAGCAGTAAGTCTATGAATGCAGCTCTTAGGTTAGCTATCATTTCTAAAGCCTAAAATAATACATTATAAGGTATGTTACAAATATACAAACATATATCATTTTGCATTTATAAATCTTATATTGACATCATTGTTTCATGTAAATAACATTTTTTTTCTTTAATAAATTTGTTATTGCACCACGATGTATCATTAATCATGATACATCAACATTACTTCAATCATTTGGCTAATTAAGAACCAATCAGAAAAAAAGACTACTTTGTGCTCAGGTGAGCTACAAGCACACCTGGTTGTTCTCATTTTATCATGGTAATTTTCTGAGACATTAAATGTTTTAATAAAACCCAAAAAAGTAAAGACCAAATCACATACCACATCTTTGCTTTCCTTCCTAAACTTTTCGTGTACAAACATGGCACCTGTAGCCAGTCCTAGCCTCTCATTGAGATATTCAACACATTTATTCCATCTTGGTTTGTCCCGGATCACTCCCTGTAATAATAAAATATAGATCAGTAAAATATGCAAGCTAATAATGTTATGTTACTTTTTTTAATTCTTTTTTATTTGTTGTGTTTTATGTGCACCAACACAGTATATGTCATATGACGACTTTCCTGCTTTACTGATAGAAAAGGATCTCAGGTGCCCTTCTGTGCATTATTTCAAGCACGAACAGGCACCTGAGTAGAACCACCAACGGTCCATAAGCTAGCTGGATAGCTGCCTCACATGAAAGAATCAAATATCCCTGGGATTTGAACCCATAGCAGTGAGGGGCAAGTGGTTTGAAGTCAATGACCTTAACAACTTGGCCATGGATGCCCCTATAAGTAATGTTACATTACACACCAATTTTACAGTATTTTAGTCATGAGGAAATAAAGTTATAAGATATATTCTGATCTGGAATTTGTATTTTACACCAGAGAATTTTGCTGGGAACGTACAAGACTGGCTAACACCAAGTTTGAAATGTTTAAGTAAAATCTATGACAGCTGTGAAATAATCAAGTAAAATCTATGAGAGCTTACTACAAGTAAGTTATAAGATATACACTTACAGTTATCATTTTATAATATACCTATTTATACTTCAAGCATAATTCCACAATATGTAAGAAACATCATACCAGACAGGTATACAACGGAACCCTTATTAGTCAATTTTATTTTCATCACTTACAGTTTACAGACCTTTCATCAATTCCTCATCCACAAGAACTATTGTGTAACAAGGAACAAACCTGTACAACTTTTCTGTAAGCACTTCTTGCCTCCTGGAAACTTGACGTTAGTTCTGGTATAAACCCCAATATCAACCTCCATATTACAAAATTACTCACAATCCTGTAATAGAAATAGATGTTTTAATCTTAACTTTGTAATGATGAATATTACATCACATGTAATAGGTATTACTTAAATGATTTGGAGTAAATATAAAACCGCATACAGTTATCAAGTACTAGGTCTGAAGACTAAACACTTAAAATTATAGAATAAACAAAGGCTATCAGTAAGACAACATACTCTGCTGTTTTTCAGTACTTGGCAGTAAAAAGTGGGAAAAGTCAGTAATAAAGGTAACTCAAAGTTAAAACTTTACCAAAGATGCCGACACCTGGGTGAGTAAAATAACTCTCCATATTTATTGAAAAGTCAAACTAAGAATCAACAAAAGTGATATAGTCAGCTTAAAACTTTCTTCCTTATTTTTCATCAACTAACAATTCTTTTTAATATAAACTAACCTAATTTTTTTTAAAGAATGTCTTTTGCAGAATTCTTAATAAGCATGCCAACACTAGCAAAGTTGCTAAAATGTCTTTAAATAAGAAAATAAATGATAAAATCTTCATACTTATATAATAATAAACATATTTTTCTGGTCAGGAAAAAAATTAAAAGACACTGACCTTTCATCCGTCTGCTCCACAAGGTCGACCATGTCACGGAGGAAATCTGGTGCAAACACAACTATCTCCTCTGACCCGTCAACAGTGACAGGTAAAAACCGGTTAAAATATCTCAGCCAATCAAACTATAAGAATTAATATCATACAAATTATTAGGAATATGACCTTGGTTGCTAAATACGTTGTACATCTATTCCTTTGGTAACAAGATATGTAAACATTGTGCACAACATTCTATATAACTCTACTAAGGTCATAATATATTTTTTTATAAAGAAGTTGCTAAATATATCACATTCTAACACGAACTGCATTTTCCCCCATTGAACATAGAAGAACCGAAAGTGTGTGTTATTATGCTATAAAATCACAGTTTGATGTTCTATTTTTAGACAATGTGACGTAATCATTATACACGTGAGATAAACACTAAAAATGCGACGCACTGAAAATAAGTACGGAAACAAATCGTGCAATTTAGCTTTGTATCAGGAATGGCAGCATTTGTTTCTCGATATCATGTTAGAATCGAAATAATATATCCAAATCGGTGATTTTAACGCTTGATAACAGCACTGTTTGTTGTTCGGATGCACATCATTATATCACTCTGGCTAGCTAGCCCTGGTGATATAATTCCTTGAATCAGAACTCCAAATAGTGAGCGATAAAATCACTGTTTGGAATATATCATTTCTTAAGTAACACACTGTTGCTACAGTAACAAGAATAATGTATAAATACCTTGGGAATAGCAGTCTGTAACTGACCTATGGTCATTTTGTTATATCTAGCACCTGTATCATGTCTCTCACTCTGTGGTTTACTCATCTATAAATAGAACAATGAAAAACCTGCTGACAACTCATCTATTGATAGATCAATAAAAAACCTCCTGACAACTCATCTATTGATGGATCAATGAAAAACCTGCTGACAACTCATCTATTGATAGATCAATGAAAAACCTGCTGACAACTCATCTATTGATAGATCAATGAAAAACCTGCTGACAACTCATCTATTGATAGATCAATAAAAAACCTCCTAACAACTCATCTATTGATAGATCAATGAAAAACCTGCTGACAACTCATCTATTGATAGATCAATGAAAAATCTGCTGACAACTCATCTATTGATAGATCAATGAAAAACCTGCTGACAACTCATCTATTGATAGATCAATGAAAAACCTGCTGACAACTCATCTATTGATAGATCAATGAAAAACCTGCTGACAACTCATCTATTAATAGATCAATGAAAAATCTGCTGACAACTCATCTATTAATAGATCAATGAAAAATCTGCTGACAACTCATCTACATATAGATCAATGAAAAATCGGCTGACAACTCATATATTAATAGATAAATGAAAAATCGGCTGACAACTCATCTATTAATAGATAAATGAAAAACCTGCTGACAACTCATCTATAAAGAGATAAATGAAAAATCAGCTGACAACTCATCTATTAATAGATCAATGAAAAATCTGCTGACAACTCATCTACAAATAGATCAATGAAAAACCTGCTGACAACACATCTACAAATAGATCAATGAAAAACCTGCTGACAACTCATCTATAAATAAATTAATGAAAATTTTGCTGACAACACATCTATAAATAGATCAATGAAAAACCTGCTGACAACTCATCTATTAATAGATCAATGAAAAATCTGCTGACAACTCATCTATTGATAGATCAATGAAAAAAACTGCTGACAACTCATCTATTGATAGATCAATGAAAAACCTGCTGACAACTCATCTACAAATAGATCAATGAAAAATCTGCTGACAACTCATCTACAAATAGATCAATGAAAAACCTGCTGACAACTCATCTATTAATAGATCAATGAAAAATCAGCTGACAACTCATCTATTGATAGATCAATGAAAAACCTGCTGACAACTCATCTATTGATAGATCAATGAAAAACCTGCTGACAACTCATCTATTGATAGATCAATGAAAAACCTGCTGACAAAAATCATCTATTAATAGATCAATGAAAAATCTGCTGACAACTCATCTATTAATAGATCAATGAAAAATCTGCTGACAACTCATCTACATATAGATCAATGAAAAATTGGCTGACAACTCATATATTAATAGATAAATGAAAAATCGGCTGACAACTCATCTATTAATAGATAAATGAAAAACCTGCTGACAACTCATCTATAAAGAGATAAATGAAAAATCAGCTGACAACTCATCTATTAATAGATCAATGAAAAATCTGCTGACAACTCATCTACAAATAGATCAATGAAAAACCTGCTGACAACTCATCTATTGATAGATCAATGAAAAACCTGCTGACAACTCATCTACAAATAGATCAATGAAAAATCTGCTGACAACTCATCTACAAATAGATCAATGAAAAACCTGCTGACAACTCATCTATTAATAGATCAATGAAAAATCTGCTGACAACTCATCTACAAATACATCAATGAAAAAACTGCTGACAACTCATCTATTGATAGATCAATGAAAAACCTGCTGACAACTCATCTACAAATAGATCAATGAAAAATCTGCTGACAACTCATCTATTAATAGATCAATGAAAAATCTGCTGACAACTCATCTATAAATAGTTACATGAAAAATCTGCTGACAACTCATCTATTTATAGATCAATGAAAAATCTGCTGACAACTCATCTACACATAGATCAATGAAAAATCTGCTGACAACTCATCTATTAATAGATCAATGAAAAATCTGCTGACAACTCATCTACAAATAGATCAATGAAAAATCTGCTGACAGCTCATCTACAAATAGATCAATGAAAAACCTGCTGACAACTCATCTACAAATAGATCAATGAAAAATCTGCTGACAACTCATCTATTAATAGATCAATGAAAAATCTGCTGACAACTCATCTACAAATAGATCAATGAAAAATCTGCTGACAGCTCATCTACAAATAGATCAATGAAAAACCTGCTGACAACTCATCTACAAATAGATCAATGAAAAATCTGCTGACAACTCATCTATTAATAGATCAATGAAAAATCTGCTGACAACTCATCTACACATAGATCAATGAAAAATCTGCTGACAACTCATCTATGATAGATCAATGAAAAACCTGCTGACAACTCATCTACAAATAGTTACATGAAAAATCTGCTGACAACTCATCTATTAATAGATCAATGAAAAATCTGCTGACAACTCATCTACACATAGATCAATGAAAAATCTGCTGACAACTCATCTCTTAATAGATCAATGAAAAATCTGCTGACAACTCATCTACAAATAGATCAATGAAAAATCTGCTGACAGCTCATCTACAAATAGATCAATGAAAAACCTGCTGACAACTCATCTATTGATAGATCAATGAAAAATCTGCTGACAACTCATCTATTAGTAGATCAATGAAAAATCTGCTGACAACTCATCTACAAATAGATCAATGAAAAACCTGCTGACAACTCATCTTATTGATAGATCAATGAAAAATCTGCTGACAACTCATCTATTAATAGATCAATGAAAAATCTGCTGACAACTCATCTATAAATAGATAAATGAAAAACCTGCTGACAACTCATCTATTGATAGATCAATGAAAAATCTGCTGACAACTCATCTATTAATAGATAAATAAAAAATCGGCTGACAACTCATCTATTAATAGATAAATGAAAAACCTGCTGACAACTCATCTAATAAAAGATCAATGAAAAATCAGCTGACAACTCATCTATTAATAGATAAATGAAAAACCTGCTGACAACTCATCTAATAATAGATAAATGAAAAATGGGCTGACAACTCATCTATTAATAGATAAATGAAAAACCTGCTGTCAACTCATCTATAAAAAGATAAATGAAAAATGGGCTGACAACTCATCTATTAATAGATAAATGAAAAACCTGCTGACAACTCATCTATAAAAAGATAAATGAAAAATCGGCTGACAACTCATCTATTAATAGATAAATGAAAAACCTGCTGACAACTCATCTAATAATAGATCGATGAAAAATCTGCTGACAACTCATCTATTGATAGATCAATGAAAAATCGGCCGATAACTCATCTATTGATAGATCAATGAAAAATCGGCCGATAACTCATCTATTAATAGATCAATAAAAACTCTGCTGACAACTCATCTATAAATATATCAATGAAAAACCTGATCACTCATTTATAAAAAGATTTATCCAAAACATGCTGACATTTCAACCTTTTACAGATCAATGAAAAACCAACAAGAAACAAATGCAATATCTATATTTTTCAGGATAAAAATTTAATACTATACATATTACAAAACTGTTACAGACTATTTAGTATTTTCTTAGTTACACAAAAAAAATTAAGTCATCAAAATTCATTAAACAAACTTAATCTCATGTCAATAAACTAACTCACATTGGCTATAACAGTTTCAAACTGCAGCACTTTCTCCATCTCAGTTTTGACTGTTATAGGGTTGGCACCAAGCAATTCTGCCACATCACACATGTATCTGAGGTAAGCTTTTACATCTATAGAATCTGGATCATGTAGATAATACTCTCTGCTTGGCATACCTAAGGCAGGCTCATCTAACTGTAAATATGATTAATCTATAGTAGTAACTAGAAATGTGTCCATAGGGCATGAATGCTATGGACAGGAATATGTCCCAACTTCATTTGCTGCCACAGTTGCATATTGTACATACTTTTGCATATTTCAATACATAACATATTCACGAACCAACTCTAACTTGTTCTTGAATAGACAATTATTTGATGTATCACTTTGACCTTGATCTTTTGATATAAAATCAACAGGGTCGTCTCCAAAACATGACCAACCTCCATACCAAATCTTAGGTCTATCAGTCAAAGAATTCTCTAGTTATTGGACATACAAACTTTTATTGGCACAGCAAAATGACCATGACCTTCGACCTGTTGACCTTAAATAAATAGGGGTTATCTAGTTGTTATCCTCAATCTTTACACAAAATCTTAGATCTGTAGGCAAAAGCGTTCCCTATTTATTAGTCAGACAAGCTTTAAATGGTCGAGGCAACAGCGACCTTGAGCTTTGATCTTGACCTAAAAATCAATAGGAGTGATATATTGGCCTTTTCTGTCATCATTTTGACCTTTAAAATATCATAATATACCTGCATGATATTGATGGAGGAGTTTTTGTCATCAGGTCCTATCCAGACATCTAGAAGAATCGGGGCATTATATTTCCCTCTCATATCCCCCAGCACATCTTCCAGGATAAATTTCCTTGCTGACCACTTCTTATCTATCACTGGCCAACGTCCCAACTCTACCAACAATGCCCTCAATGGTTTGTCCCCTACTTGTTCTATTTGTGCTGGAAGAAATGAAAGGTGCTTCATAAGAGTAAAATGTTTAAAGTGTATAAAGCTATATAGTTGCTAAAAAAAAATCATTGTTTGAATTTTGAAAAATAATACTTCAAAAATATCTGTATATAAAAGAAATATGTTAGTATATTTAAAAAAGAAAAAAAGCGAATTGCCCATGCACAAAATCAATGAAGAACAGTTAAAACACTACTTAAAATAGCACCATAATAAATAGTTTGTTCCGGAACAATAATTATTTTTATTTTAATTACACAATCATAAAAAACCATGTGTTGATTTACAGAGATCTTTTTGTTACAACACTTTTGAGAATCGACCATTGGATTATGGAAAAAAATTAATTTTTTTGTTAATAGATTTTATAAAAACTAGAAATGTGTCCATAGGACACAGATGCCCCCACACGCCACTGTTCAGTCAATCTTATGACTCTAGGTCAAATATTTTTTAGACTACATGTGCCACAAGTTGAAAACTAAAAATCAACAAAGGGCCATAATTCTATTAATTTTGGTCGCAGAAAAAAATTCCTTCCTTAACTACCATCAACACATTAAGGTTGTTCATCCCTGGAAGTTTAAGCAAAATCTGCCATCCGGTTTAAGAGGAGTTGCGTTCACAAAATTTTTACATGGTATATAGTGAAAAAATCAACAAAGGGCCATAATTCTGTTAAATTTGGTTGCAGCAAAAATTCCTTCCTTTACTACTATCTACCCATTAAGGTTGTTCATCCCTGGAAGTTTAAGCAAAATCTGCCATCAGGTTTAAGAGGAGTTGTGTTCACAAAATTTCTATATGGTATATAGTGAAAAAATCAACAAAGGGCCATAATTCTGTTAAATTTGGTCGCAGCAAAAATTCTTTCCTTTACTACCATCTACACATTAAGGTAGTTCTTCCCCGGAAGTTTAAGCAATATCCGCCATCCGGTTTAAGAGGAATTGCGTTCACAAAATTTCTACATAGTATATAGTGAAAAAATCAACAAAGGGCCATAATTCTGTTAAATTTGGTTGCAGCGAAAATTCCTTCCTTTACTACCATCTACACATTAAGGTTGTTCATCCCTGTAAGTTTAAGCAAAATCTGCCATCAGGTTTAAGAGAAGATGCGTTTACAAGATTTCGGGACGTATGGACGGAAGGATGTACGGACGGACAGACAGACGGACAAGTGCAACGCTATATGCTCCCACTATGTTGGGGCATAAAAATTCAGGAAATAAAGCTTTATACATGTTGAAAGTTATTAATAACATGTAGAAAGTTATAAATCATTTAAATAATTAATCTGAATATTAACACATACATAAGTAACAATAATAAACATCAGATTCAAAGCTGCATACTGGTCCATCACAAAAATTCGAAGGTGTTAATGTTAAATATAAAGATGAATTAAGCTTACACCACAGACATATGGCAAAAGACATTGTGTCCGACATTAACACATACAGAGACATAATTATTTTTTCTTGATATGGACACATTATCACAACAAATAAAAATATATTTTCTTGAAATATTTATCACCACAGGCTGTTTTGTTTTCCATTCACTTAATAACGCTAAATTGAAGCTGTAGACACATTTATTAACAAACATGTCAACAGTCAGGCCCTTAATGATACTTCAGTGATTGAAATAATTCCTCTGTTTAAAACAGTGGCAGCTTCATATATTTATCTTTTTTTTCAACCCTTTCCTCACTAAACATTTTAAATGGACTTGTCCATCTGTCAATCTGGACAAAACCATTTATTACTTTTAGGTGAAATTTCAAAATATGTAAAATGTACTGACTAAATAGCTAGCAGTGCAGACCATGATCAGACAGCATGGCACGGACATGCTGGCTAATCTTGGTCTGCAGTGTTCGCATGGGTGAATTCAGATACTGCCAGCAAGGTCAAGGTCACAAGGTCAAGGTTATCAAGGATATCAAGGTCGAGGTTATCAAGGTCAAGGTTACCTCTATTTATTGTCAATTTACAGAATCCGAATTTCTCAAAGAAATTCACTATAACTATGAGAATAAAGCTTTATTTAACAATTCCTCTTTAATGTGTCTCGCACATTTTCTCATCAGTCAGTACAAAGATACCCAATAACCTTGCAGTAATTTGTCACAACACAGCCAGTGCTTTAGAGAGACAATACTTTCACATAGATCACATACATCACAATGAAAGGAAGCCCCACACACTTTCTATCAACAGACAATCAGTGAAAAACACTTCAATGGCTTGTAAATAAATGAAAGGAGTCTCTCCAATTTTCTCAATGAATGAATTCAGCTGCTGCAATGTTTCATTGATGTTGTTGATCAACAAGAATGATGTTGATACACAGCTGTATTTCATCTTTTACTTAACCCTTATCATGCTTAATATGAACAAAATATGAACAAAACCATATATCTCTTATAATAGAAAATTTCAAAATATGTACAGTGACTGAATAGCAAACAGTGCAGACCATGATCAGACAGCACAGATGTGCCGGCTGATTTAAGTCTCCACTGGTTGCAAGGGTATATTCAGGCACTGCTTGCAGTTTTAGGAATAATAAATGAGCCGTGTCATGAGAAAACCAACATACTAGTAATGGGTTTGCGACCAGCATGGATCCAGACCAGCCTGCGCATCTGAGCAGTCTGATCAGGATCCATGCTGTTCGATTTTGAACCATATAACAAGACATGAAACTGATAGCGAACAGCAAGGATCCTGATCAGACTGCGTGGATGCGCAGGCTGGTCTGGATCCATGCTGGTCGCAAACCCATTATGTTGGTTTTGTCATGACGCCACTCAAATATGATTCCTACCCTTTTTGCACTAAACCCATATTATCTTAAACACCACATTAATTTTTGTCAATTTTTGTTGCCTCAGAAATGTGTCCGATACTTAAGCTATTCACCCACAGAGCAGACATAAAGTATTTCACTGTGCACTCACTATACATTATTATATCATATGTTAAGTTAATTTTCCCCACTGCTCCATTTATCATGAATGTTTTATATTGACCTTTCTATCTTTCACCAACTAATAGATATTATCTTGCCTGGACTTACTTTCATGGCAAAGTTAGAAAAACGAAAGTATTAATTTCGAAAGTAAAAAGAACGGTTTCATAAAGTATTTCGAAAGTAAAAAGAACGGTCTCAGAAAGTAAAAATATTCTGCCATCCATGAATTTCAAAGTAAGTGAAGAATTTACAGATGTAGATTTCAAAGTTAATGAAGTATCTAACAAACAAAAAAATGAAGAATTCAATATATTTCAATATAAATGAAGTATCCAACAAATAAAAATTTTTAGTAAGTGAAGAATTCAACAAATCTGAATTTCAAAGCAATTGAAGAATTCAATAAATGAAAAATTTCAAAGCAATTGAAGAATTCAATAGATGAAAAATTTCAAAGTAAATGAAGATTGCAACAATACAATTTTAAAGGAAGTGTAGAGTTGAATAAATGTGAATTGTATTCGATGAATTCAAAAGTAAATGAAATATTCAACAAAATCTAGTGTGACTTTCAAGCCATTGTCAGTTTCAGTGCATATGAAATAAATATTCAACAAATTAGATTGTTAATTCAAAGCATAGATGAACCATAGGCCAATATGATTTAGATTAGCCAATGAGCATTGAGAAGAATATTTCCATAGTAACTGATATATACTTACAAACATTCACGCAGGACTGGTACAAAACTTTGGCCTTTAATGTAGCATTACTGTCATAATCTTTAGGTGTGTCCTCTAACAATGCTGAAAAAAAATTTGAATACCAGTTTTTTATTATTATAATACTGCATTGTTTGCATTTTTGATTTCATTCAACAATCATGATACTATTGTTATTCATTTATATGAGCCACGTCATGACAAAACCAATGTAATGCGTTTGCGACCAGCATGGATCCAGACCAACCTGCACATCCGCGCAGTCTGATCAGGATCCATGCTGTTCGCTTACCAACTCTATTACAAGTAGAGAAACTGATAGTGAACAGCATGGATCCTGATCAGACTGCTTGGATGCGCAGGCTGGTCTGGATCCATGCTGGTAGCAAACGCACTATGTTGGTTTTGTCGTGACGCAGCTCATATATAGCTGCTGCAAATTGTTATTCAATTTTTGTTTTTATTTGTTTGTTTTGTTTGGTTTTACAGCACACCAACACAATTTAGGTTATATGGCGCCAAAACAGGAAAATATTTTGGCTAACCTCGGTATTAATTAATGAAAACAAGATTTTATGTATGCACTATTATAAATTGTTATTACTATTATTATAACTATTTATAATATATTTTTGACAGATTATATGGCCACTTATAAAAAAAGTTGCTTACATAATAATTATGATCTTTATAATGAATTTGTAATACGTACTGCACAAATGATGCCTTTATTTGAGGAAAAAAAGGAAGAAAGAAAATCACTTCATAAATTAACAGCAGCAGTGTAACTATAATAAATTAAACAAGAGCACTAGATGCATTCTTTACTCCTTGTCTGTTAAAATAATAATTTTGACAAAAGTCTAAATTTAACTAGGGGCAAACTTAAACAAGAGCTGTCGGTAGGACAGCAACACTAGACTATTCTTAGTGCTTGATAGTAAAAAAAAAATACTTGATACAGTTACCTCCTCCTGTTTACAGGTTGGGGTCATGATGGTGAACAAGTGTGCAAAGTTTCAAAGCCATATGTCAATGGACTTTGAAAATATTTGAACTCTTACAAAAACTTTAACGTAAATTCTAAGTCGAAAAAGGGGCATAATTCTGTCAAAATGCTTGATAGAGTTACCTCCACCTGTCTACAGGTTGGGGTCATGATGGTGAACAAGTGTGCAAAGTTTCAAAGCCATATGTTAATGGACTTTGAAAATATTGGAACTATTACAAAAACTTTAACGTAAATTCTAAGTCAAACAAGGGGCATAATTCTGTCAAAATACTTGATAGAGTTACCTCCTCCTGTCTACAGGTTGGGGTCATGATGGTGAACAAGTGTGCAAAGTTTCAAAGCCATATGTCAATTGACTTTGAAAATATTTGAACTATTACAAAAACTTTAACGTAAATTCTAAGTCGAACAAGGGGCATTATTCTGTCAAAATGCTTGATAGTTACCTCCTCCTGTCTACAGGTTTGGGTCATGATGGTGAACAAGTGTGCAAAGTTTCAAAGCCATATGTCAATTGACTTTGAAAATATTTGAACTATTACAAAAACTTTAACATAAGTGGTTACACCGACGCCGACGCTCGGGTGACTACAATAGCTCTACTTGATATATAATAATTCTTATCGAATAGTCGAGCTAAAAATATAGCTTTTAGAATTATACCCCTTGTCTTACAACTTCTTGCCAAGCAAGTATTCAGGGGCGTACCTCGGCTGATTTTGAGTGTACGCCGAGTGCAGGTCTTTAGCCGAAGGGTCGCCAGAGATATATATAAAATATAGCTGGATGTGCTAAAATATGGATTTTAGAGGACATCTAAGCTAATTGTACTTCTATTGTCTTTATTATCTATATAGTTATGAAAATAACATCAAGTACAAGCATTGAATGTAAGAGAAATTCATCTAAGCTAATTGTACTTCTATTGTCTTTATTATCTATATAGTTATGAAAATAACATCAAGTACATGCATTGAATGTAAGAGAAATTTCACAAAGTCTAACACTGACAATGTTTTAATTTACTATTAGAAAAACAAAACATTGCCAGGTATCACTCTATTGTAATAAAAATGTTTAACAAGTTTTGTCTTTGTTATTGTTCTTTTGTTTCATCAAAACTTAAGATACAATCAAGGGAAAATTTGCTTTAAAATGATCTGTATGACTTTAATACAAACACAACAGCTTTAATGTTTTAGTGTAACAATATGTTATTGTATTTAATCAGCTAAGATGTAGTATCGCACGATCATTTAGGTCTTTTACAATATTTTTAAATGCGTATTATGTCAATGTTGAAGACAACAAATATTGTCGCCGATAATTTTATTTGTGAATTAGGAAAAATAACATTATTTAAGTTTAGTCTACATGTTTAGACATTAATATTTGCACATGAATATGTAGGCGGTTCACCTTTAACAGTTTTTATTCTCAACTCTACTCTTTCAGTTTCCATTCCAAATATCTAACATATTTCATCATGAAGTTTAATGCCTCACATACATAAAAGGATGCTCAGCCAACTCGTCATCTAAAGTTGGTGAAAATAAAAGTATTGGGACATGACGTGTCTTATATGGCTATACATTGTTCTCGTATATTTGTCTATGTTTTGTTTGTTTGTTTTTTTTGTTTCATTTTACGCCTTTTCCCAACAGTATTTCAGTCATATAGGATGGTAGTTTCCTAACCATTGTTCTTGGAGAGTTACACCAGTACTAGACTACCTTCCTCTGCGCTAAACTACCAAACCATTCCCCGAGGATCGAACCCACGCCAGAGAGGTAACTGGATTAGAAGTCATCGATTCTAACACCTCGACCTAGGAGGCGGTCTTGTCTATGTTTTAAATATGTATAGATGAGACTATGTATAATAAAGAATATATATATGTCATTGTTTGCAGAAGTATGCAACTTTTTTCTATACACAATAAAATAATACAGTAGAAACATCATTCTGTAGTGATATATTTTGAAAATACATTTTTAAAATACATTCATTTTTACGGTCAAATAAACAGAAGTTGAGTTCGGTTTGTAACGACAGATGCTGGCAAAGATCTGATTCATAGGGCCCAAACTATTCTACATAATTTGAAATGAATAAAAGATGAACAAATGTTACTAAATTAACAAATAATATACTGACTTATAGCTACAAGGTAAATTCCATACAGCTAACTCCGCAAACTCAAAGTTGCAGACAAGATCTTAATTTTGCATATAGATCTAGATGTAAAACATGAAATAAATGTTTAGTTTTCACTGATTTTGATTCTTCTGAAAAAATGATCGTAATATAACAATTTTTTATCATTATTTTGATTTTGACGAAGTTTATTAGCATTATAACATTGATTCTTTAAAGCTTAACTCAATTTGAAAAAAAAAAGAAAATTCCAAAGAAATTTTTTATATCATATTTTTACATTGTGTAAGTCACTCCTAATTCCTGTTGAAAGGCCGTATATTTTGTTTTCTGAGTTTCAAAGTCTCATCTTTCGCATAGGGTGGTATGAACTGAAATTCTAAAGATAATTCAAACCATACCCCCTTATAAACATTGATTTCTCGGATTCGAAACTGACACAACAATAGAATAATTCTCTCTTACATGGCTTCCTCTTGATATACCCAAGCAATTGTTTTATTTCAATTTGCTCATAATTATGTGCTTACTCCCTTTTCTTATAATTGATTTCTTGATTATTAAAGCATATTCGAATAAGTAACTTCCTAAGTACACCTATAGAATCAATTAGCAGCTACGAATATGTTGAACAAATTACGCCCAAATTAATGATTTCATTTTGATATTTTATTTTTTCGAAACTTTTCTTTTTAGATGCCCGTGGGTATTGGGGTATAGTTAGGTACGCCCCTGGTATTTCAAGTTTCATGTTGACAACTTTTAAATATTTTTAATAATGGGCTACGTTCAAGTTTTTCCATCAACACCACACCACAATCATAACAGCTATACTTTTTCTTCAAAACAAATGAGCTAATTAACAAGATTATCCAATGAAAACTGACATTAAACATGCAGTATTATTAATATATAATTATCATTACTAATGTTTCTACATCAGTGGAAAATATTTCAAGTTCTGTAATTATAAATGTAGGCTAAATTATGCATATCCATTGATCATTTTATATTCCAGTGATTAACTTATCACCCATTAGTTTATGAATAATATTTCTGATAATCAACGAAACTTCAAAGACTTCAAAGAAAAAAATATGACCACAGTAAGAAATTCACAAAGATATTGATGTGATTTCAAAATCACAATTCTTTTAAAGACATACATCCTTAATATATGACTTTAACCCTTAATTGCTGAATTTTTTGACATTCTGTCCATTATCATTTTTAGGGATATCAAGATGAAGATTTGAGCCGTGTCATGACAAAACCAACATAGTGCGTTTGCGACCAGCATGGATCCAGACCAGCCTGCGCAGTCTGATCAGGATCCATGCTGTTTGCTTACAAACCCTATAACAAGTAGAGAAACTGATAACGAACAGCATGGATCCTGATCAGACTGTGCGGATGCGCAGGCTGATCTGGATCCATGCTGGTCGCAAACGCACTATGTTGGTTTTGTCATGACGCGGCTCATTTTCTGTCAGTCAACATCAAAGAGCCTGGTAAGACTGGCCAGACATGCTGCCTGGCCTTACTCTATACTGGCGGCAAATGCAAGGCTTAACAATTTCCGTTCCAGAAGTTTGTGGATTAATATCTTACATATGAATCAAAGAAAACATTTCTATTTGCTACCATGTGTGAACATTTATCTCACCTCGAAGAGTTAATTGCAGCTCATCATAAAGTTTCTCAAATGTGTTGTAACTCGTGCGATCTTCCGGTATAAAGTTTTTCTTGTTCCAATTACCACAAGCGTATTGAAAGAAGTTGTTGCACGGGTCTACAGAAGAGTCCATTGAGCCCAAAATATGAGCAGCTGAAAAAAACAAACAACATAACATTTCATTATTTATAGAATAATTCATTTACACACTAACACAAGCATGATAATATAATTACATGAGATAAATGAGATGTGAAGCAGCAGCTATACTCCTTTGTACACAAACAGATTATCAACTGACTGTGCACAATCAGTACACAATCAGTTCTCAAAGTACATGCAATAGATTCACTGCAAATAAACAGTGCACCAAAAGAAAACAAACATTTATAAACAGTGCAATAGTTATTTATGTTGCTGAACACAGATCATTACTTGACCAATCACCTGTACACAATAATTATACTATCTTTACACAATCATTTCTCTTGTTATAAGCAATCATTTTATTACCTGTACACAATTAGTACACAACCAATACACAATTGGCACTCTTTCTTTACACAATTATTACTCTAGCTGTACACAATCATAACTCTTGTTGTACACATTCTTTACTCTATTTGTACACAATCAGTTCTCAAGCTGTACACAATCATTACTCTAGATATACACAATCACTACTCTTGCTCTACAGTCACTACTCTAGCTGTACACAGTCATTACTATAGCAGTACACAGTCAGTACTCTAGCTGTACACAGTCAGTACTCTAGCTGTACACAATCAACACTCTACCTGTACACAGTCAGTACTCTAGCTGTACACAGTCAATACTCTAGCTGTACACAGTCAGTACTCTAGCTGTAAACAGTCAGTACTATAGCTGTACACAGTCAGTACTCTAGCTGTACACAATCAACACTCTACCTGTAAACAGTTAGTACTCTAGCTGTACAAAGTCAGTACTCTAGCTGTACACAATCAAACACTCTAGCTGTACACAGTCAGTACTCTAGCTGTACACAGTCAATACTCTAGCTGTACACAGTCAGTACTCTAGCTGTACACAATCAACACTCTACCTGTAAACAGTCAGTACTCTAGCTGTACAAAGTCAGTACTCTAGCTGTACACAATCAACACTCTAGCTGTACACAGTCAGTACTCTAGCTGTACACAGTCAATACTCTAGCTGTTCACAGTCAAAACTCTAGCTGTACACAGTCAGTACTCTAGCTGTACACAGTCAATACTCTAGCTGTACACAATCAACACTCTAGCTGTACACAGTTATTTCTCTAGCTGTACACAATCAACACTCTAGCTGTACACAGCAGTACTCTAGCTGTACACAGTCATTACTCTAGCTGTACACAGTCATTACTCTATCTGTACACAGTCAGTACTCTATCTGTACACAGTCAGTACTCTATCTGTACACAATCAGTACTCTAGCTGTACACAGTCAGTACTCTAGCTGTACACAGTCAAAACCCTAGCTGTACACAGTCAGTACTCTAGCTGTACACAGTCAATACTCTAGCTGTACACAATCAACACTCTAGCTGTACACAGTAATTTCTCTAGCTGTACACAATCAACACTCTATCTGTACACAGCAGTACTCTAGCTGTACACAGTCAGTACTCTATCTGTACACAGTCAGTACTCTATCTGTACACAATCAGTACTCTATCTGTACACAATCCGTACCGTAGCTGTACACAATCAGTACTCTAGCTGTACACAATCAGTACTCTAGCTGTACACAGTCAGTACTCTAGCTGTACACAGTCATTACACTAGCTGTACACAATCTTTACTCTTGTTGTACACAATCAGTGCTCTAGCTATACACAATCAGTACTCTAGCTGTACACAGCCAGTACTCTAGCTGTACACAGTCCGTACTCTAGCTGTACACAGTCTGTACTCTATCTGAACAGACAGTTCTCTAGCTGTATACAGTCAGTTCTTAAGTAGTACACAATCATTACAACAGCTGTTTAAATGTTGTCATTGTCTAGCTATACACAGTCATTACTCTAGCTGTACACAGTCATAACTCTAGCTGTACATAGACAGTACTCTAGCTGTAAACAGTTAGTACTTAAGCTGTACACAATCATTACTCTAGTTGTACAGTACTCTAGCTGTTAACATTCAATGCAGTAGCTGTACACAATCATAAGTCTATATTAACTGTATATGTACACACTCATTACTCTAGCTTTATTCTAGCCTTATATTCATTACTTCAGCTGTACACAATCATCATATAAGCTTACTTAACCATTATTCTTACTGTACCTAGCTGTACATGATGAGTGTTTTAATCATTATACAATTCAATCTTTGAAACAGCTGTACATCAGCTGTTCAAATGTCGTCATTGTAACATTACCTGTTTGAATACAATTTCCTGTCATACAAATATCTGTTGTCTTTGTCTCGTTCCCTGAAAATATAAAATTGTTCAGTAAATCCATCACGATTCTAATAATAAACCAAAGAAATATTTCTAAATAAATTATCTTATCTCTTATATCAAGAAGTTTTTACCAACACAAAGAGAAATTTGAAAAGTAGCAGATAATTAATCTTATTATAGAAGATGTTTTGGATTCTAAATACGGGAAAATTTTCTTGCATGTTTTTATGTGTACTCCAATTTCAGAGCTTAGATAAAGTTACTGAAGACTATTGCAAAAATAGAAAGCAGCTTTAAATGAAGTACCATGTCTTTTCAAATTCTAAAATACAATACAAGTGCCAATTCTAAAGACAATTATTGAAATGGGTTGCTACCCCTCATGCACTTAAAACACAAGGGCTGTAACTCTTTCAATGAATTCAAATAAATGGATGTAAGTCTTGTTTCAAATTTAAGATAAAGGGCTGTAACTTCTTCTACATACAGGAAAGGAAGGGATATTACTCTTGTTATAAACTTATAATGAGCAGCTTTAACAAATTCTGTATATATATAAAACAAAGGGATGTACTTATTGTTATAAGCTTATAATAAAGGGTTTAAAGGGACTCCACTGAGGTTTTCTGACATGATGAGACTGTAAATATTTTTTCCAGATAAAGTACGATTTGATGTAGGTTTAGACCACAAATTTTTGTGTAAAATTTCAGATCATTTGAGCACTTTGTTTTTCCAGAATAATTATTCAAATTGTAAAAAAAATGACCAAAATGAAAAGCGTTTAAACGCTTTTCACTCAAATCAGGCTAAGAAAAGCATAAAAATATGATTTTCAATTTATTTCAAAGTATATTTCTTAACTATCTTTGCATATATTTCTGTTTAAAGTGCCCTAGCTCATTTATGTAAGAAATTCAAATGCTATGTTTTTAGACTTTTAAACCACAGTGGAGTCCCTTTAACTATTTCTGAATATATGAAACAAAGGGCTGTAACTCTTGTAATAAACTTTTAATAAAGTGCCTAAACAAATTCTGTATACAAAACACAGAGGTATGTTACTCTATTAATACACTTACAAAAACAGCTGATATATATTCACAAATTATGAAAGAAGTGACAACTATTTTACAGTATATTACAGTATTTGTAAACATCACATAAATTCTGAATAATTTTATTGAAATCTTGATACAGGGTGTAAGCTTCATAAATCTTGTTATATATACGGTACACAAAAAGATGCACATTTAAAAGGTGAAATTGTTACCATGCATTCTATTTTGGTACACCTGCTGAGAAATTTAATATGAAAATAAAATTGCAAATTTCAATGCATCAACAAGTTATTTAGCAGAAATTCATTTTAAAATAAAATACTCGTGTTGAAATAATTTACATTTTGCCATAAAATATTCACAAGGTGGTTTTAATTTTCTTGATCATGGTGAAAGTAAACAATAATTAGCATATCATATAAGAGAGTGTGGGAGTTTTAAATAAAACCATTCATAGGTGTGTTTCACTGTAATGAGAACCATTCTGAGTTTACACTTGAACCTGTAAATAAAGACCACCTCTATCTACTATTTTATACAGAAAACCTGTCAATATACAAGGATTGTTGTCATTAAGTGGGTGACTGGAGGCCATTAATAACTATGTCAAATGCATTTTGTACCACCTCAAATGATGCTCTTTTCTAATAAGCTTCAGGCATCTAAAAATCTTTTTCAGAGTCACTCGTCCTGCAGGACGAGTAGCTTCTAAATCCAATCTGTAGACAACATTTTTCTACTTGTCCTGCATTGAGTTCTCTTAAATAACAAGGGGACAGGTGGGATTTTTGATCTCAGAGCTTACAAAAGGTGACTTAAATACCACACAAGAAAAATTAAAATAAAATACGCTACACTTACCTGACATGATGACCATCGATGTACTGGTAACAACATATTTCCCCTTTATCGTCCTTCTCAAGTAACATGTATATTTCCCTTCACCTTTACTCTTGTCTAAAATAATACTGTTTCCACTCACATTTCTGTTACTTGGCAACGTCCACCAGAAAACTGGGTCAAGGTCATGCTTAGGGTCAAAGGTTACAGAAGACACATTACAGACTAGAGTAATGAATGGCTGACTACTGGTAAACTCACTGCCCTGAGGTAAATAACTGGTTGAACGTATTACAGGTGGATCTGAAAGGGAATAAAAGATTGACTTAATGATACAAGGTCAAGGTCATACTTGATTTACTCAACATGACTGTTATATGCTAAATGTTGTTAATGTATAAATCAAATCCAACCATTAATATCAATGCTATGGCCAATTGAAGCAGATGTTACAATTTTGCAATAAAGTCAAGATCATAATTATAAAGGTCATGGTCAAATGCCCTACTTGACTTAAGAATTTTTCAAAAGGTTAAATATGTTCAAGGATAAATACAACCTATGCACTTACAAGACCACCCCCTAGCTAGGGCCACACTCAACTTTTTGTAACTTCTAGTCAACCCTATCAGAGAAAGAATATTATAATAAAGAGTATAAGATCATTCAAAGGTCAAGGACATGTTGTCAGTTTTGTCATATGTGCTCATTTGTCCCAGAAGGAATCAAATCCATAAAAAAATAACAAAGCTATGACAATTTAAGCAAATTTAAATAATTTGACCTTGACAGTCAAGGTCAATTAAAGGTCAATCATATCAGGATAATTCATTATGTCACTTTTGTCACTGATCTGACATAGTTTTATGACAATAAACACGTAAACCAAGTTTGAAGTAAATAACTTTTACAGTTACTAAGAAAATGGACCATAACGGAAAATGTTAACCAATGCCGACACCAACGAGAGGGTCATGACAATTAAAAACAAGAGGGCCATGATGGCCCTGAGGTCGCTCACCTGTATATAGGCCCCCAACCCCCCCCCCAACTTTGCAGGGCCAATTTAACCCAAGGGCTTTTATTTGCACAAACTCGGTAGACACCAATAAGAAGATGTTTCATGCTAAACATCTAAGCTCTAGCTCATTGGGCTTTTTGAAAGAAGATTTTTTTTAAAGTTTTTACTATACACATATAGTTAAAAACAATGACACCCCTTGGGCCGGACCAGTTTTGACCCCAGGGCTTTTATTTGAACAAACTTTGTAGACACTTACTAGAAGATGTTTCATGCTTAATATCTAAACTCTAGCTATTTGGGTTTTTTCAAAGAAGATTTTTAGGTTTTTGCTATACACATATAAAGAAAATCAATGACCCCCGGGGCGGGGCCAATTTTGACCCCAGGTCTTTTATTTGAACAAACTTTGTAGACACTCACTAAAAGATGTTTCATGCTTAATATCTTAACTCTAGCTATTTGGTTTTTTCAAAAGAAGATTTTTTAAGTTTTTTGCTATACACATATAAGGAAAATCAATGACCCCCGGGGCGGTGCCCAATTTTGACCCCAGGGCTTTTATTTGAACAAACTTGGTAGACACCTATTAGAACATGTTTGATGCTAAATATCTTAGCCATAGCTCTTTGAGTTCTTTAAAAGAAGATTTTTAAGTTTTTACTATATGCATATAGGGAAAATCAATGATCCCCCGGGGCGGTGCCAATTTTGACCCCAGGGCTTTTATTTGAACAAACTTGGTAGACACTTATTAGAATATGTTTCATGCTAAATATCTTAGCTGTAGCTCTTTTGGTTCTTTAAAAGAAGATTTTTTAAGTTTTTACCATATGTATATAGGGAAAATCAATGACCCCCCGGGGCGGGGCCAATTTTGACCCCAGGGCTTTTATTTGAACAAACTTGGTAGACACCTATTAGAACATGTTTGATGCTCAATATCTTAGCCATAGCTCTTAAAGTTCTTTAAAAGAAGATTTTTTAAGTTTTTACTATATGCATATAGGGAAAATCAATGACCCCCTGGGGCGGGGCCAATTTTGACCCCAGGGCTTTTATTTGAACAAACTTGGTAGACACCCATTAGAACATGTTTCATGCTAAATATCTTAGCTCTAGCTCTTTTGGTTCTTTAAAAGAAGATCTCTTAAGATTTTACTATATGCATATAGGGAAAATCAATGACCCCCCGGGGCGGGGCCAATTTTATTCCCAGGGCTTTTATTTGAACAAACTTGGTAGACACTTATTAGAACATGTTTCATGCTAAAAATCTTAGCTCTAGCTCTTTTGGTTCTTTAAAAGAAGATGTTTTAAGTTTTTACTATATGCATATAGGGAAAATCAATGACCCCCCTGGGGCGGGGCCAATTTTGACCCCAAGGCTTTTATTTGAACAAACTTGGTAGACACTTATTAGAACATGTTTGATGCTAAATATCTTAGCCATAGCTCTTTGAGTTCTTTAAAAGAAGATTTTTAAGTTTTTACCATATGAATATAGGGATAATCAATGACCCCCCGGGGCGGGGCCAATTTTGACCCCAGGGCTTTTATTTGAACAAACTTGGTAGACACTCACTAGAAGATGTTTCATGCCAAATATCTAAGCTCTAGCTCTTATGGTTTTTTAAAAGAAGATTTTTTAAGTTTTTACTATATGCATATAGGGAAAATCAATGGCCCCCGGGGCGGGGCCAATTTTGACCCAAGGGCTTTTATTTGAGCAAACTTAGTAGACACTTATTAGAACATGTTTCATGCTAAATATCTTAGCTTTAACTCTTTTGGTTCTTTAAAAGAAGATTTTTTAAGTTTTTACTATATGCATATAGGGAAAATCAATGACCCCCCGGGGCGGGGCCAATTTTGGCCCCAGGGCTTTTATTTGAACAAACTTGGTAGACACCTATTAGAACATGTTAGATGCTAAATATTTTAGCCATAGCTCTTTGAGTTCTTTAAAAGAAGATTTTTTAAGTTTTTACAATATGCATATAGGGAAAAATCAATGACCCCCTGGGGCGGGGCCAATTTTGACCCCAGGGCTTTTATTTGAACAAACTTGGTAGACACCCATTAGAACATGTTTCATGCTAAATATCTCAGCTGTAGCTCTTTTGGTTCTTTAAAAGAAGATTTTTTAAGTTTTTACTATATGTACATAGGGAAAATCAATGACCCCCCCCGGGGCGGGCCAATTTTGACCCCAGGGCTTTTATTTGAACAAACTTGGTAGACACTCACTAGAAGATGTTTCATGCCAAATATCTAAGCTCTAGCTCTTACGGTTTTTTCAAAGAAGATATTTAAAGTTTTTTCTTTCGGTTGCCATGGCAACCAGAGTTCTGCATGGAATTAAATTCTTTGAACAATTTTTAAAGGTGACCACCAAAGGAACATTCCTGTGAAGTTTGGATGAAATTGGCTTAGTGGTTTATGAGGAGATGTCATTTAAAGTAAAAGTTTACGGACGGACGGACGCCGGACGGACGCCGGACGAAAAGCGATCACAAAAGCTCACCCTGTCACTTTGTGACAGGTGAGCTAAAAACCCTGTGGGGCTTGAACCCACATCCCATGTAGATTCTGTTTTCTTCCTGAAAATAGTCTTTGAAATGGAGGTTCTAAATTATGTTTGGCTTCCTGTAAAGTGATTCATTAACATTTTTTGCTGGAAATTTCTCTTTTCCCCATTTATCAAAATTTGTGTCAATTATTTATCTGAAGAGCTTTCAATCATTTCACAAAGTCACAAATTGTTAACGCAACTACTTTTTTTTCCTTAATTTACCTATAAAGTTATACATCTAAGAAATTTCACATTTCAGTGGACCAATTAAGATATAAACTAATCCTAAATAGATGAGGAAAAAATATCACAGTGAAAAACAACAACAAAACAACACTTGTCCAAATCTGCTCTCTGGAACCATGCTGTTTTAAGGGGAAAAAATCTTAAAAATATAACGTAGTGAAATTATGAAATTTCCTCTGAAAAACTAACAAAAAGTTAAAACTGACAATCTCAATAAAAGTGTGGTTTAAAATCCATCATCTTTTTCTTGAAACAATCATTCTTCAAGTGGAATCCTAAAAGATTAATGCTCTCTCATCAATAAATTTTTTTTTGTAAACATTTTGAAAGGAAATAATCAAACTTCCGCTAAATTTCTCCCTGTTTTGTTTATGCTAGAGGGTTAAATGTTTGTTTTTCCTAATTTGAATCATTTACAGACAGATTATCATCATTACAGCAATAGTATCTGGATTCGTTACCAGTACTGTTTTATATTTGCTGATATGTGAGTACTGTTCAATATTTGTCAGAACATTTACTAGTACATTTTTTTGCCAGTTGTATTATGTTTGCCTGTATCAGTAGTGTTACATATTTGCCAGAACCAGAACTCTGTTGCATTTTTTGCCAATTGTATATGTTTGCTGGAACCAGTACTGTTACATTTTGCCAGAACCAATAGTGTTACATTTTTGCCAGTTGTATTATGTTTGCCAGTATCAGTAGTGTTTCATTTTGCCAGAACCAGTACTCTGTTGCATATTTGCCAGTTGTATATGTTTGCTGGAACCAGTACTGTTACATAATTGCTAGTACAAGTACTGTTTTATTTTAAGAACTGTTACATGTTTGCCAGTACCAATACCATTACATAATTGCCAATACTATTACATATTTGTAAGTACCAAAGCCTAGCGGTAAAGATCACTGGCCTCACACAGCTTTGGGTTCAAATCCCATAAGTAATTTTGGATTTTTTCTGTTAAGGAAGCTATCAAGCTAGTGTACAAAAGGTTGGTGGTTCTACTTAGGTGACTGCTAATGCCTGATATTATGCACATTGAAATGGCCATCTGAGGTCTTCCCCTACTAGTCAAGCTGCTCATATAACCTTAACAGTGCCAGGGTGACCTAAAATCAAGCAAAACAAACTGATCAATTAAGACATAACTCTTCTTACAGAACTAACACAGCCGGCAAAATCCCGCCCGAGTTTTAAGGCAAGAAATAAAAATCGCAATTATTATCTGCAATATCGATAATTTCAATTAACAAACCATAATTACTGCATTTCATGCACTAATAAAATGAGCACACTTGTTTGAAATAATAACCATAAATGGTTCTGTTTCCGATATAAATCAAGTTGTATCACATGCTGAAAGCCATATAACTGCATTATTGATGCTCACTGTGCATGGTAATTTCCTATCATTATTGTATTTGATTAAATGTCCAAATAATCCCCTACTGCATTTTAAGAACTCTCAAAAGCGATTAATAACCAACAAAATA